AAACATAACTGGATTGATTGATGTAAGTTGTAATTATTAATTTAAACATCAATCCGTTTGCTACGAATCAATCATGATATATTTTTGAAATACAATACAATACAATACAATACAATACAATATTCTTTATTGTTAATTCGCTAAGAATTACAATAGTGTCAATACAATAGTGAATTGTACGTGTTAATTTCCATAGTTTTCATAAAATTCCTTTATTGAGTAGAAGGGTCTTGCGATTAGCCACTTATTCAACTCCTGGTGTAGCTTGTTGCCAGTCAGGTCTCTCAGGTAGTCACGTAGATGGTTCCTCAGTTTGCAGCCGGTGTAGGAAGGTTTTTTTTTTCCAAAGAGTTGTTCGGTGAACTGGTAGGGCAAATTTGGAGCCATGACGGGTGTTGTAGTGGTGCAGGTCTTGGTTTCTTGGGGGGTTTATTTCATCCACATATTTTATGGTTTCAAGTATGTAGAGAGACACCACTGTGAGGATTCCTAGGTTTGCGAATGCTAGTCTGCAAGTCTGTGGTGGGACAAGGTTGGCGAGGGCTCTTATGGCTTTCTTTTGAAGAACAAGGATTCGATTAATATTTTTTGTTGAAGTTCCTCCCCACACTGTCAAACATATCTAAGATGCGACTCTACCAGTGCGAAGTAAGCTGTTAATGTTGCTCTTGCAACAAAACTAGTCAGCGCCTGTGTATGAGAATGATGGACTACATAGTAGAGATGGAGTGAAGATGGCCTATTTCGTCATAAAGGATTCCAAGGATTATAGTTTGGATTATTATAGATTGTGTAACCATCCTATGTTCTCATCCCAGACCTGATGATCACGTGCCCTTCAACCTCTAAAATGATTAAATAATAATAATTGATAGTACAGGATTGTAATTAGGTTAGCAGCATTCAAAATTGTTTGGTAAAAATACTTTGTGTCCAAACTTAAGTCATCCACATCTGTTGTATCAGAGGAAATTTGCTGATATCAAGATTTATAACGGTTTTATATTTGTTATACATTCCAAATTTTCATATCACCCAATAGTTTTATTTGGCTTTATAATAATTTAAAATAAAATGTAAAATTATCTTATAATGCATATTATACTGATACAATTTGATTCCTTTTTTCATACAAATGTGTAATTTCTATAAGTATGCCTTTACTCGAGGGAAAATATTCTGTAATATTTATAGTTTATAATAAGGGTATGTGTGTCTTGCTTGCAAAAAAAGAAACTGTATCAACAATATTACAACTTGAGAACCACTTATAATACATATTTAGTTTGCAATAGTGTCCTATTCAACAATAGTATTGACAACTTCAAATTGAATAGCCTTGACACCTTTAATGTTCGATTAGAGATGAAAATCTACTTACTTAAGGAGCGTCAGAAGGTGTCAAACAAAGTAATTTTTAATGCTGTACATGTTTCGAGCCGTTACAGCTCATCATCAGCAGCATTATACATCATTTACATAAATCCCTTCAGGGGATGTTTGTCAGATATTTACAAACACTTATGTACATGGGATGGGATTTATGTAAATAATGTATAATGCTGCTGATGATGAGCTGTAACGGCTCAAAACATGTACAGCATGAAAAATGACTTTGTTTGACACCTTCTGACATACCTACGTAAGTAGATTTTCCTCTATAATTGCGTATTGACGACATTCCTCAAATAATATGTAGTATCTATAACTGAAAAAAAACAAAAAAAAAACACGCAGTTATCTAGACTTACTCTTACTCCCATGGCCATTTGTACCCTAAGTGGTACTGGTAAGTGGTCGCCCTGTCTCTTGCGGTATCTTCATTGACTTACATCCTGGCCATATCTTTCTTTACTTCATCCGTCCAGAGTTTCTTCGGTCTCCCTAGTGGTAATCTCCCCAGTGGACCACTTTTCAATATTTGATATAATGTGCTAGTTTCCTCTCTTCTAACGATGTGGCCCGTCCAGCGAAGCCTCCTGCTTTTAGCCTCTGCAACTATATCTGGCTCCTTGAACAGGTCTTTTAGTTTATGATTATGTATAATACTCCATATGTCTCCTTCTTTAGAAGGGCCAAAGATTTTAGGCAGGACTTTATTTTCAAAAGTAATTAGTTTTTTCTCTGTGGTTTTATCCATAGCGCAGGTTTCAGCTCCATAAAGAAGGACAGGTCTTATGATAGTTTTGCAGATTTTAAGTTGAGTGCGATGGGACAATAATATTGATGATAATAATTTGTTTAGAGCATACATACTTCTACTGGCTAGGTTCATTCTGTTCTTTATTTCTACGTGTTCCTCACTTTGTGAGCTGACAATGACTCCTAAATATTTAAAAGACTCAACTTGTTCATAATGTTGTTCTATTTCTGTTATGTTCTCGTTCTCTACTCCCCTTCCAAATCTGACAAGTTTTGCTTTGTTGTCATTTATTTTCAGGCCCACTGCTCTTGTTTCTTTTTTAAGGATTTCAAACATTTCCTGGATTTCTCTGGTCTCTGCAAGCAGTACTACATCATCTGCAAAGGCGAGCACGCTTATCTTCCTTCCTATTCTTATGCCATATTCTGTATTCTTCAACTCTTTAAGTGCTCCCTCAAGAGCTATATTGAAGAGTGTAGGTGAAATAATATCTCCCTGCTTAACTCCTGTTTTATGTCAAAGGATGGCGAGTAGTCATTTTCTATTTTAAGTTTGCTCTTAGAGCCATTAACACTTAAAGTAGCTAATTTTATTAGTTTATTTGAGATTCCAAAGCTTTCCATTATATACCAAATTTTTTCCCTATGAATACTATCATACGCTTTGCTAAAATCGATAAATAGGCCATAAAAAGATTTACCAAACTCCCAATATTTAGCTATTGCTTCTTTAAGAATGTAAATTTGATCTGTTGTGGACCTGACCCTTTGAAAACCAGCCTGGTGCTCTTCAATTATTTCCTCTGTGTATTCCTCAAGTCTCTTCTAGAGAATCTTAGATATTACCTTATAGGAATTCCTAAGCAGTGATATTCCTCAGTAGTTATTCGGGTCCCATTTATCACCTTTTTTGTGGATTGGGATTATTATTGCATTTATCCAATCTTCCGGTACATTTTCTTCCTCCATACTTGTAATATTAATTTAACCTTTTCGCTAGCTCAAGTCCTCCAGCTTTCAATATTTCAGCACTTATCCTGTCTTCTCCTGGGGCTTTGTTGTTTTTCATATTATTACTAGTTTCCTGTACTTCTTCTACAGTCAGTGCTTCAATGTTTGGTTGAACATTCATGTATGTAGGAGCATTCACAATAAAGGTTAAAAAAGGTTGCAATATATCGGCATTATCATGGATTCAAATTGACATGGAAACAGCACATTGACCAACTCTGCAAGACCAGGTGAGTGAAGCAGGTTGGTTGGTGGCCTGGACACCGCAAAAACAGCCTACCATGCCCTGGTCGAGTCACACCTCAGGTATGGTCTGGTGGTCTGGAGAAGTACATCAAACAACTATCTATAGAGAGTCCTTATCCACCAAAAAAGAGCTATAAGATGTCTAGCAGGCCTTCAAAATATCAAGAAAGCAATCGTGATGCATTTAAGGAACTAAAAATCCTCACACTGACATCACTTTACATCCGTGAAGCAAATCTCCATGCCATCTCTACAAATCAAACAAGAAACAGAGACGTTCACCATCACAATACACGGAACGCCTCAAGCTTTGCAATCCACCTCACCGTCTAAGTCTCTTTAAAAAGAAGCCATCCTACAAAGGGGTCCTGTATTTCAACAACCTACCAGAACAACTTAGAAATTAACAAACTCACCGTTTCAAGAACCAATTAACAACATGGGTGCAAGAAAGGCCATTCTACTCAGAAAAAGATTTACTTGACAACCAGCTTTAACAACACATTAAATCCACAAATTTTAGTTATGATTCTGACGCATGTACTGTTCTCAATGAACATGTCAATAAAGATTATTGTCTATTGTCATAAAATGGTTGAAATATTTGGATTCACTTGGATGTTAATAAATAGTTATATAAATTCCAACATTAAAAATGATGTAGGGTGTTATTTGAAATGAGCATACCGGTAAGTTAAATTATGAATTTTCATGAATAATGAACATGTTTTAAGAAGACTTATGCTTAGCAATTAAAATTACCCAAGTGTATAAGTAGCCTAGTGGTGTACCGAGAGAAGACTTTTCAAGGGTTGAAAAATAGATATTTCCTTACTTTGAAGTGTAAATAAAAATGTTTGGCAAACTTTTGTGTTATCTGGCTATCAAAGAGGAATTTGAGGGTTTGGCATAGGAATGTCCACAAAGCTCTATTGAGCTCAAATATAAAGAAATTCCAACCTAATTAACTAATGGTATCGTTTACAGAATCTAGATACCGTTCGCAGAATTTTTCATTGGCCATAGCAGAGCAAATTAAATGAATGAATCCATTTATCAAAAGTTATTTAGGTCCCCATTCTTTCATTTGAGTATTCAATGACTTATTCATTCGTATTTTTGATAACTGCAAACAGTGCAAACTGGACTTCATAATTGGGCTTTTCATATTGGTTCTGACTAAAGAACCAGCTGACCTTAGTTGGTGACGGAGCTATCATCTCGTTCATTCAACATTTATCCTTCGCTCGTCTTGGTTGTAAAATTTGCACTCTAGTGTTTCGGTGTTGCATAAGTGTAGGCTAATGTAATTGATTTAAAAGTGTTTTGAATGTTTTGATATTTATCTTTAAAATATTTTAAGATAATTTTTTTTGTGAATTACTAAAAAATTGTAGGCTAAATTGTAATCCATTTAGTTATTGATATTAAAGAAAAGAAATTGGAATGAATTCAACGTTTTAGATATTAATGCATGATAATAATTGGATTATTTCTATACTTCTTAAAATCTAAATTTTTATTCCACTAAGCAGAGAAAATGCAATATCATATATTTCTATTTATGTTTTTATCTGATCATAGCCTATTGTATGTTTCAGTAATCACTGCAATGTCTGGATATTTATTAAGATGAAGAGATAAGTGGAATGGGAGCCTAGACCAACACACTTACCATGGCCAGAAAAGGCGACTCCAATCGGTGGTTCAACATAGCAGTGGTGGGGCTCTCTGGAACCGAGAAGGAGAAAGGAGCAATAGGGATTGGCAAGTCATGCCTGTGTAACAGGTTCATGAGATCCCTGGCAGACGACTACAGTGTTGACCATATCTCTGTGTTAAGTCAGGTGAGACACAACCTGATACATTTGAGGATATTGTTAGTTCAACTATAAGAGAACACCTTAAAGTCAGTATCAGTAATTAATTATAACTAGTCAACATGTTTTCAAATCATATTTATAGTAGATTACTCAATGTAATAATCAGAACGATAAAGCTGGGATATTGTATGAAAATGTATAGAAGTATGATAGTGAGGCAGACTCAAAAGGTAGACTGGCCTGTAGTACAGTAAAATCTCACTAAGGGTGAAAACATAGTGGAGCGGCGAGGCTAGAGTGTAGCGGAGAGCGTAGCTAAGCAGGTTTTAGATTACACATGTGTGTAGGTGCGCCAAAACATAGTGCAGCAAGGAGCGTAGCGGGTATCGGCGCCAATAGACTAGCCTCTCCACTCCGAAATTCTATCCCGATTTCTTTACCTCGAGGGTTTGGTCGAGGGCCGAGCCTCAGTGGTCAAACCGTCTTTAAAATGTAGTTTTATTACGTCAGTTCGTGAACGCCGTCCTGTTTGGGACAAGGAATAATTTTTTAACAATGCATGAAATGATATTGTGTAGTTATTCTTGTCAAAAAGATGTACAGTTTACCCATTAAGTGAAATATGTTTGATATACCACAATTTATCCATTCAACAGTTTTTTTTTTTTTTACTTTTTTTATACACTGATTAGAAATTTCTATGGATATATCATGGAAGTTTTTATTATTTGAAATATATAGACAGTTTTTCAATGAATGACCACTTAGCTGTGTTTTACTATTTTCACCTTTCATTCATTTCTTTACAAAATCAGTACATTTTATCCTCATGATAGATAAATCAGGTTGAAAGTATATTCGAAAGTACTGTAATTCAGCCTCTTGACTCGCTACCGTCACCGCTCTACTGTGCATGTGCAGCTCCGCTACCATCGGGGGTAAAAAAACTCAGGGAAAAACAATTTTAAGGGAATACTTTTTTGAATATTCAACCAGCTAAATGGAAATTGGTTTAGTCTGGAGGTTTGCTGCGGTGGGAGTGTTTAAAGCTTGTAGTTCGTTAAGAGCAAGTTAAACTTTAATTTTTTCTTCCAAAATTAAAAACCATTTTAGTTGTTCTGAAGTATAAATGTATTTACTTAAAATAAAAGAGTTTTACTTTAGATAAGTAGGAGTTTAATAATTTTTAGATATGGAAAATGTAGTGATCCTAAAGGTGTTGTTAGTTATGGATTACACATAACGGTTACACTTACAGTATTATGTAACTTGCTGTGTTTTAACTATACTTATTAATCTTGGGTTTGCAAACTGCAATATGGAACTGAAAGAGAATCAGTTGTTTTTCAATTTAATATAGGCTAGCTAAAAGGTTTTTAATTATTTGACATATTTAAAGAAATTTAATAAGTTAAATGGTCAAACTTATAACTTGTAGGTCACATATTAAAGGTTCTTTAAAAAAAAATCATATACCCCTAGTAAGTATGGTGTAATTCTCATGCATGTGTTAAAAGCTGCAGCTTTGATAAAATTACAATATAATGGAAGTTTATTATTTAATTATAAATCAGCTGAAAAATCTTGTATCAAGTTTGATTTTTCATTTCCAATCACTTATCCATTGCAATAATAAGCCTTTGATTCTTCAAATTTTGAAATTGTTATTGTATGTTTTTGTTCCTGACTTGTAAAAAATGTTCATTGTCTTTAACATACTGTTTGGATTCTCATGCAAAATTAAAGAATTGTTTATCATTTCAGTTTTCACCATCAGCCATATGATTAAGAACTAACCAAACAACGATAACCTACAGTATTTCTATTGACTGCAAATATTTATTCTCTGAAAGGTGTATTGAAAATGCAATGCAACTAAACTTTTTTTAATAATAAAGCTAACCTGTATTATTGATACACTCATAATTCTTGACATTGGGTTTCTGCATAATAACCTTAGTGCTGTAAATTCTGAGTAGTTCTCTAACCAACTAAGTTTTCTCTGATCTTTCAAAAACTTTCAGGTTTGAGCTTAACAAGAGTTATATATTTCAACAATTTAATACCTGAAACATTAAATGTAATGTTATGTTTTGCTTGGCATAATTCTATGACTATATAGTAAGAACTTGTTGCATAGACATAAGCCACAAGCAATTAACCTTGAAATGTGCTCATGCTCAATCTGATAATGATATTGAGTTATTTGACATTAAGCACATGTTATTGATGTTGTGTGTTGATAGGGCTTGAACCGGCTAAGCATGAATACAAGTTCAAATTTATCATCCTGATCACATGAGTCACGTCCATTGTCTCAATGGAATTATTCTTTTTAACATTTTTAGAAAAAAACTTCATAAATTACCTTATGAAAAGACCACTACTTTACTTTCGTGTTATTAGAAACTGTTATATGTACAAATAATGTTAAGGTTTATTACGTTTTTAAGATAAGTGTTTGTGAAATGTTACAACATCATACAAGGCCAGTCGCTATTAGGTACATGAATTTTACGTTTTACAATTTGTTTTGATACAAATTGTGTGTATTGACATTGTAATTGAATATTTTAGTATACATCACTGTGACATTGGTGAAAATCACCAATTCTACCGCTGTAGTATAATTATTGCAAAATTCTACACATAAAATCTGAAAATTGTCTGGTAGGTTCCCTCCCAAGTCAGATAGCGTAAATACCTGATAAATGTTATTTATTGTTTCATATGCAGACGGACTTCAGTGGAAGAGTGGTAAACAACGATCATTTCCTTTACTGGGGCGAAGTGAGCAAAGTCACTGATGAAGGATATGAACTTCAATTTCAAGTTGTTGAACAAACTGAGTTCATCGATGATGCTTCATTTCAACCTTTCAAAGGTAGTCAATGAATATTCAATAAGTTTAAACAATTTTTTTTAAAGTCAAATGTTATTTTCATGACATGGCTAGTAAGTCCAGCATTGAACACTTTTTGTTCAACAGATTTTAAAATCATATAGGCCTAAAGTGGACCTAAATAACTAGACCCTCAATAACAAGTCACTCGTGATAACAAGTGTCACGTTCAAAAACCCTAGATTTCATATTAGCCTAATCACATCTATTACACACCTTGATAAACAGTCAACCATGATAATGATTCTTATAATATCTACAAAAGACTTACTATCAGGGTTCTACTGTATTTAGTTTCTGAGAAACCATTCCAAATATAACACTGTTCATATTACACGCAAGACTAAGCTTAGTGCATTAAAACCCCAAAACATGTCACAGCGTACATGAAAAAATAATTTTGTTTACATGCTTTTAAATAAATTTGTCGTTGTGGTTTATCATATAATTTTAAAACTAATTTTGTTTTCAGGTGGGAAAATGGAGCCGTATAGTAAAAGATGTGCAGCTACTAAGTTAACATCAGCTGAAAAACTCATGTATATATGTAAAAATCAGTTAGGTGAGTACCGAATAGTTTTTATTTTATAAAAATAAATAGCCCTAAGATGTAGTGGCAGATTTCCATTAAAAAAGCTCTCTTACATTGACACAGCGGCGAAGATTGCATGAATCCTTATCACCAAGCTAGGAAACGTATTTATTTATACAAATGATACAGTGTAATAAAGTTGGGTTTTTATTTAACCCTAAATATGTGCCTAAACAATCTAGGTCTAACTGAAATGTGTGTAATGGTAACCAAAGAAAAATGTGGCTTAGCTTTTTGGGGAAGAGATGATGTGCGGGTGGGTCAATTTAGGAATATGGTTTGTACAAAAAACATGAAAGTACAGTAAATGAAATGAAATGACTTTCATTTCATTATATTTTATAGGAAAGTGTTCATTTCGGAAGATGCCAAGAAAGTAATGGTTTATTCAACTACTAATCTTAACCTGTCATGTACAGTAAAAAGTGACTCATTTCATACATGTTTATATTTTTTGTGAAGATTTTTTTTTTAAACTAATATTCTGTATAATTTCATTGTGTATTTAGGTCAGTTAACAGTAAAAGCAGTAAAATAACTTGCTAGAGTAAAGATCATGCTTTGATTCTGCCATACTGTATGGATATAAATGCTTCCAGCAAACTCATTGAAAAGCTTTACTCTTCAAGTTTCCTTGAAAAGCTTGAGTGTGTAAGCTTGGAATTCGGAAATACTCGCTCGATATAACTTTCAACCCCTCAAAAGTACTTGCACACCTCTAGTAAACAGTATGGATATTAATGCAAACTGTATAAAAAATTAAAATGATTGCAATTTTCAATTGAAACATATTAGCCTATAACCCTCTATTTATTGATGAATCTCAATCAACACTATTTCTTTATAATAATAATATCTAAGTTCTTACCGTCAACGCAATCAGGAGTAATATTCCACTACGGCCGTTTCGGAGATGACTCCATCGTCAGGTGCGTAGTGGTACACTAAACTATAGTCTTGTCACATTTAACACGAGTTTTCTTCATTTGCATTGCGTCATGGGGTGAATAAATAATACACATATATGTACAGGACGGACACACGAAAACACGAATACACAAAAACATTTAGAGCACGTGCACGGCTTGAAAACTGACGACCGACTCACGAAACAGACGAAACAGAGTCGGTCGTCAGTTTTCAAGCCGTGCACGTGCTCTAAATGTTTTCGTGTATTCGTGTTTTCGTGTGTCCGTCCTGTACATATATGTGTATTATTTATTCACCCCATGACGCAATGCAAATGAAGAAAACTCGTGTTAAATGTGACAAGACTATAGTTTAGTGTACCACTACGCACCTGACGATGGAGTCATCTCCGAAACGGCCGTAGTGGAATATTACTCCTGATTGCGTTGACGGTAAGAACTTAGATATTATTATTATATTTTCACGCAATCTGCCACACTCAAGAATATATATATATATATTTCTTTATGATGATTATTATTTATTTCATTTACACATTAACTAATGAATTATTTTTAAATTTTCAGGTATTGAAAAAGAGTATGAACAAAGGGTGCTGCCAGATGGCAAAATAAGTATAGATGGATTTTTATGTGTTTTTGATGTAAGTGTAGTACCGAGCCGAACTTTGGAAAAACAAGTAGAAATAGTTACACTGATTCTAAATAATATAATGAAGACCAAGAAGCCAGTGGTGTTGGTGAGTAACATATTGTATTGTTTGAACTAAAATAGTTACATTCTTCAAACAATGAAAAAAAAAAATATTCAGCTGTAATCATCGTTTGTCTCTGACCAGAAATGGATATAGTACAAATACATATGGCTTTTAGCGAATTTCCCTATAGGGAAGTATTAGCGAATTTCCCTATAGGGAAGTAGCTATTACCGTAGGTGGCACGGTAAGACCTAGACCCGGGACCGATTTACTTTTTCATTTTGATGTCCCCAGAGGCCAAAAACACCATTCGTTCAAATTTTTATATATGTATATAACCGCAGGGGGCTCACGCTTGCGTGGGTTCGTGGCCTGGGCGACCACGCGGACCCTAGCTCTCCCAGAGGGGAGGTAATTGCCCGGTGTTGGAACCGGCACTTCAGGTAGACCACAAGCTATGGACGACTGGACAAGCCAGCCTCTTTGGGTTGTACCCAAAGTGAGAGTACCCAGTGACATTCCCTCCATTCAGGGTGGTGGGGGTGTTCAGCTCTGCTAGTGTGGATTAAGTTCCTAGATCTTTCACCTGCCTGTAGCTTGTGGTTGTGACTGAGTCCTACCTGTCGTGTACGACTGGCATTTTGTGAGGCATATCCTCGACTTTGGAAGTAGCCTCGTCCTGGGAGGTGAAATACCTAGCCCCCAGAGGGGAGGTAAATGCTCCGTGTTGGTATCGGCATTTTCAAGTTGGCCACAGACATGGTCGACTGGGCATCGGGTCCCAGTGACATTTCTTTATCCAGGATGGAGGGGTGTTTAGCTCTAGGAGAGATGGAAGTACATCATAATCTCTAACCTACCTGTGTCTGTGGTTCTTTGGGCTTCGGCCTGCTTGTTGTGTGCGACCAGCATTCAGTGGGCAAATCCTCGACTTTGGAAGTAACCTTTCCTGGAGGTGAAAACGGGCAAGTACCCGCAGCTCACGGGGACACTCAAGGGCAACGTAACTTTCCGCAGTGTGAGGGCAACGGTTTGTAGGTACTTATGCAAGCCTATCCCTGTCTCTGAGCACGGACGGTATGGTTATCTTGAGTGTGGGGGGTTCTTCCCGGAACCTCAATTGAGTCAAGGGTGTCGCCACCTCTGGTGGATAGGTTCATCCGGGTGGGTCCCACTTTTATACCTGCCTCCTTTTGGGAAACCCTGATGGCCTGGCAGTGATGTTGGGTCTGACGGGCAAACGAAGTAGATCGGGTGCTGGGTCCGAGCCCGCCAGGGGTATCTGGGGATCTATCGCTCTGGATATCTCTGGTTCCCAGCAATGGGTCAGGCCTCGATCGGGCAGCGGTGTAAATGGGAGGTTGGGGTTCCCCCCGTCAGCGTGCTGATGGTCCCCTTCCTCCTGGCTATTGATGGCGGGTTCTGCCTGTCAGGGATGAGATAGGTCCCGAGTGTTGCTTGCACTAAATGCGTCGGGGCGCTCTACTCTGGACCTCTAGGTTCCGACCTAGTGGAACCCAGGTGGAGTGACGCTTAAACAAGCAGCCGGAATCCCTGGTTAGGATTGAGGGGCAACCCTCTTTCCGAAGGGTCTGCTTCGGCAGCCGGCGAGCCTGATGACCTTAAGTCATCCGCCCATGATGTGCTAAAGGTTGATGCGTAAGCTTCGGCCTACATCATGGGGCCCGGGTATGTCCAGAAGGATAGGTACCGGGTAAGCAGTCAGGGGGCTTCGGCTCTCATGACAACATATATAATATAATAATATATAATAATATAATAATAATATAATAATAATATGTATATATATATATATATATACGTCCGTGAACGCGATAACTTGAGTAATTTTTGTCCGATTTTGATGAAATTTGGTTTAAAGGTGTAAAGCGGGATAAACTTGAATGAGTTCGCGAACCAGCACGATCGGACCATGGGAACGGGGCTTTACGGGGGGTTTTATGGGGTAAAAATTGGTTTTTCTCACTTTTGACCCTCAAAACACAAAATTTCCCGATTTCTCTTTAGACCTTTTTAAAGAGCTTAAAAAAACAAATAATATAGTATATAAAAGTAATTTTGTTCAATTATTAGTAACGAAGAAAATTTCAAAAATTTTAAATTTAAAATTCCCATGTTATTCTTATGGAGAATATTGTCAAATGTTGTAGTTTGCTTGTTTATGGATATATTTTGATCAAACTTGGCAAATTTATTTATTTTGTACTAAGCTATCAATATTTTACTCAAAAACACACTTTATTAGTTTCCTTGTAGCAGCAAACCTAGGTACTCGTTAAACCTAATGTTATTAAAATATATTTAACTGAAAATCAATTCAGACAAATGGAAATTCGCTTAGTCGGCAGGTTTGCTGCGGCGGGGGTATTATTATTGTTCATTGCTTCAACTGAAATAAAATCATTAAAGGATCATGAAATATTCGATGATACATTTGCACCAGCTACATATAATATAAACTAGGCCATAACACATTTTATTGGCACGATAAAACAACGGTGTGGAAACCATTGATTGAGTTATCACCATGACAACATAATGCTTGACTCTTAGTACTAAAGCTTCTGTAAGGAATAGTTAATTACAGTGTGGTCTTGTGTACAGTGAGATCCCACATTTCTTAGTTTGATAAAATTCTTGTAAATTTTATAATAAATTTCCTAAAAAGGTACAATACGTTCATGACCAGATTTTTAAAAGTGAGATCATGTATTTTTTTTTAACTAATAATTTAATATTGAATTCCTTAACATAGATTTTTCAATGTTAATGCATTTTTTACAAAAATATAGATCGTCAAAAACTTTAATTTGTGGAACATAAATTATTAAACTCTACCCCAATTGCTGTATTTGTCATGCTTACCAATGTATTTGTGAAAAATATTTATCTGAATAATAAAGAATTGCCGACTATTTCTGAGTTCTATACCTCCCATCCACATTGCATCACAAAGACAATACCTAACCTACTCATGCACTAATATAGGCCTAAATTTCTTCAGTTGCATTGTTAATCAAAATTCGACGACAGTTACTATAAAACCATAAAAAAACTTGTCTCAAGATTGAATTAATGACATGAGATTTTCGCAAGCTTTGTAACCACTATTTAAGTGTAGTAATATGGCCTCAGCACTAGTTGGACCTATTCATTAGGTATTTCATACCTAGTTAAGAATCATACTTCTTATGCTCCTTTGGATAGATGCATAGTTATTCTCTCAAAACTCCTCTTCACCAGCAACTGTTACATTTCTATCTAAAGCATTTTGAAAAGAATTGATTTATTTTTCAAAATTTACAGGTAACCACAAAAAATGATGATGCAAATGAAACCTATGTCAAAGAAGCAGAGAAGTTAGCAGCCAGGAAAGAGTTTAAGGGTGGCATTTTAATGATTGAAACTTCAGCCCATGAGAACATCAATGTGGATCTAGCATTCATCGCTTTAGCCCAGCAGATCGACAGGGGCAAGGGACGGTCTAAGATTGTACCATTCGTAGAGGCTGCTAGGGCTCGTAAGGAATTGTTGGATGCTTCAACTGAGTCCTTCATGAATCTCATCAGATCTCAGGTAAATAAGCTAACGCGTTGCCTTAATGACTCACTTTGACAAAATTTTTAGTTAATGACTAAGGGTTAAAAAGACATCTTTGCCCTTGTGATAAACTACCATATTATAGGCTACTATAACAAATCATACTACACAGAAAAATTAGTACATTTTAAACTCTTAACACAATTTATTCAGGACATAACATTAATTATAATATTTTTATATATCGGAAAATAGAACAGGCCGTTGCAATTAGTGAAATAAACAGATTTCATCAGCTGACTAAGTGCACGGTAAAAGTACATAACGTTACTTTTCCGTGAGTAGGCACGGCAAAGGGAAACTTTCCAGCCTATCAATATGGATGGAAGGTACCTGTTTCTCTGTGTAGCATCATGTAAAAGTCTTGAAGGATCTCAATGTAATTGCTGTGCCTAAGGAGAGATTGTAGGGTGCTTGACATTTTGTGATACACGATTAAACTATAACCATCACAATTTTCATTATCTGGTTTATTTGATAAAGGTGACAGACTACAGAGCACTTTGGAGCCAGTCAGCTAAGAAATTTGCTAAACATGAAGAGTTTATGGAGTTCACTCGTTTGTTCGGTATTGAAAGTACTCAAAGGCTGTTTCGCCGACATGTCAAAAAGCTCAAAGATGAACATCTGGCCAAAAGAGTGCAAGGTTATATGGAGATGTTACCTGATATCCTTCAAGAAATGGTGCCAGAAATTTCAACATTAAGGGATGGGTAAGTTAATGATTCTGATACCTAATCTGTCTTTATGATTTGTGGTAATGTGAAAGTGTATAAATATAAAACCACTAGCAACGTCTAGCCTTTAACCTATCTTATTTTCCTTTATTTTTTTATTGTATGACATATTCGTTTACAGCTAACTAATCATTAGAGTAAAAAAAAAAAAAAACACATTTTCTGTGCTACGTCAAAGACCTACTTTGGTTTGCAAAATATCTTTCCACTTTGTATTTATACTAATGGCTTGGTTATTTGGCAAATCCCTGTAACGGATCAGTATTGTACAGTTTTTAGCTTTTTTAATGATTCGGTAACCCGGAGAGTGGAGTAAAAATGTATCTTGATGAACCATTTGTCTTTTACTGTAAGCTGATTAGAATGATTTAACCTCTGCTAAAGATTGGATAAGGCAGGTTTGCAAACTCATAAAAAAAAATGTTGATTTACAATGTTTACATGTTTGATCTAAATTTGATAGAAATTGGAGAAGTTAAAAACAATATCTCCTCATGTAAACAATTCAAACAATGGTGGCAATAAGAACCAGCGGGCTTCCCCACAAGTTTGTTCACCTTCTCTATTAAAAATCAACAATTTCCAAAGCAAACCGATTTTAAACCGACCTGATTTTGGCCCGAGACCCGAAGGTAACATTTTTTACCTGATTAAACACTTGAACACTAAACAGATCTGGTCTGCAGCCCCCTAATAGTATCAATGGATGAATGGAATTATTAGTTAGTTCCATTCACCTAGCCTCCTTGGTTTATTTGCCGATTTAATCCTTTAAAAAAATGGTCAAGTTTTTTCAGTTGTATTAGGATAAAGGTGCCTCTCGGGTGTGACCACATCAATTCTAAATACAGCGCTATTATAGCACCTTCATGTAGGCCACGAGGAGAGTTGATGCAATCCGCATGAGTGCAGACAGTATGTAGACTTAAGCTATTAGAGAATTTCTATCAACCGGTCAAGTAGTGTCAGTTAAGCAGTTGTAAACTACTTGTCCTAGCGATTGGGTTCAACCAACTTTCGTCATAAAAAACGTGTGGTATCATTCATATAAACATTGTTATGACAAGGGGCCGAATGGTAGAGCCTGTCACGGTTCCTGAAATTTCCCGAAAACTCCCGGTCAAGGCTCATGGGCCCTGCGGGCCGCTAGTGCCGCCACTGAATTTAAAGAATCAATGTTTTTAGCTTCCAGGGGACATTGAAGCAATGTGTACAGTGGTCTCATACTTGGGTGTTACCATGATGGCTATGGAAAAAATTATAGAGATATTTGCTAAAAGCAAGAAATCCTTTTAAAGTTAATGTTATATACCTACCATCAAACAAGTCTCCCATCAAAACAATTGCTATTTAAAATCTAAGCGAAACTGTAAATTAATTAGTTTGACAGTGATCTGTCCGGAAAATTTATTATGTAGAAGATGTTAACTGCATTCCCAACAAATTTAATTTGCGCTGATTTCAAACTTCTTAAATGATATTTTGGCTAAAAAATGTCAGACCAAAGAAGTTTAACTGAACAATATAATTCACAGTGACTGGCCGACAGTTCAACAGCACATCAAAAACCATCCAGACTTCAACCACTACTTCTACAAGAGTCCAGAAGACATTCCATGGACGGAGCTGGACTGGGATGAAGATGGAGATGGTACCAAAGAGACGAGAATCCCTTATGATGTTCTGGACACTGGTGAAGCAGAAACTGTCTTCCGCAACCACGCAAACTCCCTTCAGCAAGAACACAAGAGATTGGAGTAAGTGTTTTGGAGTGCAACTGTTATGTTTGTCCCCTCATACTTAAATATATTCATGATTTCAATACTTAAATCTTTTGATGATTTAATTATTTGTTACTATCTTTTCAGTTGTTCTTTTAGACAACTGGAATTTTAGTATCTGAATATAAAAATAAGCTTTTTGTTTTGTTTTAAAGCATTTATCCCACATACCAGTACAATCATTCACTTTTAAATAAATTTCATTGTCATAATATTGCATTAGCTTTTATTTCATTCACTAGGCCTGCTCCAGTCTATTTGTTACGCTTTTTAGTTAATTAACTCACTAGAGACTTACTGTCAGTTGTACGTTATGACTTATTTTGCTTGAATCTCAATAAAAAGACAAATATATTGAATGTGTATTTAGTATAGTATTTAGCGTTTCTGAGTTCAGTGTGAAAGCGACAGTTCCCATTTCTTGCCAACCAAATACATTTTGTGGGTTTGGGCTGCTTCCCCATGACACCTAGATACAAAATTCCACTTGTGACAGTAAAAAAGTAGAAAAAAACTATGTAAACCAAACTAAACCGCGAAATAGCTAGTGTAGTGAACACATTGATTGATTGCTCATTGGTAAAGTAATTTAGGGTTTATAGTGTAGTTGTAAATGTTGTTACCAAGGGACGGTTCATGATCAGAGTTACAGTTCTGTTGACAGATGGAAGAAGCAGTTCAAGCAGTTACTGGAGGACACGGGCTACGTAACTCCTGGCAAGTCTCTCTCTGAAGTACGAGTTCTTTTCATGGGACGAGAATGTTTCGAAGCACTATCTGAAGATGACTGCCACTACATATACGACAAACACCAAAAAGATATCATTGAGAAAGCGAAGCACAACTTCCAAGTAAGCATCATCTGTGATCTAGATTTAAAGAAAACCTTAGTCCTCTATGTGAGTAAAAAAAAGTTAATTTCCTCCATCATGAATGTTTAGGTGCTTTCTTGTAATTGTATTACAGTAGTATAACACCTTTAAATAATTTACAATACTAAAATATTTGATGAATATATCAATAGCTGGTGCCAAGGTATTAATTGTAAAAACTACATCAGAACATGATTTTCAAAAAAATTGCAATAGGCTTTATTTTTAAAATTGATAGTTCATTTCAACACTGTGATTTTAATTCACATTTTGCGCATTAAGTTTTACAGAACAATTACTATTGTATGCTAAAATATTAATATCAAGACTAGACAAAATAGTTAGCATAAAAGAGTTTTTTTAAGCAAGTTATACCTCCTGTGTCGGAAAAAGTAGGAACGGACTGAAGCTACAATTCACTATTCTTGTTTCCTCTGATCTGAATTGTGTTGTTTCCAGGAACTGCTGCTGGAACATGCAGATTTGTTTTACCACTTCAAGAGCATAGCTCCTACTGGCACAATCACTCAAGAAGACATTAAAGAAATCACAGATGCTTTAAAGGAAGATTCAAGGTTAGAATAATGGAATCATTTGTTTTAAAAATCGATATCATAGCCTCTGAGCTGATCCTGTGACTAAATCAATGAAGTTACCTTTGTCAATCAGCTCCTGCAGTGTCGCAAATGTTACGACCGTTTCAGCTTCACTGTGCCATCATCAGAATGCTTTTAGGTTCAGCCATAAGGCGTCGTTAACACACAAAATCATGAAATGTCACACGCGACATAAACATACTAGTAGTTTACTAGTAGACTCAAAAATGTAAACTTTTTAAAACACACTGCTTTTGTGTGTTTACGACGTCTTATGGCTGAATGTGTGATGCTGAAACAGCCGTAACATTTTATACACTGCAGGAGCTGATTGACAAAGGTAACGTTATTGATTTGCTTTTAGCCTGATAGATTGCAGACATAAAACATTACGCCAACAGAAATCATAGGTGTCAATTTTTTTTAAATGCAGTTTAGTATATTTATAATAACTACAGAATATGGTGTTAGTCAGATAAAAGCAGTGTTTCATTAAGTAATTTATTTATAGTTATAGCATTTTTTGAAAAGTAAGATCCATAATTTATAATTTATAAAACTTCTTCTTTCTTTTGACTGGGCATTTAACCACGGGGTAGTGCAAAAAAAGGAAACCCAAACGCTAAGAGCTATTTCATGAATATTGCAACAATGATCGATCAGCTGATCGTCAAAAATTGTTGAAAGTGTTGCTTCTTTTACATTTTAACAGTTTTCACGAAGGCTAGGACTACGATAGCCATGCCACAGCACAGTATTCAAAATTGTGTTTGGTGCGTTGAACAATATTTTATTATATATTTTTGGGTTTCCTTTTTTTCCACCACCCAGTGTTTCCTTATTTATTAGGATAATAATGGTGCAAGCAAAACCATAACACCCAAAATCTTTAATGTCAAAACTCGCCAATCTTTTAAACCAAAAGTTTTTTTGTTTTTAAGATTTGATATTTGGTTTTGATACATCACTTTTGAACGAGGCTTCAGTGAGTTTTCCTTTGAAAACATAGTTTTCCCCACGGACAATTTTAGCACTTTTCAAAATGCATCCTACGACTTTCAGACCAGCAGTGATGTAAAATTTTTTTAGTTCTCTACCAAACCTTTTTCCATTTATGTGTGTGCTACTGCTATAATGTTACTGTCATATTGTTTTATTTAAGGCTTTTGCTTTTATGTATTTTTGACTACTCTGTCCTGTGTGTAGTTGTGTAATATTGTTTTTTCACCTTCAGCTGAGGTTGTGTACTATTCTTGTTATGTTTTAAGTACAGTCTAACCTTGATATAACGAACCTCGATACAACGAATTCCTTGATATAACGATTTTTTTTTTAATCCCCTAGAACTCTCCATAAGACACAATGTATATTTTACCTCTACATAACGAACAAACCATAACAACGACCTTGATTTAACGAATTTTTCGTGATTTCGGCTAAAATAAGACACCTCAATATAGCGAATATATCATTGTCAGAACCTCTACATTGCGAATTTAACCTCTGCATAACGAATTGTCTACGTCTTTCCCTCGATATAACAAATCCCCCACCCCATTATTGTTTTTGTAAAATCTGTTTCTTTATAAGATGAAATGGAAAGGTGACGTCATCGCTTGCGCTACATTCGTCTGCTCCGTTTTACACATATCTGTCTGCTGTCGCTGCGCGCGCTATGTTGCAACTGAGAACTGATTTCATTCACTGAGGACTGATGACGACGTAATGTTTAGTAAGCTGTGATTGGGCGATAAGTTACTATGGTGAATTGTACAATTTTTGGATAAAGAGAACCTAAGAAAGAATATAAAAACAAAACCAAAGAGAAAGAATAGCATAACATCGTTATTTTAACAATCCTTTTTCGAGTGTTTTTATTACTGTATCTTTAAGTTGGCTATGATTATACAGTACACTTTTATGATGACTTATTTAATAATTTATTGTTTTCAATACGATTTGTTTCAACTAGCAACACCAATGCTATAGTTAATGATTATTATTGACATTCCTCTGTTGTGATAAATCAGTACTGTACTGTAAGTAGCCTACCGGCCTATTACGAGCAGTAGCTTACAAAACTTTCTACTAGTGTTTTGTTTTGTTCTTTACATGGTTTATGACTACGCAATACAGTGTTTGACTAGGTTTTTAGGAGGGTTAGAACAAGCTGTGATTTTAAACTTACAGTTTTTAACCTGTACCAAGGTCAATGCCATTTTCATGATTGCGCAATATTCAAGATCCCTCCCCTTTTTTATGCCGGATAATTTAGGTTCTACTGTAGAATGTAAACACTGTACTGTAAAGTACATTGTAGCCTATGCTACTTTAATTGTGTTTTAATGATGTCTAATCCCGACCTATATTGACCGACGCTGGTTCTGAACCTCGACTTAGCGAAATTCCTGCAAACATAACCTCTATATAACGAACCTCGTTTTAACGAAATCCTTGATATAACGAATATTCAGTTCGGTCCCTTCAGATTCGTTATACTGAGGTTGGACTGTACATAGTAACCTGAAGGCGGGATCAGATTCTAGATCCTGAATAGTAAATATTTAGGTTTTTACTAATCATTATAGCAAATGTTTGCAATACTCTCTTAATATAAACTAATAAACTTTACCATCACCAAACTAAACCAAATGAACAATCATACTCTTAATAGCTCATAAAGAAATCTTATTTTGCTAGCTTGCTGCCTGTATAGCATTACATAGTTGTACTAATGACTTTTAACAACATAAATTTTACATTAATATTGGTTTATGTCAAATATTGACAAACTCTAATGCACACAATTTTGAATTGCAGGTACAAGGCGCTGGATCGCCTTGACCAAGATCGCAAGTTGATGCTTTTCCAGCATTTAGGTTTTGTCCACTGCCCAATTAGAGAACACTGCCCGGCTTTTCCAAATTGTATGGATGCATTAATAGAGAGAGTACTTAGTAATAAAGCACACAGGTAAGAGAAACAAATCATTAAACTCAAAATTTAACTTAATAAAAATATTAGAAACATCTGATTTCTGTCTGAAAACAGTACTAAAGTTTACATATTGTCAAATTTGCATTACTTTTTAAAGGCAACGCTCAAAAGAGTGAAAATTTTAAATTATATTGAAATTATGTAGCAAAATATCTTGAGGTCCTACTTTCAAAATATATGCGCATTTGTTGTTGTCGTCTAGCTTGGCATTTATTTTTGAGATAACCGTTACTTCTGAACAATACTCGTAACCAAGCAATTCTCTCTTTTGTGCAACATCAGGACTTTGGCATCTACTTACTGTAATTTAAAATCGCCATTTTTTTAATTCTATTGCCAAAACATTTTCTTTTTAAATATCAACAGTGATACTTTTTTTAAGTATAACTACTATACCTTTACTGTGAGAAGTTTTCTTATTTGACATTTCATAGACATTTATTTGGCAAATTCTATGTTTTAGTATAAAAAATATTTGTCTTTAATCTTGTAGGCCATCTTCTTGGAACCACAGTAATCAATGGCTGCTCAATTCCGACAGCAACCAGTTGAACTTGGTTATTTTGGGACAAAAAGGATTGGCTGAAGAGCTTTCCAATGAAATAAGAGTAAGTATTGTCTGTTTTTTGACTAAGTGACTATACCACTGCACCGATTCTCAATACTTCAGATTCTTGATCATTGGTGTCAATTCAAAATTAATACTTAGGTTGATATCAGGAAGAAAAATGAAAAAAATAATATTTATTATAAACGTTGTTTTTTTTATAATGGTGTATCAAATGTAAAAGGTATCTTCTATACTTGTATACCCTGGATTTGTATGAACATATAATATCTTTGAAATATTACGAGTAGCAGGGTTAGTAACCCCTACAAAATTATATTGTACTATGCATTATTGTTTTCTTACTTTGTATACTATGAAAAGTACAACAAATGTCCTTGACTATTTATAGGGTCCTAACATATAATCAATTAATCAGAAGTTTCTTTATGTCAGCCCATTCAGTAATAAAAGAATATAGGTATTGCTTGGGCTGAAATATTTTAAACTAAGTTGCATATGTAGTATTACACTTCATCCCAATCTTGGAAATGGGTTTCAAAGTAAAATGTTATAAAGGAATCCAAAATACCATTCAGTGTATTCCTTAAATAAAATGCATAGATGCATACAATGCAATACAAGTAACCTAAACCCTCAAGTGAAAACCAGAATGACTCTCAAGAAACTTGAGCTGGAGCCAATTCGTTGTCAGACTTTTGCTCTATTCCTTTCCAAAAGTAGATTTAAAGACAAGTCAATGTCAAACATTTTAATCCTAGGTCGACGATAGACATCTCTGCACATGCAATCTAGTTTCAGCACCACTTAGACACTACAAAATCATTTGGAACCTCAATTGCTTGCCATCTCAGACTGGTTTGAGTTGTAATCTAATGGAACCAAAGTATCATTATGGTACTAGCCACATGGAACTGCCAGTAACTGAAGTGATAAGATAGGGCAGGTAGTCTGTCTTATCAGCCAAAGACACTGCCTTGTTATTTGGTTGGCCCAACCATAGCTTCTGTAGGTTGAGGAATTGAACAGACTATATTGACTCAAAGGTATGTTTGTTCAATTCACCAAACTAATCCGCTGCAGTTACAATGTTATCTAAAAAAAAAATGTACTACAAAGTGAATATTTTGAGTAGGAAGAAATTCGGGGTTTATTTATTTATTAGGTATCTTTACAATCTCAAAGCCTTAAAATTGTATTGGAAGAGAATTCTAGATGTTTAGTTTAAGCATGCTACATTTGAAATGATGTGAAACTAGTTGCAAGTTTTTCCCATAAATTGGTTTTGATTGGTTTAGTTTAGTCAGTAGTAAGCTTGTTTAGTACGTCTGAAATAGGCCTACTTTTTTGTTACCTGCTTTTTTATTGGATTTTTGCCAAATATCACACATGTACTTAGTGTAACAGTCAACATCAAATCTATGTTTAACTACATGAGTACAAAGATTTATGGAATAAGCCGACGTGGGCAGCGAGCCTGTGCGTCAACTAAGGTTCATGTACAAAAAATTACCATGCAAATTTAAAAGAAAAAGAAATCTTATCAATACAATTGTTAGTTAAGGTACCTGTTTATTTGTTTAGTTACATTTTACCTAACTATGTTTGTTACAGGCCCAGTGTGATGATGATGAGTATGAAATAGACTGCCATTTGTATTGCTTAGAGTATAGAATAATTGATGGGGATGTAAGTCTGCCCCAGAATTCCTTCCAGTCAATAGACTTCCTCCCTCATGGTAAATATAATTTGTAGATAAATTTTATTTAACCATTATTACAGTATGAGTATGAGTTAGTATCAACTGTCTGAGGCTGTGTTAAAAGAACATTGATCCTCTGTTTTATTAATCTATCTGTTAGTGTATGGTGCTAATATGTAATTTTAAGGACCTAAAAATGCTCTCTGGTGTTAATTTGTTTATACATATTTGTTTACTTTACATAAAGTCTAACTTATATCTTGTCAGTGCTCAGAGAGCAGTCCACACATACGAGACCCGATCCAACCATTTACAAAATGCAGAAATAAACTAAACAAAATAGACTCTTTGGACTGTGTGTCCCAATTTATGTAATTGGCGTGATAGCGTATTTGTGATAAAGAGTTCTATTCTAATCTTTCTATCTTAATCTTCTATTCTATTCAATAATCACCTAAGAAGTGACAGTTAACTGTTGATTCGGTTGATTTGTTACCATGCTGTCACACTGTTACCACAGTTGAATCATTGAATCCAATGTTTTTTTACAAGTAGGCCTATAATACTTCAGAAATATTGTTCCTCTCTTTTAAAATAGAATTAAATTAAATATCCTGTTAATGATGTGTCAGTTCCAAAAGACGGTTGTCGCTTCCAACGGTTCTTGGTGAAATAGCTGTCACACTGTTAGCAGAGTTCAATCCAATGTCCTTTTTCAAGTCTAATACTTCAGAAATGAACGTAAAACCTTAACCTAGAGGCAGTTATGTAGGCCTAGTTAAGTACACATGTGGTTTGTTACAGGTTGTTTTTGTGTATACTCAAATTCAGAAAGTTTTGAGTATATTCGTGATAGTTTGGAAAAGACTTTACTCTCCAATCTGGAGCAAGAGGATCGCCTGCCATTCCAAGGCCTTCCTATTGTTATACTTTTTGTAGCTGACAGCTTAGTTGAAGAAAATGAAATAATAACACTGAGAGAGGAAGGCCAAAGCCTTGCTGATAGGTGAGTTACATTTGCATTATCAAACAATTTATGATGTTGTTTTCTTTGTATTTTCATTTTCTTTAACAGACCTGGGGAAAAAAAGAAACATAATAGTGGATATTTTCTTAGTTTGATATTAGAAGTTTTTTTGCTATGCTTTATTCAAAATCTGGTGTCTGAGCCAGCTTAGACTTGTCGCAGAATTTTGGAATTTTTGGTTGATAAAAAGTTAAATTTGTGAGGTTACAAATGAATTTGTTTTCTAAAACTCTCTCTAAATTAAGAAGCATCCTTTTAGGCTTTTTAATTAGTGTACAATTTATTGTATTTTGCTTAAACCTGCCATGAAATCTAACACCTGATTTAACAAGTTTCTGTAAATGTTAAGATCAAGCTCAAAGGAAACATTAAAAGTTTATTTAAACGAGTTGCTGGTGGTAGAGTTTTTATTTTCAGTAAATTAGTATGTCAAACAGCATTGGATAGATATATTTAATTGAACATCTTTTATGTGTTGTCAATGCCAATACGTTCTCAGTTTAAATATATTATTAAATGTTTTGTTTGTATTTTCTATACCGGTCAATGGAGATTGCAATTATAATTTTATTTTAACTGTCAAACAAAAAACTCTTATAATTCAAATCAATCACAGTTTAAATCTCTGGCAACATACATAAAAAAATCTGGCTTTCCCTTAATGCAGACATTAAAACAGAGCGTGCCGTTTTCAAACTTGTAATAGCACCCTAAACATTTTATGTTGTTTATATCTTACCACAGAATTATGAATCAAGAACTAATAATGACAACAGATGTAACTTAAAATTTTAACTTGTTTTGGAGGACATATTTTCTAGGAATTCTTGTCTGATCCAAAATTCAAGCTTTTTTCAGTCTTAAAGAATTTTTAAATAATGTTAACTCGTTCTTTGTTTGAGGTAGGATATTATGGTAAGAGTGTTGGTTATACCTAATTGATATTTTCACGATATGGTATTTATTTGATTGTTTTCTACCAGCTTGCAGTGTCCATTTATTGATGTGTCGCTGGAAGAGGTCAATGGGGAACACCGGTTCAACGCCTCTCTTGTTGGCAATGCACTCCGTCAGCTGGTCCTAAGCATCAGACATAGGGCTGGCTTCATCACTGTTTACCAGTCAGTCATGGAATGTTCGGAGCCTGACATCAGGTGAAAACAGTTGCTTAATTAGATGTATGGAGTAAAGGAGTTGAACCAGAGTGATGACAATGTTAGCCACCAGACGTGGAGCAAGAGCCATAAACCATTTTTTACACTATAAAACCCCCTGCAAAACGCCTTTCCCATTGTCCAATCATGCTGGTTCGCAAACTCATTCAAGTTTATTCTGCCTTACACCTTCAAACCAAATTTCAAAATGAAAAAGTAAATCGGTCCCGGGTCTAGGTCTTACCGTAGGACCTACGGTAATAGCTACTTCCCTATAAGGAAATTCGCTAAAACATACAATTTAATACCAAGATCAAGTTTTTAGCTTGAGTGGTTTCCAAACTACTTAAAATAGAATCAAACATTAACATCCACTATTTTCCAAAATGGCGTCCAGAAAAGAGAGTCCCACTCATATAGAGCGAACACCAGTCAAAATATCATCTCTAAAACTGTTCAATAAAATCTAGCATAGTGTTTGCTGGTTAGCTTTCGGGGTGAGCCAACTTTGGCATTTTGGCCATCCTTCTCCCCAATAATTCATATTAAGCCATTTTTAAAGAATTAATTTAATGTTAGTCTATATTGTGAAAAACAAAATTGTTTTTCTGTTTCAGGATTATCATGTGCATGTTCTGTGGAGATCCATACTCTGTAGAAAATGTCCTCGCTCCTTTGCTGAATCACCAGTGCTGCTTTCTCAGTGGAGAGCGCAGTATCATACTTGAAACATTTCTTGGCTCCTCTAAACGTAAAGTCGAGGTCATTATTTCCTCGTTCCATGGTGCTAACGCTTTTAGAGAAGAACTGGTTCATGGTTTCATCCTGGTGTATTCGACAAAGAGGAAAGCGTCATTAGCAACACTGAAGTAAGCTATGTTATATTTAATTTGTATTAATGCTATTTGAGTTTATAAATATATACAGGGTTGTCAGCGACCAGTAATATCCAGTAAAATTAGGAATTATTCGTGAATTTTTACGGACGTGAAAAAACTGGGAAATATGCGTGTAATTTGTATTATTCGGGGGGTTTTCTGTGAATTTCAGTCTATTTCTTTTTCTAATTTTTGTTGAGGAATTTTTTTTATCCATTTTGGGCCACCTTATTAATAAATTTGATAGCGAACAAATTTTTTCGGTTTACCGGCGAGTGACGATGGGTGGTTGGGAAGTAGGTGAGTTGGATACACTACCATGACTATGCGGGAAGCCGCCGCCGTCGCCGCTGCTCGCCGGGAGCAGACTACACCTGTTGTGTTGATTGCTGAACTGCAACCGACTAAACTGACTTCCACTCTCACTGTGACTGTAGTTGGCACTTGGCAGTGTGTTTTATTCAATGTTCATTGTAACTGTAGGTACAATTTTTACGAGTAAAGATCAATTAGTGATAGGGTGTCTACCAGTCGGGAAAGTGGGAAAAAAGGTCAAGAAAAGTTTTGAAAAAGTAATGAATTTCGGTCGATGGTCGGGAATAATCTAACCCTCAAAATTAGGGATGTACGGGATCTCAAAAAACTTCATTAATTCTTTGGGATAGTGTATCCCCGATCATTGGGACGGGATTTTCTAGGCTTGTGGCGATGACAATGTTTCCGCGATAGCAAAAAATATCAATTCCGCGAACCCAGGAGACGATGATGATATCTCTGTGATGTGGAGATCTTTACGCTTGCACCGTGACCACGAGACAAGTCGAAGATGGCACCGCGAACACGGGACATGTTAACAATCACGCCGCAAGCTTGGGACATATTGACGATGGTGCCAGAACCAAGGGACATGTTGACGAATAAAAATGAGGATGTGAAACATGTTTTGGGCTTTTCTTATAAGTATTATAGACACCGGGAATTCCACACTTTTTAGTCGGAAAACCAGGGAAAATCCATGAATTTTCTGCTGACAACCCTGTATATATGTTTCGTGAACTTTTTAAAATAAATTTTATAATGCTATTTATTTTTGACATGCAATATTATTGACAATCAATTATCTTATTTAATGTTTTTTTATATTTCAGTGCGTTTTCCATGAACATACCCAATCTTCCTATTCAAATAATGGCTGTGACTGATAGTGGAGGTGCCAATGCTTTCTTCAGCAACGATCTTAGTCACCAGCTGATAACAGAGGGCAATGCTACTGCTGACCGTCTCCAGGCTCATTTCATGACTTCTACTTCTAACTTTCAACAAAAAAGTAAGTGATTACTCAAAAACAAAGATCACTTACTTCTGTGTATGCATGAGCTTTTGTCTTGTCGACGTATTGTAGTAGTAACACATAAAGCTTGCACATTTTTATAAGTAATGCAATGAACGTACGTGATGTAATTTACATTCAAGCTATGTACATTTGTTCAAAATGGACATAGAAGATTCTTACTATATCAACTATCTTTTAGTCAATCTAGATAATCTGTTATTTGTCAACTTTATTCGTAAGATACCCAGTTCAGTATTATTTGGTTTACAGCTGCATTTTACACCCCTTTCTTCAAAGAAGTTTGGGAGAAGAAGCCAGAGATTGAACAAGCATTCCACATGGAAGAGCCGGCCCACCCTCCTGGAGATGGAATCCATCCCCTGCCACCTCCTCGTCATGAGAGCTATCTCATCAAACTGGGCTCCAATGATGGGTATGTCAGAATCAGAAAAGCTTTAGTCAAGATTTATACAAAATATACATGAAATATATGTATATATACAGAATGGCGTCAAAACCGCTTCTTTTATTACTAATTAAAAATAGTTGGTTAAATAAAATAAACTAAAAAAAAACTGGAAATATTAATTACTTAATATGTTTTGTTCAGTTTGGGTTCCAGCAGTCATAGTAGATTTACTTTCTTTGTTTGTATGCATTTGCGTTAGTTTCTCACTTAGTTTGTTAATCAGGCATTCCTCATTTTTAATATGACCTTTTAAGTGAGAGATATCTACCTTGAAATTTTTTATTTCAGTTCTAAATTTAGAGTATAACTCATCAGACTCTTCTTCAGCTAACCTCGAGAGACATTTCCATTTTCCTTTTTCCAACATAAGTTGATTGTTGATTTTGCTTGGTTCTAAAACACTAGGTCCATCCTCGGATTCATTATGTTTATCGGTTTCAGAAATAAATTCATCTGCTGTATTGTTGCAAAAAGAATTAGCTTCATCAATTGCTAATTTTAGCAGGTTAGATAATTTCTTGGACGAAAAAATATTTTCTACATACGTAGAAAAATCAAATATATCCATTTGCTTTCAGGTGCCAGTTTGACCGGTTCCAAAAAATTTTAACTTATATCTGTCTTTTTCAATTGTAGTTATTAAAGCGTGAATACTTTTTATATTAAAAAGGTTAAATGTCAGTTATTAAATGATGAATACTGTTTTGAATCCTCTTGTATAGAAATAATAGATTGTAAGATTATTGTTGTTTCCATATATAGAATACCAGGTAGTAGTGTTACACAGCTATTTTTATGTAAATTTAGATCTTTTCTGGAACTAATACAAAAAAAGGATTTCTCAAAGAAAATCATAGTAGCAGCTGATTTCAACATAGATAGGCTATTTAAAAAAATGATAATGATACAAAAATGTTTGAGAACTTGTCTTGTAATTTTGGTCTGAAAATAAATTTTAGACAGCCAACTAGAGTATTTAAAACATCAAAAACATGCATAGATAATATTCTCACAAGTGTAAGCTATGATAAAAACGCAACCATAAATATTGATCTTGGCATGTCTGACCATAATGCATTATTTTTACAATTGCCTAAAACCCTAACTTGCCTGAAAGTATACAGGGTGTCTCAGACCACCCGGCCGGCTTGTATAGCTCCAATATGAAAGCAAATGGAAACCTAATTGCAACTGGAACCCCCTATTTTGACCCCAAGGAATTCAGCTAAATTATTTTCAACCCCAAAAAAGCACCCCAAAGGGCAGATTTTGGGGGGTGGGGGTGGTTTTTGGGAAATTTTCAAATGTAAAGGGGGGTCGTGTTATACCTCTTTTTAAAGGTCCTTTAGTCCTGAGTATTTTAGTGGAAAAAGATTTAAATTATCTTCATCCCTATTTACAGGGTGTTCAAAAACGTACAAAAAATAGCCCTTTGAACTACTTTTCACTGTAAAGAAGTGGAATTTTGTGGGGGGTTCAAATTTTGATAACACTTTAATTGCTAAATGAGCTTTCAAAAAACTCTGGTTTCAACCCTTTTGCTATCTTTTTACTTATGTTACGCATTTTCAAACTTTTTGAAGTTTCAAAAGCTGTTATCTCAAAAATTTCAAATGGCAACATGGGTTTAATTACAAACCACATTGTAGCCCTTAAAATTTGCTATAATTTTTGTATTTAATGTTTTTTGGTATCTTCATTGGTTAAAGAGATATAACGAAATTAGTGTATTTTAATGTTTTATTAAATGGTATTCAAAGTGTTTGCTGTTGTAAATGTACACTTCTAGGTCTCAATTAAAACTAATTATGTTAAAAAATTAAAATACTACCCAGATTGTTAAACTTGGAGGATTAATAAAGGAAAAAACACAACTGCAAATATTCTTAGTTATTTTACAATTACAAAGTTCTAATAGTGCTTTGAATGAATACTGTCTATAAATGCTACTGGTAAATAAAAAAAATCATCATGAAATCAATGAGCGTGTGCATGAAACTGGTCACGTTTGATTAGATAAATCAAATTATAAGGAACTTACTGGATTTGTACGAGAGGTGAATGCACCTGCGGTAGTAAAACAGCAATACAGTACCATAATAGTGAAGAATTACATGCACTGAGTACTACATGCATAACAAAGTTGGGGTTTGCATGGAACAAAATGGAAGGCAATTTAAGCATTTGTAGAAGTCCATCAGTATGTAGGCTATTAATGCTGATTCAAACAAATTATTCATTCAAAGAACTATTAGAGCCATGGAATTGTAAAATAACTAAGAACATTTGCAGTTGTGTTCTTTCCTTTATCAATCTTCCAAGATCAACAATCTGAGTACTATTTTATTTTTTTAGACAAGATTTGTTTTAATTGAGACCTAGAGGTGTACATTTGCCACAGTAAACACTTTGAATACCATTTAATAAACCATTAAAATACACTAATTTCGTTATATCTCTTTAACCAATGAAGATACCAAAAAACATTAAATACAAAAATTATAGCAAATTTTAAGGGCTACAATGTGGTTTGTAATTAAAGCCATGTTGCCATTTGAAATTTTTGAGATAACAGCTTTTGAAACTTCAAAAAGTTTGAAAATGCGTAACATAAGTAAAAAGATAGCAAAAGGGTTGAAACCAGAGTTTTTTGAAAGCTCATTTAGCAATTAAAGTGTTATCAAAATTTGAACCCCCCACAAAATTCCACTTCTTTACAGTGAAAAGTAGTTCAAAGGGCTATTTTTTGTACGTTTTTGAACACCCTGTAAATAGGGATGAAGATAATTTAAATCTTTTTCCACTAAAATACTCAGGACTAAAGGACCTTTAAAAAGAGGTATAACACGACCCCCCTTTACATTTGAAAATTTCCCAAAAACCACCCCCACCCCCCAAAATCTGCCCTTTGGGGTGCTTTTTTGGGGTTGAAAATAATTTAGCTGAATTCCTTGGGGTCAAAATAGGGAGTTCCAGTTGCAATTAGGTTTCCATTTGCTTTCATATTGGAGCTATACAAGCCGGCCGGGTGGTCTGAGACACCCTGTATACAAAAGAATTCGCTTTTTTCCTATTAAAAAATTACCACTTTTTATTAATTCATTAAGTGACAATATCAAGTCTTTAGCTCTAGACAAATCTGTGAATGACAACTACAAATCTTTTTTATCTAGTTTTACACTTTCACTGAATGAAGTTTATCCTGTGAAATTAATTAAAGAAAAGAAAAACCAATGTAAGGAGAATTGGATTACTCAGGGTATAATGATTTCTTCAGAGACTAAAAGAAGATTACACCAATTGGCAAAAACATGTAGACAAAAATCATTTTTGAACTATGTTAAGAACTATAAAAGAATTTTCAAAAAGGTAGTTTTGCAGGCTAAGAGATTGCATAATAGTAATTTTATTATTAAATCTTGTAACAAGAGTAAAGCTATGTGGGGAGTTGTTAAAAAAGAACTGGGCATTCAAGTAAAAACGGAGACTACTACTAAAATTGATGTTGGGGATAGGATGATAAATGAACCCAAAGAAATTGCAGAATATCTTAATGTTCAATTTTCCAGCATAAAGGAAATATTAAATGTGCCAAATGTCTCTTTCATCAATAACAAGTACATCAGTCAAAACTCTAGAATCAGACAATACAGATAAATTACAGTTTTTGGCTTTTACCAACAAATTTGAAGTTAAAAATGCTATCTTAAGTTTAAGTAATAGTAATTCTTGTGGTTGGGATGAGATTCCCACTAAATTATTGAAATGGACTGCTGACATTATTTCTGATATTATAGCTAGACTCGTCAATCAATCATTTAGTGAGGGTGAATTTCCAGACTTGCTAAAATTGTCTGAAATCAGACCAATTAAAAAAAAGCACACATAATAATAGTCAAAATTACAGACCAATTTCTTTACTCAGTAATGTATCTAAAATTTTTGAAAAAATTATTCATCTTAGAATTGCAAATTACCTGGAATGTAACTCAAAACTGTGTCAAGAGCAGTTTGGTTTTAGAAGAAATCTAAGCACACATAATGCTCTTTTTACTTATATTAGTAGTGTCCTTGAAGCTCTGGATCAGTCACAGTTGACTGCAGGAGTTTTCTGTGACTTATCCAGGGCTTTTGACTGTGTGGACCACAGGTTGCTGCTGATCAAATTGAAGAATATTGGCTTGGAGGGAATGGCACTAGAATTATTACGATCATACCTATTCAATCGAAAGCAGCGCACAATAGTAATAAAAAAATCAATAAAATATTATTCTAACTGGGCCAGCGTTACATATGGTGTTCCCCAAGGTTCCATACTTGGGCCTTTATTATTTATTAATGACTTGCCTAATTGCCTTTCCACAAATTCCTGTGCTTTCACTTTGTATGCCGATGACACAACTGCTCTTTTAAAAAGAAAAACACTAAGTGAACTTAAATTAACTTTTGACAGCACAATTAAACAAATCAATCTGTGTTTACAACAACAATCAAACAAATCTGTGTTTAGATTAGAGGTTTGAGAGCCATGGCCTGAAATTAAATGAATGTAAAACTAACATTCTTCAATCTAAACTCAGAAACAGAGTTACAGACACCACAATCAGTAATACAAAAATTGTTAAGTTTTTAGGTCTAAATTTAGACTCAAAATTAAGTTGGTCTGATCACATTCATCATCTAAATAAAAAATTAAGGTCAACAAGGTATTCACTAAGTGTACTATCCAAGGTCACGCCGCTAGAAGTCTGCTTGACAGTATATCATGCGCAGTGTTGGGGAAGCTACTTTTAAAATGTAGCTAGCTACAACTACTGCTACATTTCCTAAAAAGTAGCTTAGCTACAGTTACAGCTACATTTCCGAAAAAGTAGCTAGCTACAACTACAGCTACAATGAAATGTAGCTACAGCTACAATTTTAGCTACTTTTCCAAAGACGTTACTTTTTATTCCATGCACATTAGGTAAATGTAAAATTAATTTCAACTTCATTTTTATTGAACAAACATTTAAACAAAAAATGTCACATTAACTAACATTACTTTTAAAACAAATTATTCCTAGAGTGTATTTAATTTGTTGGCATTATAAACCGAACATTACAACAACAGAAACAAATAGTTGGGTGTCCCATCATATTAAGTACCTACTTATTTTTAAATAACTTATTGCGTTATTTTTAAGCAACTTATGTAAATTTCATTAAGTTCAAAGGACACACAACCAAACTATATTTTAAAAGCTCATTTTATTTCTTAAATATAGATTCATTTATAGATGTCTTATATAAACAATTAAGACCAATAAAACTGTAAAACGATTATTTAAAAATATTTTTTGTGTTACAGAGCCTAGCCTACTGAAATTGGAGTTTATTGCCTTTCTTTTCTTTTAATGTTAAAAACGACATTGCTATAACTTTTAAACATAGTGATAAGTTACTTGTTCTATGAATAACACTTTTCAATGTCAAGAAATCGTCCTTTATTGTCATTATGCATAGGGCAAATTGTGCTTCAACCTAGTTGGTACAGAAAACAGTATTCAGCAACTCATTCTGAAATCGGCTTTTAATTTAAACATGTTGAAATTTGTAAAGTAACAAATTTGAAAATAACATGTAGGCCTACTTGGCTATGTAACAAGTTGGCTATAGTAGGCTTGTTCTTGCAAGGACTAAACAGATATATTCATAATAATTGAACTTGGAACTTGGCATTCTTCTTAAACCATAGCATAGCCTAGGAATAGTCCTATACAAGAGCTGTTAGCAGGAGCAAACTATGCTATTTTTTCAATGTAAGTTTCATGTTATATGGGGATTTTTTCGTTACAATTATCATGTAGTCTAGGCATATCTTAAATCTCAAGTAATTTCCTCTCTGTTAATTTAGTAAACCTTTGAACAATCTTCGTAATCTAACCAAGGAAGGGCTTGTGATGATGAACCAATATCAACAGCTGAAGCAAAGGTTGATAGACCAGCTTTCTCATTATTTTAAGGTTTAGTGTTGGTTTTTTGTTTCCATTAAAACCCAAGTTGAAACACTATCGATGTAATAAAGAAACTAAATTGACTACTAATTTCCCTGTCAATCACTTGCAAGCATTCAATAGCTTCTCTTGTCACCGGTAACGTTTAAACGTCGTCTGCATCTAGTGATTTTATTTTATCTGACAGTAATCATAGAGTAGTAAATTAAGGAAATGAGAGCCAAAAATGTGGATAACACTCATTTAATGGCCTCCATGTCCACACAACGTTGTAATAGGGAATGAAACGGCTGCAACCAGCTGTATGAAGCCAAGAAAGTAGGCCTAATTTTTTTTGAAAATCTCAGTTTGAAAGAGGTTGTTTCACGTAAGGTTGAGGTTATGATAAAAATCACTATCTCAAACAATGTTAATGTAGCGAGAAAAGTAGCTAAAATTCCGCTACAACTACTTTAAAAATGTAGCTAGCTACAGCTAAAGCTACAAAATCTTAAAAGTAGCGTAGCTACAGCTAACGCTACAAAAAAAGTAGCGCGCTACTGTAGCGTCGCTACTTGTAGCGCGCTACTTCCCAACACTGATCATGCGTATGTTCATTCTTTGCTGGCTTATGGCGTCACTCTATGGGGTAACTCTGCAGAGGCCAAGAAAGTGTTCACTTGCCAAAAGTCAATTCTCAGAACTATTTTTCACCAGAAGTCCAAAAAAAGCTGTAAACCTTTTTTCAAAAAACATTCCATTTTAACATTACCTTCTCTTTATATATTTGAAATAGCAAAGTATGTTCATGCAAATCCTTTCTTTTTTGAAAAATATAAGATAAATCATAACTATCAAATGAGAAATAATAACAAAACTTTTCAATATCCCAAACATTCGCACACAAAATTTGAAACTGGGCCTCTGTACATGTGATTAAAAAAAATCTACAATCATTTACCTAATTCATACAGAACTTTATCAAAATCAAATTTTACATATAAACTGAAAGAGACTTTGAGCCAAAAAGCGTATTACAAAATTCAGACGTTTTTTAAAGATAAATTGTAATAGTTTTTACTCTTGTCAGGGTATAATTAGATTAAGGAACCTAGATATAAATTAGATATAAATTGATGACCATGTACCAGCTTGGGAATTACTTTTGTAATTATTGTATCAGGTGTTATGTACAATAAAGCTTTGTCTATTGTCTATTGTCTAAAGCAGGCCATGGCTTATGGCCTTTTATATTAGCAAAAACCACATCATTAATTGAAAACATTATTCACATCAGCAGAACAACTATCTACTATCCAGTGATGTAGCTCATAAATGGTTCAGATTCTAAATAAACAGACAGCTGATTAGGTCTTGTGAGTAGTCCTTGATTAATAAGGAGCAGGTTGACTGTGGTCAGTGAGGCAGGGTTCAGCAGCTGACGAAAGTCTGTATTGTTTAGGCACCAGTGCCTAACCTGTCTAGTGCCTAACCTGTCCAGATCATGTTCTAAGCGGATTAATACACAGGAAGTCAGAACCCAATTTAAAAAATAGTGCCAATTATATTAGTTTTTGTGATCTTTGTAAGTTTTTATTATAATTATAATCAAACTCACTGTTTTAATTATTATTCAGAATACAATTTGTAGTGATATAAAATACTTTTCTATCACTTAGATTATAGAACAGAAAGCTGCTAATTGCTACATTTACTTACTTTATCACTTTGGTTTATACTTTGGCGCACACCAGTATTTCGACCAAACAACACAAAACAGCGTGGTTTTATTATGCACGTAATCCATGTACGCTTGGAAATAGGTTGGCAACACTTAAAGATACTGCTACTATGATCAGTAGATTGACTATTGATACTACGATTTAACCTGTAATTTTGTGTTTATATTCTATTTTTGTTCAACGCTTGGTTTGAACATAACCTAAAGTGTAGTATTTGAAAGAATAATTATAAGTGGGCCTAACATGTTTGAAAATAATGAACTCAGTGAAAGTGATTGTGAATATATATGTACACCAAAAGAAATAGCAGAAACTGCAAAACATGTTTTACTACACCTGTTACCTGAAAATTCTGGAAAGAAGTATGAACGAGCATATAAACTGTTTTATTCTTGGTGCGTAAGTAAGAAAGTTTTAAATTGTCAGAAAATGTGTCATTGGCATATTTTGCAGAACAAACAAAAGTGATTAAGTCTTCAATACTTGTTTATTCTGTTTATACTGATTATTACTGTTTATACGTGTACTCTTGAAAATAATTAACAGAAAGATACTTACAATCAGCTGGTGCAGTGTTTCCCATTCCGTTCAACGCATGTGTTCAACCTATCCTATAAACGTGTTATATAGTGTTTGAAAGACTAATTAATTATATGCTTTATAGTGACTGTAGGAAAAATATTATGTGTAACACGAGTGCAAATGGCCTTTACGGCACTCGAGAAACATTCCGCACACTCGCCTGCGGCTTGTGCGTAAACATTTCTCTTGTGCAGCAGAGTGCCACTTTGCTCACTAGTTACACAAATAACTAAATTGCTTATTGTGAGTGCTCTTTATTTAGGAATAAAAGTGGTTTGAATTCATCACTGAAAACATGGATGACAATTTGCATCCAATTTGTAAGTAAAACTATTTAAGATATTATTAAGTTATTTACTGTCTTCTTCGAATAGGTATATGAAAAACTTGTTAAAATTATTACAACTATATTTTATATATTTTGCAGGTGTGATATGTTTGGGGCAGACGATGCTGAACAGTTGTCTAGTGGGACCGAGGATAGTGACACTTATTCTCTCATCGACAATTACAATCAAGATAATGACGACTGTCCAAAGCAAGACAGCAAATCTACAAGTAAACTGAGTCAAGGTAAAATCTCAGTTTCCCCTTTTAAGTGTGAAATTTAGTAAAAGCTTGCCTAATTGTTGGAAATGCCTGAGTGAGATTACAAACTTCGGAAAGAGTGAAGAAAGTAGCTAAGCTGTTATTTGTGTTATTTTAACGTTGCTTACTTACGCCTTTGTCTGTTCTTTTCATATAAAACTTGAAAACAATTTTTGTTTCCAATAGCCTAATTCTACTGTTTGTTAGTGGCTAAAAATTGTTTTCAATGTATTTTTTGTGTACCTTTAAAAAACAGTTAACCATTAATGTTAAACATTAATCACTTAGAATATTTCTACCATTTATCGTTGTCTTTTTAAGTAGTTTACTAATGTCATTTTGCACTTTATAATATAATAGTAGGTTGAGTTTTTCTTTATTAACTTTCATAAAATCTAAGTTCATGTTAATGTTAGTTTGATTTCTGTGTGGCGTTCTTTCAGAATAGTTGTAGCTATATCACACACTTATACATTCATAGAGTCAGTCTTTATCACTTGTAGCCTCGTTTAGTGACTTAAATTTGGGTTTTCAATGTTTAACTTGATTAAGCTAATCTCAGTTTGGTGAGTTCAAAGCTGTAAAGTAATATACATTTATATTTGCCAGGAACCGGAATATCCATTTCAAGATTCACTAAATTCTAGGGGTCTGGGGTGCACCGAAAAAGTCGGTACAGTACGGTTCTAGCTTAATTACCGTCATCGGTTCGGTACAGCATTTTACAGGGTACAAACTCGGTTGGGGTACAAACTCAGTTCGGTACAGCCTACTATAATAATAAATTACTTTCAGTTTACTATCGTAGTCAACGATGGTTGGTTCGAGTACATAAAAGGCTTATCAGATGTTTGTTTACAGTCTTCCCCTAATTACTAGGGTAGTGATGCAATATAAAACCCATTAGCAGTCCCAAATCCATTAATACTTTATCGGCCTTTAATTGTTGTACTCAAGTACTTCCAAGAACTCGTGAGTTTTATCAATTTTATTCCTTTACGACTTAGTGATGGGTCGGTACCACTTTTTAAAAGTCGGTACCGGTACCGGTTCCTAGCCAAAATTGATTCTCGGTTTCTTATTTTTTTATCGGAAGTATTTCAATTTTAAAGTATTTTGCATTAGTATTATTAGGTTGGTACAAAACGTAAGGGATTAAGAAAATAAAACTTATTTGAAAAAAAAAAAAACATATCATTCACTCCCGCAGTCACGGAAACGTCATCGTGTAGACGTCATCATCATCTCCCACGATCGCGGCAAAATCATGAACATCTCCCGCAGCCGTGTAGACATCATGAACTCCCATGGTCGCGGAAACGTCTTCCTCGTCGTCCACGATCGCGGAAAAAACCTGAGCATCTTGCGGCCATGTATAGACGTCATCGTCGTCTTCCGGGATCGCAGTAACGTCATCGTCGTCATCCCCGCGGCCGTGTAAACATCATTATTGACTCCCGCAGTCATCGTGTAGACGTCATCATCATCTCCTGCGATCGCGGTAAAATCATGAACATCTGTTGTGGCCATGTAGACGTCATCTTCGTCTCCTGGGATCGCGGTAACGTCATCGTCAACATCCGCGATCGCGATCGCGGCAAAATCATCTCCCGCGGCCACGGAAACGTCATCGTTGTCTTGCGCAATCACGTTAATATCGGTAAATTTTATCATTGTCATTTTATCATTATCGGTACTGATGGTACCGGTACCGACCTTTTACCATCGGTTCTCGGTTCCGAGATTTGCCGTGATGTACCGACCCATTACTATTTACGACTTTCATTTATTACTAGTGTAATGACTATTATGATATCCAAATTCTACTTTATTATAAAAACAATAGTTTTTTAATGGCCGTTAAATTTCATCTCTAACTCTAGTATTTTACAACTACAACAGTAAAATTTCTTTTTTGTAATAAAATATTTACAAGACACAACCTGCCATGAATTAAATTCTTTGAAAATAATCTGTAACAGTTTTACGTTTTTGAATAAAGAAATGAAATGTGATATTTTGAACAAAAATAATATGGGAGCCTACAGAATATCAATAATGGACCAAAATAGTATAAAAATAAAATGCATAAATATGCTAGAATTTTGAAATACTATTTTAAGAATTTTCATGATATTGTTCCTGGATAGTGACTGTACCTATAATAGAAAATATACTATATTGAAAAGTTTTACTCAACTAGTGCAAGCTGGCCCTTTTTTAAGGTAGTTTTGATAATCCAGGTGATTTGATAATTGGAATGGTGTCTAGTCCCAATTAATCTGGATTATTGGCGCTCTATTGTATTTGCTAATTTGTAATTTGTGCCTACCACTTGGAGGAGTTCCAAAATATGAAACCACTGCAATGCCAATGCACACAAAAAGGATATTATATACTGACATAGATACATATATGACATAATTTGCCTCTTCAAAGGAATAAGAATTAATGTAATGAATCTTAAATTTTTTAAATTTTTTTTTGAAAATCCAATTATGTAAATGAACATTCTCTTAGTCTGCAGGTTTGCTGCGGTGGGTTATTTTTTTAAAATCATTTGGCTTTTGATATTACGTAGTGTGTGAGAAATTCCACACACATATCTTGTGCAAGGAGTCAGTAGCAGATGGAAACTGCTAAATCCTAACAAACCTTGAAGGTATTTGAAAAATAAGTTAGAAGGAAGGGTTCCAATTTTCTGGAGTTGGGTGAGTGGTTGACAGTCGGTAGCGTTGTGGGCTGCTTTACTATGACGCCTTGTTGCGGCCTCTAATAATTTATCAGTTTGTCTATTCTGGGGATGCACCGGCCTCCCCTTGCTTTGGTTATCTGTTTATAGGCCTAAAGCCTATATGAATGAGAGAGTGCAAGATTAAAAGTGGCCACCAACCTCTAAAAATGCCAACCTATATGACTGCAAAATCCCATTAAATAGGTTTTATTAGAGATTAAACACCAACAGGTTTAACACTAAAGATGTTGTCCACTTGAGGTACTATGTGTGTGCTCTAGGGTTCCAGGTCTACCCCCCACCTACCACTCCCCCTGAGCCAGCTCCCCCTGATCATTTGGTGAAGGTTTCTTCGCTTCAACTCGGATCCAACACCAGCTTGGATGAAATCACATGTCCGTAACTTTCTTGTCGCACTGTTGTAGTGCATGCTCCCCATCCCTTCCACTAGCTATGAAACCTTCATTACTTTCAGCTAGGCCTAGGTGCTTTTCATGAGCATGATTTTTCAATGTCTATTAGCTGTTTAGTTCCATACCTGTATATTGTTTTAGAGACACTTTTTAATTTTTTTGGTACAGTAGACTCCCTCTTGTTCTGACATGTTGTGAACCAGAATAGTCAGAACTATCAGAAGCAGAAGTTAAACCCAAAATGAATTAATACTTTTATAAATCATACACTATGAATGAAAATTAATAAAGTTCAACAAAAATAAACCATACTGAACAGCAATAGACTAACGGAAGTGAATATTTTGTCTAATTGACCTTGGACAAATCTGCATGGAGTTTGTATACAACACCTTAGTGATGTGACAAGTCAAGTGAACGAGTCGATTGAAATGTTCTTGATTCTGCTTCAACACAAGTCAGTACTCAAGTACTCCTCTTGTCTGACTCGTAGTGACACATCGGAGAACTTTTCCAACTCAAGTTTGTTAATACTTGGCATTTAGCACCTTTCAATCGTAATGGTAACTCGGAGAACTACTCAAAATTGGGTCCATTTTTACTTGGAATCTAGCATTGTTGACTCTTAGTGGCAATTTAGAGAATTACTTCAACTTGATTCTATATTGATACACAGCAGATTTTACTCATGGCGATTCTGAAAACAATGCCCGAATATTCAACACATAGACCCAACAAGCGATTGCAGCACAAAGAATCACCTAGCGAGAAATTCATAGGCTAACGACCGAGTATAGCACTCAAGTATCATAGTTAAAAGTATCAAGTCAACTTGATTCCTATTCCAACAAGCAGTACTTGACTCGTGATGTCAATAAAATACGAGAGTTTTATATATGTGGCCGTCCAAACCATTCAATGTTCAGACCAAATTGACTGAAACAAGAGGGAATCAACTGTACATAGGCACAATAGGATTAATTTTTAACTTAGTAATTACATAATTTATCATTTCTGCTCACCCTTAAAATGTATAGTCCTGAGCATTTAGGTATTGATTCTAGATAGGAGAATTTCTCTGTATGTTGTGCAGTGAAGCATATCCTTTTCTTTATGCTGTATTACCCTATAATTAACTGCTTGCAATGCCCCGGAAGTTTAAAACCAAAATAGACTTAGCAACAAGTCAACTGTAACAGAAAAAATGAACTTGGTGTTTGTTAAAAAACTTGGGGTTTAAAAAAACTTGACTGTATGATATATGTTAAAGGCCACTAATACTCCCTACAGGGGAGCAAGCTGGTCTAGTTGTAGAGAACAGGGCTTTGGTCCTCAAGGTTCCGGGTTCAAATCCAGCCAATCGCCAATGGATTTTATCTAAAAGATAATGCAGTGGCCCGTGACCCACTCTAGGCCTAGCTTAAGTAATGTGTAAAACAATTCTGGTCTAGGTTCTAGCAAAAAAAAAAAATAATAAATGAATTTTTATCTACAAGATAGCTATTCTACTCTCATCTGGGAAGCGAGCTGGCGTAGTGGCTAGAGCGCGGGACTTCGGTCCGTGAGGTCCCGGGTTCGATCCCCGCCAAGTCACCAATGGATTTTATCTAAGTGATAATGCCGCAACCCCTAGGTCTAGCCTGAAGTAATGTGAAAAACAATCCTGGGCTCGTGCCTAGCGTCCTAGGACAAAAAAAAATTCTACTCTCATCCAGCAAAATGGTTTGTGGATGATGATTTTGTCATTTTGTTCCTACTGAATTATTGAATTAACTGTCACAAAATTGATCTATATCTTGATGTGTTGTGGGCAGTTTTATTATCAGTAGGCTACATATTAAAAATAATCTACAGTTCTGGCTTCATATTCAGTTTCAGTGTTCAATCAATCAGTCCTATTCACATCTTGACTCTTTTTAATGATTTTGTTTTGTACTTATTAAATTAAATTTACAAATTTTTCAAGAGATTTCTTAGCCATCCAGTCAATTTCACACCTGTCTAACTCATCTTGTACATATTATTTTGATTGAAAGCTACCCCAAAACACCTCCAAACCAACCTCTGCTTGTAAATTATTCAGTAATGTTACCCCTGAAATAGATTTTCTAAGATTGCTATTGTCAATCCTCTCGTGTTGACTCATGTCTCTCTGTTTAGCTGACATAAGTGGGTCCAGGGAATCACTTGCTACACATGATTCAGGTACAGATTTGATCAACCCTTAGATTTAAAATCCTCCTTAGTGAATCAACTTTCTACCTTCTAAACTATTGTGTTCCCTTTATGATTGTGTGGTCTACCGCTACCGTCTACCGCAGTGTTCTTATTAATTGTTCACCTAGTGATATGTGAATTAACCAATACAGAGTGCTTACCAAGTAAATATTTATATTATAAGCATATTGTCATTATTCATCTATTGCATGTATTTCAGAGCTCTCCTAGATCAAGATGCAACGTCATGAGATGAAACGTAGATTAAAAGTGTCTCAGTAAATAAGAAAATAAAATCTCTAAATAAGGAAAATGTTTTGCTTTTGCAGGCTGGGTAGATGATTCTGTATTCATGCAACACACTGAACATGAAGATGGTGTATGGATCAACAACTATTCCCAGCATGCATTTACCACAGGTCGAAGACACACGTCCAAGTCCAGATACAAAGGAACGAGCCATACAATGAAGGTGAGTACACGCAATTCTGCTAATATAATTATAACAAATAATCAAAAGTTCAGTAACCAATTATTTCTTCATGATATTCTAAATTGGTGTGAGTCCAACCTCACAATTTTCTTTAAGTTTTTGCCTTAGTTAAAGACATATGTCAGGGACTACTAAAACTTATAAGTTGTATAAGACATTGTACTTAAAGTGAACATAAAGCAACTAAACCTGAGATTTTAATCCAGTTTAAATTTTCAAGGTATTGTTGCTCATACCATGTATTTCTTCAGCAGGCAGTATGTTAAAAAGTGGCCAGGAGTTGTTGGCGTTCTTTGACATTATCTTAACTACATATTATTTATTCTTTAATTTCAAGAGTTAATTATTGATTTCTTTGTTGTAGCAACCAGGGAAGTTGAACATGAAAGACTACACCCTAGTAACTGATGCCATTGCAAGAATGAATTTAGGATCTAAAGACTCATTGCGGGTAACAAAAATGTCTAAATCCACCTTTGGTCATGCACCGTTAGCGACTCCGGAAAACGTTGACTTGGGTTCAGAGTATGCTCAGGTAATGTGTTTCTCCTCAGAGACTCTAAAGTAAGATTAATTGATTTTGTTATCAGTTGAACAAATGTTTGCATTATCTTCTTCAAGACTAAATATTAGGTGTATATTAAAGTAAATACATGCTCAAACTAGTATAACTAAATTTTTTTGATTCTATGATTCCTTTACTCTCATTGTGTTAACTCTGGTGGTCATAGGAAAAGTCGCAGATAACTTTCTGTAATATCAGCATAAAATCTTCTATAAAACTAGGTAGGGATAACAGAAGATGTAAAATGGAGCATTCCAATTGCTTTATTTTAGCTTCAATATACTATTAGCATCAGCCTGCCCTTGGTGATGCAACATTGTTAATTATAAAAAAACTCAAAATTAAAAAAAAAAATATTTCAAAATCCTTACAGACACACAAAGTTTTCTTGTAGGTCATGTATATTTGGAATAAAAAACACCATCAATACGAATTCAAAATTTATGTTTAGTATAGTGCTAACTTACAAATGACAAATTGCAGTACAACTCCAACCATCCAAATCTATGATTATCCGAATTGCTTAAAGAAAGAAATAATAAAAAAACCTCAAACCACAGTAATAAGAATCGTTGTTAGAGAAGGCAGAAGCTGTGTTTGTGGCAAAATCCAAAAAATCTCTCCCGGTCGTTTAATCATTGTCTCCCGTGGTCGCAAAAACATCGTCATAGTTTTTTGCAACTGCGGCAAAATCTTGTACACCTTCCGCGGTCTTGTTGAAATCACCATCGTTCCGCGGTCACAGAAACATAATCATCGTCTTCCGTAATATCGGCAAAATGTAAAATACACCCCAGGGTCTTGTAGACATCATCATCGTCTTCCACGGTCATGGAATCATAGTCATTGTTTTCCGTGATTACAGCCAAATTTTGAATATCTCCCTGGGAGATCTAGACAAAATCATCACCTCTCGTGGTCACAGTAAATGATCGACCTCCACAATTGCTCCGAAAGCATGTATTATTATGCCTACTACGATCGCAATAGTTTACGCTCGGATTGACTGGGCCTATTTTCTGTAAAATTTCTTGAATTTTTATTTTTATAAAAATCCAATTATCTGAATTTTTTATCATCCGAATGTATTCCGGTCAAAATTGATTTGGATAATTGGAGTTCTATTGTAACTGTTGTGTGGTATTTTGTATATATTTTTTATTGTAGTTATACTTTGATTTTTTTCTTTCATCCAAACTATTACCAATTAACTGTCATGCCATGTTTCATAAATATCTTCTTTTTTTCAATTTCTAATATTTATTTCCTGATAGCGGAAATCTCTCACGCACGGGCAGTAGCCTATGTGAGAGGCATTTCATCATATTTAATGACTATGTCAGTATATTATTACATAACTATAGCATAAATATACAATTTTTACTGACAAAGTATTGTAACAATGTATTTTACTTCTTGAAATAATCATGATTTTGATTTGATTTGATTTGTTGTTGTTTATGACAAACAAAGAAATATGAATGTTTACTTGCCTTAACATTGATTATTGACTTGTACTTAATGATGTTGTATGAAACTATGCAACTTGTAGTCCTCAAAAACATTTCAAAACTTACATTTAGGCAAGATATATTTTAAAACTGAATTACACATTGGTTACTTCGCTTGAAATATTTTTGTGAGTTAACGCCAAGCAGTCTTCAAATTCTCAAATAAGTGTTGAACTGGTTTGTAAGAATGTATAGAGATATGTTTTCTCTCAGACCACATTTAAACTTTTCTTAAATATGACCAGGCTTTTCTTTATGTTGTATAGACAGCTTATCGTTTGATTATATAAACAAGCATTGACGTAGATTGTTTTCATTGAAACGAGTTAATTATCTATTCTTGCACTAAGTAAATTACTGTTTTAGAAGTAAATCTTACATTTAATGAATTGTTTACTAGATTTATTCCATAAACATAAAATAGCAACACTATCAGCAGTTTATCAACTTTATGTAAAGACAGCAAAATACTACTCAAATTTTCAATATTATAGGTCAAAGATGCTGTTGGAAATTTATACTCGTCATATGATGGGGAATATTCTTACACACCAGTACAAGATGCTTTGACGGGTACAAGCAAGCACAAGACAAGGCATAGAAGGGAAAAGGGGAGACAAGGTAAGTACATCTTAACATAAGAACAAAATTTCCAATACTGTACAGTTTCAACATGCATACTTTTTTAAGCACTTTAGCGCCTCAAGGAGGCTTAGAACGCACTTGTGTAAAATGTGCTAGTAAACGACTTTGTCATGTTAAACGTACATTTTGATTAAATTAAATATCTCCAACTTTGAAATAACTGAAGATATTGTAGGAGAAAATAAATTATATTTTTTCAAATTTAAAACAATTCTTAACAAAGCACTTATTGTTAAGTTAACACTGTTAACTGAGTGATTATGACAGCTCATATAATATGTTTAATGTAATAGAACAATTAAACCCATTACAAGAAACACCAATGACATTATTCAGAAGTACATATTTGTTGATCTGCAACATTTATTGTTCAAATTAATCAAATAACTACTATATTTTAAACACACTTCGCTACACTGGAAATGTATTGCAGTTAACTCATGATATTCAGACACAATCGGTAATCCGCCCATTAGCTGATACCTGTACAACACTGGGATTTTATTTGTGTTTTGGCAGGATTCTAGCGTCTTTCCATTTACAGTGTCCAGTATGATTCTGTAGTCCTTTGTGTACAGTTTGGCAATAGTACTGTTTATTGAGTAGAATAATTACATCACTGTGGTTTGTTTTATTATTTGTAAATTTAACTTAAGTCTCCAACTTTTTAGCTTATAAAATTGTTGCAATACAGGTAGAAGTAATTGAATTTAGCCCTCCAAGTGTCCATAGTAATGGTATTAATGTCGGCCCATTTATTGCGTAATCGCAGGGCTTTATTAAAATGTATCTTAGAAACTTAAAAACACTCTAAAGTTTGCTGTTTTATATATAATTTTGTTTGGAAAATTATGGGCTTCAATGTAATATATAAAACATTACAAAAAAAAATTTCTACAATTTTTGTGGGGTTAACATTTATCAAAAATTATAAAATAAATAAAAAAAATTTATGCCTGCGCTCAATACATTTTTATAATTTATAGGCCTACAATTTTTTTTAAATAGCCACTTTGTTCTAAATTTTATGAGGATTCCAAAAATATAATAATATAAGGAAGTAGGTTTGCAAATAAATAAGTTATGGGTGAAAAACAGATTTTGTACATTTAGCGTTTAGCTAAGAATGCATAGCCTAACCATAGCTAGGAATCTGGCGTATAATTTACATCAATATCACTACAAAATTCTTCAGGATCATCAACCAGCCCTTCAAAATCACTTAAATCTTCTTATAATGCACCACGTATATCACAACATTTTATTTTTAACACTAACAGTCCCAGAGCTTTTGCCGTAAACGATGTTTGTGTGTCGCAAAAGCGACGCATAACACCACGGCGAGTGTGTTGTGCGTCGATTACGCGACGCTTAACACTCGGAGGGTTAGAATATAGGCAGTGTTGGTGAAGCTAATTTTAAAATGTAGTTAGCTACAACTACTGCTACATAAAAAAAATTAGCTTAGCTACAATGAAATGTAGATATCACTACAATTTTACTTTCCATACCACAATTTTGCTACTTTTCCAAAGATGTTACTTTTATTCTGCGTACATAACCAAATTTGCAACTATAAAATTAATTGCAATTATTATAAAATATATTTGCGATTATAAATTATAAAATTATATCATGTTACCCCAAATTATTCGCATCTCCTAACACATATTTTAAAATATATATCCATACATATTACTTAACTTTATGTTGTACTCTAAGAAAGTGATTTAAGGAGTATTCAGTAATGACAGCCAAAGGACAGGAAAGTAGGAGCATGTCGGATGAAAATACAGCCTTCTTGTTTTTGTTGTTGATTAACAAACACTCACACAATATTATATCAGTGTAGCCTAATCTAAACTAACTTGGAAAATAACTTCTTTCAAGATTTTATTAAATTTTTTGCCATCATAAACCAAACATTAAAACAAAACAACAAAAATAGTAGGATATCCCGATATATTTAGTATTTATTTTTAAATATTGCTATATTATAGGTTAAATTAGGAATTGTTTTTGTTGAACCGACACCCTCTTGTTACCATAACGTGATCGATTATTAAAAATCAACTGTATAGATCTAAAATACAGATCTAAGTTGGTTTTGAGTTTTGAAATACTTATTAGGTATTAAACTTAAAATTTGTTTGTAGTGATGTCGGATTCAGACAGTGAGTGGAGTTCTTTGGAAAGAAAGCAAAAGACAAACAGCTCAGAAATGTTCTCAAAAGTGAGCAGAAAACCCACTACGCACAAGAGAGTCAGAAAGAAACGAACAGCGATCCCAGTAGCAACTCCCAGAGTGCCTCCTTTCAACGCACCTCCACTCTCTAGCAACGGGCCCAATCCACCCTTACCTCCAACCGACTTCAGCTACCGCTTTAAAAGCCAAGACAATAAAACCGAAACTCTCGACAAATGTAAGTTATCTCTTTTGTTTCACTCATGTATATAGAAAGTATCTCAATAACTCCATATGGTGAGTCGGTTACTCAGTCCCCCTACCACTCATTTCCTACTATTTTTTATGTATACTAACCCAATCCTGACTGAGTTATTCTTCAAGTATAATGCAGTTAGAACTGAGTAAAAAAAGCGTCAAAGTACAATGTTTTAGTAAAAAACTCATTAAACATGTAATATATGAAATAAATGCCTAACACTTGTGTTTAAATTGATCTATATAAATTTTTTTTTTATTATAATTTTTTTTTATATATAAATTCCTTTTATCTATATAGAAGGTCTGTGATTGCCAACCTCATTTAATTTTTGTGAATCTCAAAAAACTTGCTTCTTTATTATTATTAGCTAACTCCTTTATGGATGTTGTTTTTTTTAAACCCTTTTGAGTGGTGGTAGTGTTGACTTTGATTAATGAATTATACTTGATCAATAAATTCAACAATACAATTTTGAAGGGTAAACATTTTTTTCAAACCTTGTTCTGATACACACTAGGTAGGCCTACTACCCCTTGCAGGTCTTCGAAATGGTAGTATGTATTTAACTCCAAATATGCAGTCAGCAGCTTCATACTTTCACCTCTTCTACCAGCTTTATATCAATTCCAAATTTGTTATCTTCCTACTTCCTTGCTATATATTTAGTATATAAGGGGGTCTTGATCCTACTACTTTCTCTTTTACTGCTAGTTTTAACATGGTTTCTCTTCAACTATATGACATCCTCCACAATCTCAAATTTGTACTATTTGGTCCCTGATTATACTACAGTAGACTCCCGATTATCCGCGGTAATGGGTGGCTGAGCGATCGTGTATAATCAAAATTGCGGATAAACCAAACCTGACCTAAAATACACTAGAAATGGTTAAAAACGACTGTGAAAGCAAAATAAGTCCTTAATAACCTTTAGGCTACTGAATGTTAGGTTTTAATAACGCACACGTTATTACGTGAAAGACTTCAAATACAAGATTACTGTACGTACCTTTTAATAAACACACAATTACTCTACAAACAATATTTTCACATCGTTAAAAACATCCCAATACGTTAGACAAGTGCACTATAGGCCTAATGTCGAAGTTGCTATCTTTATTGGCTTTGAGGAAAATTGTCTATTATTGATTTTTGTTTCTTGGCATTTGCTTCCTTTTTAAAAATGGTTGACAAAATTTTTCTCAGCACCTTGAGATCCCACAACATAGTGTCATGTTCCCCTTCCAAAATGTCCAATAGTCCCTCTGCATAATGGCGGGCAGTTGTGTACGTAATTTTTGGCTCGACACCGGCTTCTTCATCTTCTTCTTTTTCACTCTCACTCTCAATTCCCTAAACAGGTCTCAATATTTTGTCATTTTCTCCACCAGGCACGGTCTTGGCTAATGCAGCTAAGTCAGCTGGAGTGTCTTCCTCTTAAAATCCATGAAAATCTTCTCCTTCTATGATATCAGGAAGTATTTTCTTCAAAGACTTAGTAAGTGTGGTTGATTTTACTTTCCCCCAGGCCACTACACACTCATAAATCGCATCAAAGATCGTGAAATTTGATTAAAAAAATGTCTTTAGGTCATTTCCCTCTTCAAAAAATTTTTCGAGGTGTCAGCACGACGTTGTGCTGTCATCAGGCTTCCACTCGAAAATGTTCAGTCCATTGGACGTTGTTTAGTAAAAACTATACACAGTTCACAAGACACAAACACATACACATTTACCGATCGGTATTTACTAGGGGAGAGCGAGTTCATTTTGTCAAATCACCGGCCGCGACGAGTGACATCCAAGCCACAACTAGCTAGATCATTCTTGTGGTCTACCTGATCTTTGTCCTTTGTATTGTCTTGACCCTTGGCTATTAGGATGCGTCACAAGAATGATAGACCGCAAGAATGGTCTAGCTAGTTGTGGCTTGGATGTCACTCGTCGCGGCCAGTGATTTGACAAAATGAACTCGCTCTCCCCTAGTAAATACCGATCGGTAAATGTGTATGTGTTTGTGTCTTGTGAACTGTGAATAGTTTTTACCAAACGACGTTGAATGGACTGAACATTTTCGACTGGAAGCCTGATGATAGCACAACATCGTGCTGAAACCTAGGTCGCAATAATCAACTTACTTTGAACTGGAGACTGGAGGTAATTAAACCATTACTTTCGCTTTTGCAGCCAAAATAGGACCACTTATTGGGTTTCCTATGGCACGCTGATTGTTAAACCACTGTAACAAAGCTTTGTCCAGATTGTTGTATGTAGATTGTTTCATTGTTTTTCGTTTCTTGAAGGTTAGGTTAGGACGGATGGCGCATAATGACTAATGTTTTGGCGCTGGTGGGCGGGGGAACGTTTGACCGTTAGCAACCTCTTGGGCCGAAGGCCAAGAGCGTCGTGTGCACTAGCTATAATATTATTATTATTATAATGTTATTATTGCATATGCATGGTGCGAAGATAGACGTTTATGCGCTAAACTTCGCTTGCTGCAGTTGCTTTTTTTTTGGCCGATCAGGGATAAGCCGCAACGTCTTTAATCCAGTCGTCGTGGTCGTGGATAGTAGGGAGTCTACTGTAAATAAAATCTGATCCTTGATAGTTTCTTTTATTCCCTTAGTTTTGTTGTCGTTTTCTTTATAATCATGTGTTACTATGCTAAAAAGGTCTAATAATTCTTTATGCAACTTGTTATCATTATTATAAAACTGAAATAATAAAAAAAAAAAATGTCTCCCCTCCTTTGGTCAATTTTTGTGAAGGTTTCAGAACCTTTAAATGATCACAGATTGAACTGTAAGTAAATCCTTAATGTTAGTGCTGATCAATAGAATATGATGTTTGAGGCTCTACCAGATAGATGTAGGGCTAAACACAAATATTTTACAGATGCATAGTTTTTACAGGTCCATAAAGTTTTCATCACAGGTGAATATATTTTCAATTGTAAAATGTCCTTTTTGGTTCACTGTACTGGTGTTAAAGAATATTGTTAATATAATTTTAAGTTAATACAGTACTAAGGGTTAATTAACCCCTCCCAGACGGCCTAGTATGTATACAGACGGCAAAATTATTTGATTTAAACAAAAACTACAAAATATTTTGTTTATATCTATAATTTATAGAATGTTGTAAATAGTTGATCTACGCAGCATTTTTGTCCAAAATATTTTTTTTACTTTTTTCATAAACAAAATTAAATTAAGTTTTTATTCTTCTAGAAAAACATTCCTAGTACATCAGTTAAAGATCTAATTGAATAAAAGAACATTTTTACAAATGATTAATGATGTTTTAGACAATCAACTATAACAATAACTGTAGTAATAATCCGCTATACACAAAATGCTAGATGATATATCCGCTTATAGTCCTGGAAGGGTTAACTATTTGTCCATTATTTGTAAAAACATTACAGGTATTAAGTGTTTAATTCATCAGAACCCAAAGGTCAGCCAACCTTCGATAATTAGATTAGATTTATACAACGCCAATTTACCAGAGTGCATACTTTTTGGCGAATATTACTGAAAGATGAGTATTGAATGGATCGAATTATATCTATTGTATACTTTCCCTGGTTCTCAACAGAATTACTGTACTAGCTCATTTATTACACAACTTACAGTGGGTAAAGTGAAAAGTGACTGCGGCTCTGAAGAAAGTGGGAACAGTGAGCCGGACATTTCTACTACTACTTGGGTGGCCCCCCTGCCTATCCCCCCCTTGCCCCACAGCCGTCCTCGGGCCCCTGTCCCCCCCCTCCAGTCATGTAAGTTGACTACACCGTGAGTGTGAGTGTTGAGTGCATGTCACCAGTCACCTTCACTGCATGTCTCCAGTCAGAGCCGTTCTTCGCAACAACCTTATTGTTCACCACAGAACCACGATAGTAAGCACGATAATCTATGTCACTTTATTGCGATTTCTGTTTCACCCCTATCTTCGTTGTTGTTTACTATAGTAAGACAAAAGAGTATGTTTAAACCCTAAAATATCTGTTGGCGTACTACAAACACTACCTGAACCAAATATGTCATAGTATTATAGCGGATAGTTTGAGTTTTCAAAGGTGTCTCGGTGTTGGAGCATGTAATGTATGCAACTGACTTTTATACTCTTGTGTTTTCAAGTCTGGCTAGCTCAAGTGCATCTGCTCAGCGGTTTAAAAACCTCTTGCTTGAGGAATCATTCTAGAAAAGTACCAAGGAACAAGAAATAAGCTATGGTAATTTAAATAATGTACAGTATACCCTCTGCACTGCGTCACTCCGGCGTCTTTTGACGAGTGTGGTCTTCCACGATCGAGGCAAAATTCTGATTATCTCCCACGGACCTGTAGACATCATCATCGATTACCACGGTCATGGAAACGTCATCGTCCTCATGTGCAATCGTGGCAATAGTGGCTTCCGATAACGCGATCTTCGCAGACACGTTTTGTGCATTTTAAGTGTTTTCATTGATGATATTCCACTAATCATTTTCACTAATCTGACAATATCACGGTTCTATATCTGCTGGATTACTACTGTATTTGGAAAAACTCTCCACTTGCTGAGTTCAAAATTTAATTTGATGAATAGTTTAAATAATAATAAAGATAGAGCTACAAAACTTGGAACAACGTTACAAGTCATAAAAATTTTGTTAATATATTATTCAATGATTCAATGAACGCAAATTTAAACGGCAACTGAGTCAAACATGGCAGCCGTTCAAAGATTTCTTTAATTTGCAGTGGGGAACGACCCGCTAGGAGTCGGAAGAAAAACTTTAATAATGCAAGTATAGGTTGATATGAACATGGAATTAAAGGTCCTAATAAGTAGAATACAATGCCTCAGATCCAAACTCAAACAGACAACCCAGTCAAAAAAGATAGCCATTCAAACATATATTCAATATTAGAATTTTGCTATTTGCAACATAGTCTAATAATTGCTAATTAAATAAATCATAAACAGATGCCTACTAGGTTAGGCCAACTAGCTCAACTGAGTGGTAAACACAATGAAATTCAAACACATAGATTAACCACGAGAGCGCTCAAATTGCTGAGACTAGTGTGTGCAACTACACTTCTGTATGTTGTAGAAAATATGTTTCAATATTTGCTTCCGAGAAGTGGACGAATAAACCGAGGAACGATAAAACCGAGGCCAGATAGGAGGGGTTCTACATTAGTATGTTTTTTTTAGTTTTAAAATAAAACTTTAAAACTAAGCTTTGTCATTCCAAAACTATAGATACTACTGAGGTTCATAATTTTATTAACAGTAACTGATTTGTGTTACAGCTAAGTTCAAGATGGAAGGAATGGGTCATGACGAGGAATCTAGTCTTGATGTTTCTTCTCCGAGAGATCCTAGAGACTCACCCCTGGTAATGTTATTTGACTTACTATATTGCTTTTTGCTCCCAAAGCTATTTTCAAATGCCCAATTGTGATCCTACCATAATAATCAAGCAAAATAATTTTTAAAACAATCACGGCAACATCTGTGGTGAGTTCCAGCGAACTAGACAAAATCCAGGATGATTATCTGCAATGGTGACAAAATCCGTGATGATTTCCTGTAATCGCGGAAAAAGCTGTGAAATTTTTCCTGTGATTGCGGTAACATCCGTTATGATTTCCGGCGATCGTGGCAACGTCCCTGGTGAGCTCTGGCAATCACTACAAAATCCTTTATGATTTCCGGCGATCATGGTAACATCCGTAATGATTTCCCGTTATCTCAGCAACGCCTGTGATATTCTTGGCAACCGTCCTTTAGTCACGATAGTATCCCTTGATCGCAATTATAAACTACGCAAAACTAACAAAAATCGGCTATTTCAGGCGGATGTTTTTCCGGTCATCAAAATTCACTTACAATTGCCGGTTTTTCCGGTTTACAGGTCGGCTGGACATCCTGTATCAAAGACGCTACAAACTTTGTTTAAAATACCATCGTGTTTGTCTTGTCACAAGAAATAACAGGGATATGTTAGATTTATAATCCGAACAAAGATACTTTTTTAACAGATTTGTATTTGTAAAAAAAATTTCTTCTGTGACTGGCAGTGGGCCGTCTGGTATTTGTATGATATTAACCTGCCAGGCGGGAGCGAGCGTGACATGTGACATTGCCAATTCGAATTCCAACTTAAATCATCCATGTTAGATATATAATGTTCATAGACATTATTTTTTTCAGTTTGGAGGGATTCCTAAGTCAAAAGACGGTACCAAGACTTTAAGAAGAAAAGAAAAACAAAGAGCCAAAGAGGAAGAAAAATTAGAGAAGAGACGCCAAAAAGAAGAAAAATTGAAAAAACTAGCTGAAGAAAGGGAAAAGAAAAAACAAAAACCCAAAAATGCAACAAGTTTGGGGAAAGGCTTTGGCCAGTCTACTTTGGAACAGTTAGCCCAATCTGAAAGCAATGCTGTACCAATAATTTTGGAGAAATGTGTCCAGTTTGTAGAAGAGGAAGGCCTAGACTCTGAAGGAATCTATCGTGTTCCTGGCAACAGAGCTCATGTTGAACTCCTTTTCCAGAAATTTGATGAAGGTAATGTTATTACTACTTTAGTAGTAAGGGTAAAACCTGCACTTTTTTATAATGCACCTAATTAAATCATCATTTGTAACAGGAATTTTTCCAAATGAGCTTAAATTTGCTAGAGTGGTACCCGTTTATGAGAAAAACTCTAAGAAAGATATTTTAAACTACAGGCCATTGTTAATTCTCCCGTCAATTTCAAAGGTATACGAGAAGACAGTTTACAACAGGTTGGACAGTTTCTTAAACCAGTATGATCTAATTGATAATGAACAACATGGTTTCATTTGGTTAGTTTCATTGAAGCAGTGATAAATTCACTAGATAAGGGTTTAAATTCAGCTGGCATCTTCATGGACATGTCCCAGACATTTGATAATTTAGACCACCGTCAATTAATAACTAAACTTGATAATTTGGGTATTAACACGTTCAGTGTGAGGGGTGGGAATTCTCGCCCCGCAGTACCGACGCCACTGGTGCGGGGCGGGAAATCACGTCCTTCACAATGCCAACAACTTTGCTTCATCAATGTGAGCTCAGCCATTGCCGGGGAACGTTGTAATTGTTGCCAGCCTGTAGCGTAGAATGCGAGCTTTATTTTGGTGTAGGTTGGTACTAAACATTCCCGTAAAATCCCGTCTGGCAATGCTTTTGTCCCGTTTTCAGGGATTTTCTCTATTCCAGCCATATTACAAAGACTCTGGATATTGATGCATGCAGTGCTGCTAAATTTGGGTGTTTTAGTGAACTACGTCCACTATCGGAGTAACGCAGAACAATCACCACTGCTCTTTTGTGATTCGTCTTACTGAGATATTTCAGTGCCAATAGCGTCGTGGGTTCGGATCCTGGTCACTGCCACTAAAATTTATCAGTACAGGTTCACCTTTGTACTGTACCGGCTCACTCCTTGCTTTGCTGTAAACGTTCCACGCACGGGCGCTTAGTCTATGTGGACGGGCAAATGCAAGGTTAAAAGAGGCCGCCAAAAAACTATAGGTTTAACAATAGATAAAAATTTAAGCTGGAAAAACATATTGAGTATTTAACAAATAAACTAAATTCTGGTATATTCTCCCTAAGAACTATGTCATATCTTTGTGATGGATCAGTTCTTAAAATGATATATCATGCTCATATTGAATCACATATTAACTATGGAATTAGTACTTATGGTGGGACAACGAAAACAAATTTTAAAAATATTTAAAAAATACAAAAAAAACAATCAGATTGACTTATGTATATCAATGGTAGGGGTCTGCGGGTCCCCGATTTTTTCGGGTCGGGTCGGGCCAGCGGAAGGCCCGAGAGACCGGGTCGGGTCAGAGATTTGTTCCGGCCAAGATCGGGTCAGGCCAAAAAAAATTTTTATTATTTTCAAAGTTATAATAAGTATTTTTCAAAGAAACACTCTTATATATATTATTACAGAGGAATTAAAATGTTAAAATTATTAAGTTTGCTCACGTTTAAGAACAAAGACACAACAGAGCAATTGCCTTACTGTCACTAGCCAGAGCCAGTCGTCTACTGACAAAACAAAAGCCGTGACTCAACAGTGCAAAGAAAACGAAGTCAAAAGAAAGACTATTTATCCAGAGGTCCCATTTCAATTATTTATTGTTTACCTAGTTTAAAACATATTTTAGTATTTTATTTACATAATAAATTATAAACAAAAGAAATATCTGATTTAGTGTACAGATCTGTATCTTGTTCTTTTATTTTCCTATTGTCCTTTTTGTAATTCAGTAACAAAACAAAACAACACTTCTGATCGTCTGGTTAGGCATTGTATGGTCACTATTTAATTTTTTTTTTAAAGTATCAAGTATCAGCAAGTCTACAAAGAGGTTAGGCCTAAATATTTTATAATTTTATTTTATGAAAGTTTTCATCAGTAAAATTATTTTTTTCTTAGGTTAGATAGAGTTTCAAAAAAGATATTTCTAAGATCCAATACAATATTTACAATACACAAACTACCATGAATTAATTTCTTTATAAATTATCTGTAACAGTTTTATATTTTTGAATAAAGAAAATATATCTTTTTGTCTCTACTTCCTTGTTTCGTTACTTGCATTTTGTCTTTGTCAGCAATTGGAACAACCAGGTGGTGTAATAGGGGCGGGGGAGGTGGAGGGTCTATGACCTTGAGTGTCCCCGGGCCTGGCTCGGGTTGTGGTAGAGGGGAGGGGAGGGGAGGGGGAGGGTCTGTAACCTTGAGTGTCCCCGGGCCCGGCTGTGAGAGTGATTCATGGTTTTTTGTTTACATTCTACTACCCTTCCTTCCGAGAAAAAGACCCTACGGTTTCAAAAACATTGACTTACAGTATAAAAACATTGAGTTGTGTTGCTAATTAGGGCACTAATAATGTCTCTGCTGTCTGCTTATGTTGCCAAATTAGCATTTAACTTTCTTTTCTCTTGATTTAATATAATTTTCTATATATTAAGAGTTCCTTTACGGGTACCTAATAATTGTGATATTGTTTGACTTGAGTTTATGGATTTTTAATTCTTTTCATTTATTAGCTAAAATCAGTTGTTTTAGGATCTCTTGCAATACCTATAACTGTGCCTATAACTGTGTATCTATAACTGTGTACCTATGACATGATATGCAATTTTTACAGTCATTACTATAACTATACCATAAACAATGTATGTGTGCTATTTTTACTGTTTTAGAGTTTTATAGTAAATTAGTTTACACAATATCTTTTCTTCAATGAGTTCTCCACTTGTCATGTTGCTTAGTCTATTACTATTTTAGGCCCTATAAAAAATAATTCCTATGTAAAGCTGTAGGCCTACTAATGCCAATAATAGATAATTCTTTATTTATGATGATGTAACTAATAATGCTATTGTAAGTGTGAGGTTTTTGTACTTAGGAGGTTAGGAGGCAGTGAATGAATGATTCATATTGCATCGTGGAAACATAGAATTTTTATTTTCTTCTTGCTTGCAGTCTTGAAGCCACAGGCCCTAAACTTGTGATAAGGTTAATTGATTTGTTTATGATCCTTTTATATTAAGTTCCATTACAAACTTGTTGTAATATAGCTGTTTAGATATTTCAACAGTTATAAAAATGGGAAAGAATGGCTTGATAAAAAAAATTATTTTCTTCTTTCTTGCAGTTGAGGCAACTTCTAAGCTGTAAATAAGTTATGAACATGAAATAATATACATAAATACATTTTTTTCCCATATGTTATTTTCAAGTAATATTAAAAACACAGATAGGAGTTAAAAAAATATAAAAAATCCGGTAATTAATAATTTTTGGCCCGACCCGATTTTGGCCCGAAACCCGAGGTCCAAAATTATCGGCCCGACCCGACCCGACCCGAACCACAAAAGTCTGACCCGCAGACCCCTAATCAATGGTGTGCTGTGATGTATGATAAATACTTTTTGAGCAGTTTCTTTTAAAATACTGTTAAAGGGGCAAATCATACTGTTTTGTTTTAAATTTAAATTTATTTTAAAGTCTAATGTATCTCAGGGCCAGTTAAAGGGAATGTGGTGAGGCTTGAGGTGTGTAGCCCAGCAAGGTTAGCTCCTAGTGGTTAGGTTACTTGGGTTTCTTAAATCTTACTTTCCACTCTAGACTAGACTAGACTCAGATGAACTGCCATTCTCTTCAAAAAAGCTAAGAAAGCAAGAGAGAGCCAGCACCTTTTTAATCAAAGTGTAGAGCAAGTGAAATTATAATAAATTCCTGATCGTTATTTTATTTAATTGTTAACCATGCATCGTCAATAATGTCAATAAAATATTATTAAGTTATCATCTACACCATTGCAATTTTACTTTCTCACTACTTTGCACACTACTTTTCCTCACTTGGTAAAATTTTATCAAATTAGTGCCACTTTGCTCACGTAGTGCATAATAACTATTTAGCATTTTCACGCTTGACAGGAAGAAAGCTCTTGTTGAAAACGTTTTCCCTAATGTGGTAAATTCATGCTTTAATCATGGTCTAAAGAACATTTCTCATCTGATTTCAGATCCAAATGTGGACATAAATACCTTGGACATTCCTGTCAATGCTGTCGCTACTGCTTTGAAAGACTTTTTCTCTAAACGTCTACCGCCATTGTTTACAGAGGACCTAATGGGTGAACTGGAGGATTTATCAGGTAAGGAACTACTTGAAATATTGATAAGATTATATGTCTAGAGTTTAGAGTTTAACAAATACGGAAGAGACTTCATAGCAATGAATGAAGAGACAATTATTTATTTTTGTATGGATAATGTTTAAAGTTATTAGATGTACCTTCAAACATAATTGAAAATGATTTGAATAGTATTCTAGTCATTAAGTTGGTTTCACTTTGAATTATCAATTTGTGATATTTACATTTTTTCCAAACTTTTAATTAATTTGTACAGTATTCATTTCAGTCAAAGGAGACAAAAGTTGTAGACTTCTAGCCTTGAGGAGTCTTTTGAAGAAATTACCACCTGTAAACTTTGAAGTTTTGAAATTCGTATTCCACCATTTTGTAAGGTATGTACATGCTTGGCTGCTGGTTGATGTAATTTACTGTAAAAAATGTATTTAGCTATGAAATTTAAGTTTTGTCCACACAAATTTTATAAATTTAAAATGACTTAACTATCTGTTTTCCAAATAATACATTAAACTGATGGTGGTGAATGTTTAAAGCTAGTTTCCTAAAAAAAAGCCTGTTTGCTTTTATTGGAACTTAAAATCCTTACTTTTTAGAAAATTTCCCATATAGGGAATAAGCTATTACCGTAGGTCTCATGGTAAGACCTAGACTCCTAGAACCCACGTTTGTACAGAATTTATCAAAATCGGATGATTTTTACTCTAGTTATCGTCCTAACAGATCTATATATATGAACTTGAACAAATAATGTTTTAGGCCTCTGGGGTTAAGCACTTTTAGGCTGAATTGACGTTGTTTCCTCCAAAACATCAGTTCTGACAAATTCCCATGGGAACTGTTTCATACAGTTATGTAGAGTATGGTATTCGCAAAACGACTTGTCATGCCTGGTGAATTGGTTAAAAGGCGTCTTGTTGAGATTTTTTGAATATAAATAGTTGTATTGTATACGTTAATTTAACATTTAGGGCCGGTTGCTGAGCTCAAGATTTAGCTAAGTTCTAGACTTAAACCGGCTTTAGACTCTGGAGTCTAAAAAATGGCTTGCTGAGTCAGGGCGTTAGCGAAGTCCAGAACTTAATAGACTCTGGAGTTTATTTGGCTGGTTAGACTCTGGAGTTTAAAATTTGACTTGCCGAGTCAAGGATCTATAAGTCCAGGACTTAACTTAGATTCTCGTCTCTTGCTGAGTCAAAGATTTAGCAAAATTCGTTAAGTCCAGAACTTAAAACAATACGATTTTAGATCCTCACCAAGGGCAGGATTTAAGATTAGATCCTAGACTTATCAAGTTGGAGGCGTTGGAGTATAAACGCCTCAGTTGTGGTTTTGAAGTCGGTTTGTGAGCATCGTTATCGTGGAATATTACATTTTTGGTATTTTTAAAGCACCACAACTTAGGTCAAGACATCTTGGTCGTGCACTTAGCCCATTTCTCGTGTTATCTGACACAGAGTTTCAGGATGATTTCATCTTTCAAAAGATATTACGTTTTACGTTTACTGTCTCCAGAAATAAGGGTTTATAATGAAAGAGCTCCATAGTGTTGTGGGGTTTTCAAGGGGATTTGAAAATTGCATTTGTTATCGAGGTTTCTACTGTAGCTTAGGCTATTCCCTAAAAATGGTAAATTTGTTAAAAAAAGAAAAAATCAAAACTATCCTGAAAAAAATGTAGCTTGGTAGAGTGGGTAGGTTTATAAAGACCTATTTCCAGCAGCCCTCTTAATAGCGTGTCACCCAAAAAAGATTTAGTCTTGAAAATTTTTTTTAGGAAAAGGCTAATCCTTGAAGGGTTTTTTAGGGTCATTAATTATCTTGGTAAGTTATTTAAGATTTCTACACCAATGTGTTGTGGTGATAACTGGAATACTTGTAAAAAAAATAATGATAGTGTTATACCTGGTACTTTAACTATGTTCCGTTTGGCTCTCCCTAAAAGTAAACAGGTTTTTATAAACCCAACATGTTATTTCCAAAATATGGTGATCGTAAATGTTACTACTTGAAAATTTTGAAATAGTATTTTACTTGTCGTTCAGCGAGGAACTTTTCCAATGATTTGTATCGCTCTTTTTGTAATATAAAAATCTAAGAAGTAGTCACCTTGACACAAATGTCATTTATGGTGAGAAATAAGCATATATTATTACTTGGGTTTCCAGATTCGTTACTTGTGATTCTAATGGAAAAAATGTGTGAATTTAATATTTTACTTCAATTTTCCTAAAGAAAGTTTTAATATTGTTTACTAGTACACTTTGTTTTTATTTATTAACTTGAATCAGGACATATACAATCAATCTTCCAATACTTAGCTGCATAAGCTTTGGTTTTTTGTTACAGGGTGTCTGAAAACTGCAAGCTAAACAGCATGGACTCCAAGAACTTGGCTATCTGTTGGTGGCCCACCTTGCTCCCCATAGAGTTTAGTGATATGGGTCGTTTTGAACAGATGAGGCCTCATCTAGAAGACATTGTACAAACCATGATAGACCAGTACCCTTTTCTATTCTGCGGGAAAGAAGCTTTTGTCATGGTTTGAACACGTATCTTTGTATTCACATACTTTTTTATCGACAAGACGATTTATTATACATACTGTGTTTGATATGATAATGTGAATAAGATCTAACTACTCGCTTCTCTTGGCATGTTACGTCCATTCCACTACAGGTCTATGTATCGGTGTGTATTGTATGTATTAGAATAAGTCTGTTCTTCGATAAGCCGCTAAGAACATTCATGATGAGCCAAAGATGTTTTAATGACGGCTATATAATTTTTGTAGAATTACTGTCATAGAATATAAATATATAAATACTTTGATTAATTTATTGTTAAGTTATGTTTTACCTAATTTATTTTGTCGTCCGAAAGTTTCTTACTCGACACTTGTAATAAAAATAATGTAAATCTTTTGTACTAGGATTGATACTGCAGGAATAAATTTAGAATTGTAAAGCTTTATATTTTCTACTTAATAATATGAATTTGGTTAATAACTCGTAATGATTTCTGCTTCAGTGATTGTCTTAATGATGGCTAGATGGATTCTGTAAAATTTTGTGAATTTTGCACAATTCTCAGTTTCAAATGATTCTCATGATAAAAAAAATTGAGCCAGAAATGCATTGAATCACTTCAATTTATAGAGGCATGTTGATATAATGAAATTTTACCCCTGAGCTCTGTTTTGTTCAAATACAAAAACTTGCAATATCAAACTTTTGAACTATTATACTGCCTTATTTCTGATCAGTGGTTTTTTTTTATACATATATATATATAGGTGCATTTATTTTTTACTGTCAGTGTTTTTCAACACAGTGACTTTATTTAATATTAGTTTAGATTATAAATCCTGATGCATTTAAAAGGCTTGTTGTAATACAAACAACATGTGATTGTTTTTATATGTTTTTGTACCTTCAGTTATTCCTTAATTTAGTCAATAAATTCTGTAAATTGTTATAGCATTATTGTACAGTTTATGTAAATTTATGTGTTCATTCGCTTTGCAAAATCATTTTAATAAGTTAAAAAAATTGTAGCAACATGAAAAACTAGCATAACACCAATTTCAGAGGCAGCTAGCTAAAATATGAACAACAGTAAGAGCCAAGAGCCAACAAGCAAATATGTTGTAATTGGTTCTCATTCAATATGGATAGTGATATGGATGAGTCAAAAGATTGTATAGTTAACCGAGCTGTGATAGTTTTAAGTTTTCGCTTCAATTCCTTGACCTAATGTAGGCCTATCTCCAATGATGGGGCGGACCCATCCGGTCTAGTCGTTAGTGTATCCTGTTTATTTACGTTATGAATTTGATTATCGATTTTTTATAATACCACCTAAATCTCATCAAAAATTAGATCTTAACACTATAAACCTAAATTTAAAAAATTATCATCAAAATAGTGACCTTATCTAGCATTTCCTGTAATGTAGTGGGTTAGTTGCTGCGGTTTTATCAGTTATGTTTACCCTGTTTGTATTGTATGTTTTTTTACAATAAATTTTTAACTATGTAGTTGTCAGATCTTCTTTTATGAATCATATATCATTTCTACCATGTTAGAGTTTTTTGACGGAATTAGAATCAGTAGGGATTAACTCAATACATTTATTTCAAGTACATTGTTCACCAAATAGTATGAATGATTAATTTTTTGTCCACCTGGTGCTTAAGCATCAGACTATATGATCTGTTGTTTTTAATAAAATAGCTTTTACAGTAATGCAGTTTTTGGCTTGTTAAGTTTATAATTACCAACTGTCTACCCACATGCACAAATATTTCGGATTTTTAATCTAGGTATTTTTGTCTTGTAATGAAAAATTTTAATATGTAATATATTTTAGCAGAATGACAATGACAAGATGCTGATTATATTTCCTGAAGAAGTTTAACTTTTCAATAATTTAAGTGGATTGATAAAATTACAGTAGAACCCCTCATATCCGACCATGACGGGACCAGGCCTTGGTCAGAACGGCCATATGTCGTATATTGGGAGGAGCATAACTTGCAGTCTCAGCAACCTCGGTAATCGTCTCCCACGACTGCGGCAACATCTATGGGCATAAATTGCAGTCTCCGCGACTTAAGTAATCATCTCCCGCGATCGTGGCAACTTCCGTTGTCAAATCTCACCAGAACCTGAATGATTTTGTCAAAATCAAAATATACAGTATATCAGCGACAGTGGTGATCATCAGCAGCCATTACGGCAACATCCGCAATTGGCCTTTCGGTCAACCAATCGTGCTCGGCGTTATCGCCCCAGACAGGAAACGAGTCAACGGTCGGATATCCCAAGGAGTCGGTTATTCCGAGGTCGGATATAAAAGGTTCTACTGTATTTAGATTCCTAAGAGTAATTTTAAGTAAAACATACGTATTATGATTGAAGAATTTCATGACACCATATAGAATTAAACATAAATTTGCAACTGCTAGAGCACTCAACCAAAAGCAGAATCTCAGTTTTTAGGAATAGTGCGCCCAAGATATTATATCTATGTAATAATTACACATGCGCCATTTGAATGAAAGTGTGCATACATGTTATCAAAATTTGAGGCATCAGCATGCACATTGCACATGCTCACTGTGGAGTAAAAAAGAATGAGTAGTTGTGATACTTCTTAAGAAATAAATGTTTATTGGAAACGATCCCATTTAAATTGGAGGGAAGACCTAGATGCTATTACATTCCGCGCTATTGTATCTCCCTCGTTTTCATTGATTCTTAATCAGTTCTTCTACACAAGCTATTATTTCTCATGTGAATTGAATCTAGCTTTTGACACTTCTTTTATAATATGTCAAAGGGAATGCAGTCCTCCTGATGTTCACTGTAAATTAAAAACAAAATTACATTACAAAATTATTTAAGCCCATTTTATTGGCAGAGGACAAGACTGAAGAGTAGTTTTTAAGTTCAATTCTAATCGATTCACTGACAAATTTGATCATTGTATATGGACAATTGTTGCAAGAATTGATATGTATTCTAAAATGACCAACAACATTTCATTTACAGAAATTACAAGTCTTGTGAGTTTTTAATATATGAGATTTAAGAGCAATCTTACATCACAGATTAAATCACACAGTTTACACATTTTTACTTTCATTTTATGTATCAATGTGTAATGTCAAATCAAGTTACTTTTGTTGGAGAAGGGAACGGAACAGTGTTGACATGTCAGCTTCAAGTTTTGCAATGAGGTCTCCTGCCGATGTCACCTGTATGTATAGGCTCATAAACTTTTTGGAAAATTAAAAAAAATAACTAGAAATTTATAAATATTCAACAAAATATTTGAAATAACTTCAACAAGAGATGAAGTTTAAAATGAATTTGGGAAGATTGCCCACCCATTTCAAGTTGATAGAACTCCGATCATGAGCTACAGTACCATTGGACAGAAGCATGCCTAACGGGCCACATTGGGATATCGGAAACAGTAAGAATTAGAGAATACTGTAAATGGGGGACATTCCTTAATTTTTTTATAGTTAAAAAAATATGGCGGCCAACTTAGACATTTCTTATAGAACAAAACAATACAATAACAAGTTTTTAAATTGTATTTTCTATACGAAAACATGATAAAATATATGTGTTCTATAAGAAATGTCTAAGTTGGCCACCATATTGAAAAATGACAGCTGAATTTCGAAAAACTAAATTCGTATTTTTAACTATACAAAAAAATTAAGGAATGTCCCCCATTTAACGTTTTCTCTAATTCCTTGTGCAGGTTAAGTGTAAGAAAGGGCCATTTATCACCCTGTATATTTAAATACTGTATGAACTACTGTTTAATACGATATAAATATAATTTATCTGTAGTTCAAACTGAAACTGCCATGACATGGTTTGCTTGTGTGGTGGCCTAAAAGATGGAATCTGATGCAAGGAACTTGTACCAATTAGAGAAGAATGGCTAGGTGGAGTGATAGGTCTATCGTCTATCCCCGCAAGTGTAGTAGAATGCTATACGATGGTTCTAAGGTCAGACAAGGGGTACTGGTGCAGGTGTGCTTTGGAAACGTGAAAGAAATGGTATTAGCCTTCCCATGGGAGTGCACTCGACAGTTTTTCAATTGGAGGTCACCACTTTTGTGGTTTGTGCAAAAAAAAATCTTTGGTAAAAATTGTGGTCAGAGGGTCAATCTGCTGATGTATGCAGACGATATAGTGGTTATATCTCCGACAGCTACACGTCTGCAGCACATGATAAATAGGCTAGAGACTTACTGAGAACATGAACCCTCAATCCCAATTTAAATAAATAAAATTTATTTCAATAGTCATGGGATTTAGGAAAGGAGAGAGGCTTGGAACAAATTGTCAATGGTGGTACAAAGTCAAAAATAGAGGTATTAAAGAATTATAACTCTAGGAGTCGACTTCTTTGTCGTGGAATTTACATTTCCAGCAAAAGAACAGTATGACAAAAACTAGGTATTAGTTCAATATGGTCTATGGTTTCATAAGTGGCAGTAAGGTTCCGCTAGGTTAAAAAATAGTCTAGTTTTGTTATACTTATAACACAGTTTTAAAATCAATTTTATGTTATGGGGCTCAAGTGTGGGGTTTACAATCAAAAACAATGAGAACGCTCGACATTTTTCCTGAAAAAAAATATTTCATTTACCAGAAACACTCCCGATTATGTGTTGTATTTAGAGATGGAGTTTGAGAAAATACATAAATACATTAGCACTATGTCAAGACAGTACGGTATTTTAAAGTTTTATTACTCCCAGAACATAGACTCCCACATATTTTTTCCAAACAAGTAATTTCAAAAAAATTTATCTGGTGCAAACAAATAAAATCCATTGGGTCTAAAAAAGGAATGACAATATAATTTAATGATTGGCGATTAAGACTCGCTTCAGATACAGCTGTTCGGTTTTGGTCGCGAGGAAGAGGGGCGCGCTGTGCGTTGGGAGAGCGATATCTAAGGGAGTATGTTTAATCTATGGCGATATTGTCTTTGTACCACCAACAATATCTATCCCTCTTGACCTTGAGCTAGGTGACAGACCCTTGCTTGGAACGAATGGTGGAATTTAATAAAATATTTTTTGCAGACAACTGTAATAAGCAAATTAATTACATAAGTCTTAATCCTTGTTTTTTTTACTTTTGTCATCAATTTGGTTTATTATTACCGGTATTACTGTATTATGTCAGGGGAAAATGTAATTTACGATTTTTTATGATTTTATTTGTATTAAGCCTATTATTTTATCTGCTAGTCTCTTGTCTATAAGGTCTGTAACTTCTATCAAATTGTGTTTGTTCAAAACAAAATAGGTATACATTAATTTGTTTTAATGTGTCAACCTAACAGACGGGTTTATAACCATTGTTTTGTGTGTGCTTATAAGAATGTCTGATTTATTTATTATTTATTTATTGAACACCAATGGTAAACACATCAAAACTAAATAGGCATACATTACCTAACAGACGGGTTTATAACCATTGTTTTTGTGGGTGCTTATAAGAATGTCTGATTTCTTTATTTATTTATTGAACACCAACGGCAAACACAATTTTACATTGATTAGCTACAAATAGGAAAATATTATAAACATTTAATAATTAACAGAGGAGTAGAAAACAATATTTAAAACTAATTAATACATGACAAAACAATGGATATTGATGTTACAGAAAAATATAACAATGTATAAAAAAATATTACAATAACAAAATATAACAATGAATATATCAATAACAAGAATACACACAAAATATAGATCACAAAATTAACACGAGAAAAATAACAACAACAACAATGCTTTTACAGAGTACCCACAAGGATGCTGTCAGCCGCAGAACGCCGATTATTCTATGTTCAAAAAGAATCACTGTCCAATTTACACCTACTACCTATTTCTTTTAGTATTTGAGTAATAAACCAAAAACTAAATTTCCTCATATAAAATGCATGTAAATGTAAAATGGCAAAACTATTCCTGGAAAAAAATTCAGCGGCACGCCACGGTGGTGTTCTATCGTGAAGGGTTCGTCTGAGTGACGACTACAACTAGTAGAGGATTGAGTATTATAAGCCAATCATCGGTCTCAGGTAAGAGACACGACTCTCGGCTTTTAAAATATTGATTAGATATGCATGCCCATGGAGGCGGAAGAGAAAGATAAATTAGTTTAGAGCAAATTGGGCAGGTCATGTACCAGCTTCTACAAAACCAGAGCGAGAACTGTAAATTCCACTCAGGAGATACCTAGCGGCAGTTAGACGAACTGTTGCGAACGTCAACGTCAAAGCGCGCCAACCACCAGCGCACCTAATGGCGAGGCGACTAGATGTGAATTTACACTGACTCACTGACTACACTGAGAGGAGACTGAGTTGAGTCGAGTACTGACAGAACCTGAACTGAACATCCTATCCTAGTGTCAACTAACTGTCAAGTGTCGGTTGTCACTCGTCGACCGTCGTACTGTGTTCGTGTTGTGTATTATAGATAGATTGACTTAGTTGTCCAAAGATCATTAACAAATGAATCTCCTAAACATTATTTAAATGTGATATTATACTTATTCAAAATGTCAACTGCCTTCTTAGCGTTCATAGCACTAATTTTGATTTTCTTATTTCGTATTTTAAATGTCATTAGTACTCCACAGAAACCCACTATTTACGGCAAAGATGTAAATTTTCTAGCTTCATTGATGAAAATGGCACCACTCCTCGAAATTCCGTAAGTATAAGTCTAAAAAGTCAACGCTTTCATGGTTTGAACGTCTAAGCTTAGGTTAATCAAGTTAATGTTTCATTGAAAAGTGCAATCAGGATAGTAGCATAGAAATACAGGGATTCTCAAGGTTAGGTACCTAGAATGTTGACCTCGCCTAGTTTATTTTTTGACAGTTTCGTATAGCTTAACTAGGGATGAGCATCGATAGGTGAAACATTGATGTTCACCATCATTGTACTGGTAACATCGTCGCAAAAACATCAATGTTTTCGGGGCTAAAACATTGATGTTAATGATGTTTTTTTTCAGTTTTTCGTCTGCTCTCTGTACTACAACAGCTAATCAACCTAAAAATAATAAGTTACGATTCATTTAGGCTATTGAAAACGATGTTTTTCAATACTTGCCAAAAACATCGGTAATCTACCGTCGATGTAAAAAACATCAAACATTGATAGAAAAACATCTATGTTTAGAAAACATCGACTATTGATGTTCATCCCTAAGCATAACCCTTTGGCTCTCACTAAGTTACATTTTGATCGCTAATCTAATATTTTCCTGGAATAACTTGTGTCATCCATGATCTTATAGATGGACATCTTTTTTGCCATCTGATAATAGGCTAAGTTATTGCTATTTGATATTTTAGTCCTCTGGCTGGTTTTGTCACAGAGAAGTAAAGGTTTTGTCACTTCTCTGTGGTTTTGTGTTGTACGTTTGCCAATTATAGAGACTTGACACAAACTTAACATTTCCTTAGAAGCCCAAAGTTAGGCCTATTCAAATCAAAAGTAAGTTACACCCTCGCTACGGCGGGGTTTTTTAATTATTATGACACTGAGATATTTAGTACAATTTTTATCTTATTAATTTGGCTCTTCTTTACATTAGCGAAGATACTCATTGAACTAGTATCTTTACAATGCAGGTAGAATTTTATTAGCTGGCACTTGGTGATTTGTTAAATAGGTTATTATTTTGAACTTAATAACTTATTGCTGCGTACCGTAGGCCTATTTAAAATAATTAGTGAAGTGCAAATTTGATGCTAGATGGTCTCCAGGCATGCTTCACAGTGTGTCCTTGGCTCAAAAATGTCTCATCGAAGTAAAACAAGGTTTGTTTTCAACTCTGTATTTTGTGATCTCCTTTTAATATTTCTTCTTCAAAATAACAAAAGATTGTTTCTTTCAATGAACATTGATCGTTGTGTCCAGTGAGTTCATGGTGGTGGTTTTGGCGTCAACGGCGTCATCAATGATAACTTACATTGTGGCTAGACATTTCACCCTTACTGTGAAGTTGCATCCTTAGGGGCTAGGCTGAGACTAAGTTGGGATCGTCAGTCCAGTCACTGTGCTAGGAACCCTCGCTGGTTCTATTGATTTCTACTGCCTGAGCTTATGTAATATAGGTAGGCATGACTGTGGAATCCGGTATCTGTTGTCATTGTTTAAGTTATTTGGATGTTTTATTTTTAGGCCTACTTCTATTGCTTCCCTGATTTTTCTGGAGTATGTAGAAATATAGTTCTTTAGCAATCACTTTAACTTAATCAAAATTTATTAAGTTACATGTCTTGTTGTCCAGCTGTGTTCTGCTACTGCCGACTATTCCGTGTGTTGTCGTTTTGTCTAATGAATATGTTCTTTTATTCTCGTTGAAATCATGCGTTTGGTTCCTCAAACACAAACTCATGCCACAGGAACATAGGTCAATACGTGATCCTTTTTAAATCTCATGTTGATGCCTTTTGCTTGCGGTCGTTTTTTCTTTTTGTGATTTTCTCATTTCATTAGCTGAGCTTCTTCCTTTCTTATACACTCCACAGTCACCCTTCTTGTCCCAGTTATAAAGAAGCTGCCCTCTCTGCTACTTCTCAAAGTTAAGATGGTTACTCAGGCTTACAAATTGTATCTGTTTCATTCCAATACCTCTAGTGTTAAACCGGGTTCACCTCGGTTAGGGTTCATGCAATTCCTATAAATTCAAGTTGAAGGTTATTATGGAAAATATGACAAAACACAATTTATCCATAAAAATTGTAAGGTAGGCCAGGTCAATTGTTTTTTTTTGTCACAGCACCATTCACACAAAAACATAGGGAATTTTTGTTAGTCAACAAGCTTTATAGGCCTATATCAAAGTTTAACTAAAATACCCTTGTCGCAGCAAACCTGCTGACCAAGCAAATTTCCTTTTTCCTGATTCGATTTTCACTAAAATATTTCCTTAAACACGTCGGATTGATTCGATATTTAAATAACCTTCAGGTTTAATGAGTACATAGGTTTGCTCAAGGGAGGGTAATAAAGTGTGTTTTTAGTAAAATGTTAATAGCTTAATATAAAATAAATAAATTCGCCAAGTTTTATGAAAATATATCCATAAACAAGCAAACTAGGCTACAACGATTTACTTAAATTCCCCATGAGAATAAGGTGATTTTTTAAAAATTTTCTCCATAACCAATTACTATTAAAAAACACTTCAACATGTATTCAATTGTAATCGTTGGCACTATTCAAATGCTGTAGCCTGTAATGTATACTTTTCAAAGAATAAATGAATTTAAACATTCCAAATTTTTTCTTTTGTTTGAACCTCTACAATTGGTTTGGAGATAAATTGCACGGCCATTTTTATCCCACTAAACCTGTCAGGCCTAACCCCGTTCCCATGGTCCGATCATGTTTGCAAACTTGTTTGAATAAACATAGGTTTAGCCTACACATTCGTACCAAATGTCATCAACGATTTTTGCTTGATTTATCAAGCTAATGGACCTATATGTGGATTGTTTTGTTAGCATTGCTTGGATCTCTTCTGGCAAGGTTCTTGCCAAACAATTCACTGTTGTCTTACGGTAGTAAAAAACACAGTTAACTTATATAAATATACATATGAACTTGAACCGATGGTGATTTTGGCCTCTTGGGACATCAACACAAAAAATTAAATCGTTCCCGGGTCTAGGTCTTACTATGAGACCTACAGTAAATAGCTTATTCCCTAAATGGGAAATTCTTATCAGTAAGAAGCTGAGCTCATAATTATATAACTACCTTGTTGTGGGTTAATTGGACCGGGGCTACCTTTCTGCACTGAAATGTTGACGGTCCGGGCAGCCTACCTTTCCTTCAATATTTGACAATACGGCCCTTGATTAAAATAGATTGAAGACCCCTGAGTATTCTGATTCATCTCCTTCATTAATTTCACTACTGGACATAGACCTATTCATTTTTAATGTAATATACTCAATTATATTGATCCGATTGTTCTTAACATTTGCACTCTGTATAAACTGAAATGACGACTCTTTTGTTTACACTCGTGCAAAACCGTCATAGTGAAGTGGCATGGCAACCCGTAAGGTCCATGTTAAATTTTCAAAAGTTTGTATAATATATATTATAGCAAAAATATATTTTTCCTGGCTATGCTATAGGCCTACCATTTGGTCCAAAAGTCAAAACTTATTTTTTGACGCAGAACTTAACTGTTACCGTACACAAATTGGTTTCTTGGTGCCGATTCTGGGGTCGAAGTAACTACTAGCCTATAAAAACTTTAGTCTTATTATATATAGCTTAGGATATAATTTCTGATGTCAATTGATGATTGGTGCTTTTTTAATGTTTTCCAGATATTTTAGCTTTGTTATATATTTATTCTTGATTTTCACCAGATACACACCAACGAGGCTTTGGGGATTCAGTGGCCACGTACAGACAGTAGTGCACAGTGTAATAGGAAGATTTAGATGTCCTTGGCCAATTGGAGAGCGCATCCAATTGTCATTATCTGATAATTCATTGCTCACATATGATTTGTATCAGCCACTAGAACATAAATATGAAGGTAAGTTCAACCTTTTGTTCTATCATTTGTGGATTGTTTTGTTAGCATTGCTTGGATTTCTTCTGACAAGGCTCTAGCCAAACAGTTCACTGTTTTCTTAGTAAAAAACACAGTTAACTTATATGTCTTGCTTAGGCACCCATTTATGTAATGTTCTGAAATTCTACCCCGTTTCAGGCTTTTTTGAAAAATTTAATCTGCAACAAACTTATTTACTATTGCTGATTTATTTACTGACCTTATTTGTTTATTTGCTTGATCTTTTTATCTATTAAATAAATAAATAGGCAATAACCATTGTGTTAATTTGTGTAAAGAAGTAGGGTTATTATGGTCACAAAAGATTTATCATCAGATGGGGAAAGGGAGTAAGAGGAAAAGATGACTCATCGGATTAGTCATCCAAGGTCAAATGATACTCTAGTGTTATTGAGTTTAATAAGCCTACATCTTGATTGTATATGGACTGGCAATTGCAAAGATGCTGCTTCTAGACTTATTTGTTTAAATATTGACTAGTTATGTAATGCAATTTATGCTCTATTGATAAGAGACTCTCGAACCAAGTGGAACAGTTTTGATTAAAAAGCTGTTTCATTTGAGATACCATGTAACCAACTCATTGGCTTTGTAACACATAATACTTTATATTTAAATAAAAAGTCCATTTAAAATTCTAATTAAATTGATCTTGCTATTTGATTATCGATTGCAATTATTTTAAATTTAAAATATCTTGTCATAATAAGGAGAACAATTATCCTCATAAAATATGATTTAGATCTTGATAACTATAGTACCTAGTACCAAACAATACACTATAGATGATTCTTGTTAGTAAATAAACAAAAACATTATTTAAAAAAATGAGAAGTGTAGAACCAACTTGATTAATCTGTTTTATAAAAATGTGGGTGGGTTATACTCCTGTAAATTAGAGTGATGGTAGGTCCTGGATCAGTCATGTTCTTGTAAAGCTTTGACACAGACAAAATAGAGAACAATAACTTTACAAGTCTTTGCCAGGGGGATTATCGTGTCTCTAAGCGTTAATCTAAATTTGAGAGCAAGATTTGGTTTTGTCAGGAAAAGATCAATGGTTTTTTGAGTCATTTTAGTTTCCTAGAGGAGTTTGACATAAATCTTTTGGCTAAGGAAATTTTAGATTTAATTTGGTTGACTATACAACTGATATCATACTTAGTGGGTGCTGAATGATTTCATGATGATTTCAGATGATGTCACTCTTGCTATTGTGCCTGGAATCTGCAACACCTCTGAAAGTGTCTACATCCGTACGTTCGTCCATTACGCACAATGTCATGGTTACCGTTGCGCCGTACTCAATCACATCGGAGCTCTCTCGTCTGTTCCTGTTACTACTAGTCGGGTTTTTACTTACGGTATGATCTTCATTTGTTTGCTTTGCTACTTGTTCTTAATTTATATCTTTCCTCGAAGAACAGTTAATAGCCTAGATGAGAATGAGTTTGGACTGTTAAATATTACACATATTTTCAAATTTTTACAAGTTTATAAATGTATTTAATATTTTATAATTTATTCCCTTTGAAAATAAATACAAAAACTAAAACTGTTTATGTAAATCGTTTTGCTCAGCTTATATAATTGTGAAAATCGACAGACAGTGCTAGGGTTTTGTACCTTTATCCCTTAGGTGCTGGCCTTTATTCATTATTTTGGTGTGACAGTAAACATAAGTTGCAAAAATCTGAAATCTTGATATTTTTACGCATTGATAAACCTTGTTAGCCTGCATATCCAAATTAATCTTTTTAGTCAGATCAATCATAAGCTGTAGAGCATACAAAATGTTTCATTAAGCACAAATGTCCATGCTTATCTAAATACAAGCACATTTGTAAGCTTTCTTGATAAGATCATATTTGAACTGCTGTGACTCATGTGATAGGAACTAGGTCTAGGAAGTATTGCAACATGCTGACAACTATAAAATACGAGTCTTACAGTTTTAAGTGACTGCAAATTTTAAAACTAAATTGTCAATTTAAATTGCACTTTGTGCGAAATATATATTGTTTTCAGCTTGTAAGCTGCATTGTCATGTGAATAACAGCAGCCTTTTGTACTACAAAATACAATTTTACTTACAGTAATACAAAAACTAATTCAAAGCCATCCTAAACATGTATTGTGAACCCAAAATTAGATCGATCAGTTTTACACCACGACCTTTGAGAACTAAAATCTTGTGTATAAATGGCATACCTATTTAAAATGTTTAAATCTAGGTAACAAGTGTTCAAGGTGGTTGTTTTAGTTTTTCTAATAGGCCCTACTTTAAATATTTCTCATTAAATGTTATAATTTAGCTAGCTTATACAAAGTTAGCAAAATAACGACTGTTTTAATGTATGTTAAGTGTGTAAAAACTGTACAGTAATGGAAATTTTCAATTTCAATTTTCAATTTCTTTATTCATTGAGAAGTATACATAATACAGCATTTGAATAGTGTCAAAGATTACAATTATTAAAATATAAAATACAGATTAAAAATAAATCTTAAATTAAAAAATACATCTCCCCGTATACAGATGCCATCTTAATATCTAGTATTCTTGAGGGAGGTGGAAAAATTCTTCTTGAGAATAAATTGCCATGTTTATTAAGAAATTTTTTAGTTTTGTTTTAAACTTTTTTGGATCTTTTTCATTTCCAATTCCTCCGGGGATATGTTTAAAAAAACTTTTACCAGCAAATGATGGTTTTTTTTCATAAAACTTTAATCTGTGCCTATTTTGCAAAATCTGATTTTTTCTCTCGTTTCATATTGGTGAACCGGTAGATTGGATAAATTGGATGAGGTTTTTTTTTTAAAAATTAAAATTGAATCATAAATATACTGCCCATAAACAGTTAGTATGTTTAGCTGTTTAAAGTGCTCTTTTGCCGAGACATCAGAATTTAGTATGTGCATTTCTAAAATGTGTAGTGTTGATTCTGTGAGTTTGATGTTGGCAGTAACGTGTAACACAACATAGTTTCAAACAATATGTACAAGAGGGCTTGAAAAAAACAAACAGGCTTATCTCATAATATTTGGTATTAAATTTTGATCACAATCAGTTCATCTCGATTGACCACGTCTCTTTTAAGTGATCCATTGTTCAAGTCTAAAAAATAGTTTTTTAAATTTACTTTTTGGCTTCGGTTTTGTTGAATTTTAATTGTGATATTCTTTAAATGTACAAATCTGCTGGTAGCATCCAATACAATAGGTACAATAAATTGTACTTAATTTGACAAGATAGTCTTAATAAAAATCATGTAACAATTAGAATTTGTAACTAGTAAATATATACCTAATTCAACCTGTTATGTGAATTATTTCTATCTTGTTGTTTTAGGTTACACAAATGACTTTCATGACATGTTGCGCCATCTGTGTGAACGCCATCCGGAGTCCAAGGTAGTCATCATCGGATACAGCATGGGGGGTAACATCGTCACCAAGTACCTCGGAGAAAAAGATAAAGAGAAAGTGCCCAACCTGATAGGCGGAATCTCCATCTGTCAGGGATATGATGGTATCCAGTAAGTATATATGACTATTCATTAGTCTGTCGAAAAGAACCTCAAATAACTGGGTATGGATCAACCGTGGTCAATAGATAGCTCTAAAACTCAAAACTGCGTTACATATCCTCACTGTCCAAGAAATTTTTTAAAATTGTATTTGAAACTGTTTCGGTCCATTATTTTTATGCAGTAGGCTCCCACATTGTTTTTAATATATCACAGTTCATTTGACAAAAGAAATAGGCCTAGAACAAAGAAATATTGATTGCGTGCTCGAAGTTAACGTCACACTTCTGCAGACTCTGGATATCTTCTGCTCCTTACCATTAAGTGTACAAAAACCCTTAAAAAAAAATATTTAACCTACTTAAATAACCTACTTAAATGTTTTTTTGTAACATTTAGCTTAGGTTTCTTTGCTGTCTGTTTTGCGCTATGTCACAACAGATTTCATTAAGCTCAGATCTGATGACATGATAACGCTTGGCTGCCTGTTATTGGGTGATCAGTAACCATGGCAACATGTTGACTGTGTGGATGAATAGAAACACAAGAAATACAAATGAAGTAGACCAAAGAGAAAGAATACCAATGTTTTTATGTTTGTTATCTTCATCTTTTTATGAGTGTTTTCATAATTTCAAGTAGGCCCACTATTGTTTTATTCTTATAATGAGTTAACCTAATGTTGATTGTTTCCAATATGATTGTTTTCAACTACAGGATCATCAATGCTAGTTTATTATTATTATCGACATTCCTCTGTTCTGAAACAGCATTTACTGGTATTCTATCCGTAGCAGTGGCTTACTAGACTTTATGTGTCATTTACTTGATTTATTGCTGTACAGTGATTAGAAAACATTTCTGTTAAGTTTAAGGAACCTCTGATTAAACTGAACAGTTTTTATAACTTTAACGAAGTTTATATATTCAAGGGGACTTGAACATATAATGATTATGCAATATTGTAGGCTATTTTGTTGATGTAAAAATACAAATTATGACTCCTTTATATTTGAGGAGGACACCATTTTATTTTACTTTAGGTTTTAAACATAATACAATTCTAAAAAACCAAAATATAAATCTACCATAGTATTTTAATTTTGTGGGGCCTTTGACGTAGTGAAGAACTTGTAGTGTCTTTTACTTTTTTATATACTATTAAAATTTTTTTTATATAAAATTTTTGCTTTTCTGATATGTTTATAGTGATACATCTTTCCTAAAATTCAATTTCTATGTTTAGGGGTACCAAGTGGCTGCTAAACTGGCAAAACTTCCGTAGACTCTACTTGTATGCCATGACTGAAGCCGTAAAAGGGATCATTCTCAAGCACCACAAAATCCTTCTCAGTGAAGAAGCAAAATCCACTCACAACCTGAACGAAAGAGAAATCATATCAGCAGCTACTCTACCAGAACTTGATGATGCTTATACCAGGTAAAATATATCAGAATTAGTATTTAAAATCCTAAATCTTACCATCCATCTTTTCACCAGTCAAAATGTTGATGAAATGAAATGAAATGAAAAATGTCTTTATTTAAGAGGCGAAGTTAGGACTTGCAAGACCTCTCTACCACTTAACCTCTAAAACATAAATAAATAAAAACTTATTCACTTATATAAGTAAATTTAAATAATCTAAAGTGTCTAATAAGTGTCTTAAATAATCTAATAATCTAATAAGTCATTGATTTATTAGTGCTTGTTAAATCAATGGGACTTCTTTGCTGCTTTGACTCTTATCCAGAGGGTGATGAATGTAAAGGACTGTAGCTTTCATGTTATCAGTTAGGCCTATAAGAAAGATATGCTATGCTATCCAGTTTACCATTTATCTCTTTATTGTGCGAGAAAAGAGTTCCCAATCTTATTTATGCATTTCACTTAAGAAGTAGGCCTATACTAGATGATAATTATGTATGCACAAGGGTTGCTATTTATATTTCTGGCCTAAAAATGAAAAAGCAAGTATTTAGGTACAGTATGTTCAAAACTAGTTTTAGTTTACTGTTTTTTTTTCTAAATGTTCTCCCTTAAGGTTAAAATAAAATCAACGGTGGATGGCCTCTATGGTGGATGGCCCATAAATTCAACTTTTCAATTAAAAATCAATTATTTGAGCAGCAGTGTGAGAGCTTGCATTGTCACGATGAAGAATGATTTTCCTCTTTGAAGTTTTCCGAATTTCTCCAATGATTTCTGGCAAACATTAATATAAATACATAATTCAGGGTGTTTTGAAACTATCTCCCGAATCTCCATGGGAGGGTGGTTGGGGGGGGGGGTTCTCCAAGTCAAAACAAACCAAAAATATCATTTCAACCAAAGCCCTATCTCACTTGGTTTTCCGTATGTCAGGGTTGTGTATGAATTTTTTACATAACTTCCCATAACTTTGAAACGACTTAAGGTGCAAACTTCAAACTTGGTACGTGTATGATGACTAATAGGAGTTATTTGTTCGCATAACATCAAGTTTCTACTTTGTATATCTAGCCTAATTTCAAAATGGCGGTCATTTGATTTTTCAAAGCTTAATAACTCAAAAACCATAGGATTTATGAAAAGGTTACAAATGACAAAAAGGATGGAAATTTAATTCCCTTTACAGAAATGTACAATTTGTACAAGGTACACAAATAACGGAGAAAATTTCATTTTTATAAAGGTAATAACTGCTAATTTATTGAATTTGCCCATATTTTTTTGTTTTAACTTCAGAAAATTCAATTTTTATCCCTTATTTAGTTAATAGTTTGCTTGTTTAGAAATTAGCCCCTAGGTATATTTTGATAAAATTTGGCAAACTTGTTTATTTCATACTGAGTTATTAAATACTCCAATAAAACGTGCGTTTCTTTGATTTATGTGGATAATTCACATAAAAAGTTCACGGGTCAAATTATATTTTTACCATTGTATTATCGGCTCAGTAAAAAAATATATATAATAATAAATAGTAAAATTAGGTTTCTTAATCAAACTAGTTATGGTTGAAATAAAGACTAAAGATAAGCTTTGTACCCAACCTTTACATGAAAAAAGGCAATGAGTAAATACAAATGATTTGTCCTCATTGATTAATATATGTAACAATAATTAATGAAATAATAACTTGATAAAACAGTTGTTAGAACAAAGCATGATTTAAAAAATGGGGACGGTTGTGATTTTAGTGTGGACAATTTTGAAAAGTACTTGATTTTAGGAAAGTATATGGCTTCCCAACAGTGGAGGAACTGTATAAATGGAGCAGCTGCATCAACTACTTTGAAGGGATATCCCATCCAATGATCTTCTTCAATAGCAAGGACGATCCGTTGATTCCTGACTCCCTTTTAGAACCTGTTCGACAATTTGCAAGTAAGTCTTAAGTGCCTTATGATTTTAAATGTATACAGTTACTCTAGTATTTGTTTATAAATTATTTGTCGAGCATAGGACTTTTGAGCTCATAGCCGTGTGGTGTTGCATCCTCACAGTCTTTTTCCCTAATTACTGTATTCACAGAAACTTAAATAACTAAGGATGTAAATGTATAAACATTTAGTTTATCTATTCTGTTTGTTGTGTATTGAAATTGAAAAATAAGTTTGCATATATATAGGTATATAAATATAAATTAATATATTAGTGTTAGCATAAATAATTAGTAAAAGAAGACCCTGAGGATGCCACACAAAGACGAAACGGAAATTAATCTGTATACATACAGCTTCATTTTCTTTAACATGTTCGCTGCTGACGACTCCGATCGGAGTCATGCCGTACTGGCATAGCGTGCGTACGACTCTAGTCGGAGTAATGGTGCAGTGTTATACAAGTTGGTCTATTGTGACCTCCGCATTTATCGGGGATCAACTAAACTATGTCAGCATGTTGTGCTGATCCTATACTTTAATTTGGTGTAGGTTGGGTTTAGGTTGGTAGTAACATTTCCCGTAAAATCCCGTCTGGCAACATATTTTGTCCTGTTATCAGGGATTTTCTCTCTTCGCCACATTATAAAGACACTGGCTACGGATCCAGGCAGTGCTGCTATCTGTGAGTTTTTCAATTCACTACGTCCACTCTCGGGGTAACACAGCACCATGACCACCGCTGTTTTGCTGCTGTCAAGACTGAAATATTTTAATGCTATTGCGATCGCTGATTCACTGGCGCGCCGAGGATGCGTCGCATTTCCGACCGTACTGCCAAAGTGATTCTCGCAGCAAACGTGTTAATAATAAAGGTCTTTATAAAAAAATACGGTCCTTGGTCCTCCCAGCCTTTAGATATTCATTTTCTTCACATGGAAACAGCTTATCTAAGGATAAGGAGGAAATGGCAAGAGTTGAAAGAATTCAAAATTCTGCCTTAAGGTTCAATTTTGGCCTTAATCGCTTTGACCACGTGTCCTCCTTACGAGATGCTGCAAAGCTCATCCTAATGCCTGATCCACAAGTGCTCAAGCTGGGAGAGCCAGGGTACCTCAGTGAGATGCTTAAGTACAGGGTGAGGAGATATGTCTGTGTAGTACTAGTTCGGACCGAAAACTTCACTTTCCTAAAGTGAGGCTTGAAGTTAGAAGAAAGTCATTTTCTTATTTCGGCCCACAGTTGTATAACGGCCTCCCTCAGGACTTAAAGAAATACAAATCCTATGATTCATTCAGGGCTGCAATAAAAAAAAACAACTGTAAAATGTATATTGTAAATGTTTTTTAAATAATTTATTGTATATTATATGTGTAAATATTATGCTAGTTTAGAATAAGTTTTTGACTTGAGTAATTTTTAAAATCATGTATACATGAAAATCAGTGTAAGAAATGTCAAACAAGTAATAATAAAAAAGGGCATGAATTGTTTTTAACAGTAATTTTTTTTACAGTTATGTCTGAATACTCACCTTGGTGTAGATTATTGCCACAATATTTAATTATTTATACAAATTGACTTATGAACAATTTTAATTACACTACAACCGTAGTGCTTATCTGTTACTATGGGTTCAGGTCCACAGCTGGAACAGTGAAAAGGACGGACTGTCCGAGGATGATTTGTTTAATGATCAGAGAATTTGTCTGGGATTTTTTTAAGATGGCAGAAAATTCCCTTGACCACAAGGACGATCAGGAGTTTGACGCAATGGCAACATTTAAGTTTGTGATCGCGGGAGACAACGATGCTGTCCCCGCAGGTTTGCAAGAAGTTAAATATTTCGCCGCAATCGCCGAAGACGATTTTATCAATGACCGTGGGATTTAGTCTGGGATTCTTCCAGGATTGCGGAAGACGATTATAATGTTCTTGTGACTACGGTAGAAGTTAAATATTTGGCCACGATCGCAGGAGATGATGATAATGTTTCTGTGACCGTAGGAGTTGTCCTAGATTTGATCTAGAGGGATCATGATAACTTTTCCATGATTGCATAAGACATTGATGACACTGTTCTATAAAACTGATTGTGGCCGGTATCATCGTGAACTTATCCTGCGATCACGGTGCCATCTTGAACATGCCCTACGTTCATGGCACCATCTTGAAAATACCTTTCATGATGCCATCATCAATATGTGTCGCGGTCATGGAATCATCCACAACATGTTTAGCGTTCACAAGACCATCATCAACATGTCCGTGGTCATGACGCTATCGTCAATGTATCCCGCGATCTCGGCTATTTCGTTGTCTCCTGGGTACATTTACTCCTGGGAACTATTATGAACATATTTCGCAATCACAGAGACTATATCGTCACCTGTCATGCCAGTGACATCTCCCATAATCGTCATCATTACATCGTGGAAATGTCATCATTGTCATTCATGTTGCAGCAAAATCGCTGCCAATCTAAACATGTCTAAACCCGTAAAAATTGTAAATAAAATGTAATCCTTTCCTAATGATCGAGAATATTAATTCGCCTGAAAATTCCCAAATGTTGGGACCATTCATAGTGATAAGAGTGTTTTCTATTCAATTGTATAATGGTATCTCAAGTTTTTTAAATGTTAAATAAATAAATAATAATGCCTTTATTTACGAGCGAGTTTCATGATACATGATTTTCAAACTAACTCAAGTCACTAAATCTAAACTATCCTAATATGTTTGATCACTTTAGAATCATAGAGAATGATTATTTTTTGTTTACCAGCTATGTTTTGTTTGACAGCCACCAATAACAATACTGCTTACATCGAGATGGCCCATGGAGGACACTTGGGTTTCTACGAGGGTGGATTGTTGTACCCCAACCCTATATCCTGGTTGGATCGGTCCCTTGTGGCTGTTATTGGAGCCTTAGTCTGTACACACCACGAGACCAAAAACTCCAAACCCATCGATTAAGCCAACCACTCACGATCACATTCCACTAACTAGTGTTAATCTGTTAGCTTTTCATATTGCAACAATTATTAGTTTGTAGTTTTTCTATATAACTATTGAAAATTGATCATTAATGTAAATTTTATCACAAGGATAGCTATTGATCAATGTTTTGTCTTTTGTATCTTATTTATCATGTTTAAAAACCGGGATGGATGAGAGTTTATTTTGTATAATAATATTATTGATAGTATTCAGTCGTGTTTATATTATAATATATTTAATATTGATATCTCTGTGTATTTTTGTATATATTTATAGGAACTATGTTTTGTTAAATGTTTGTATAGTTTTGTAACAAAGTAGTTAACGATGTAATTGTTGTGTTATACATTTAACCCGTCTACAAAGGAAAGCCAAAGAAATAATTTTACTTTGTGGACTTTGTTAATATTATTTATTTTAGCTCTACTTTTTATCACCCAACACTAAACTTGTTTCTATCAACACTTATTACATGAAATATTATCACAACAGATTTTATACTCGAGTAAGAACATTGATATACATTTATACAATTGGTTTTGTAAGGGCATGACAAAGTTTTAAAACCATCATTAATCTAATCATGTTCCCTTATACCATTTGCTCAGATTTTTTTTCAGCTAGATTTCTTATGTAAATATTTATCTTTTTTATTGATTCTAGTGAATTACATTATGTTAAAAATTTTCAGGTCTGTTTTTAATTGATTGTTGTTTTAGTGGTATTATATTGCCTTATTGTTAACAGTTGCTCCATATCAATTAAACATTTTTTAAGAGGGCAATAAAAACTTTTATTAGATTAGTTGTAGGTATTATTGTTGTTCCTATTTTTATATATCCTAATATTGTTTTAATACACAACTTTTTCAACCCTTTAATAACCATTAAGAATACTTGAAAGTTGAAACAGAAACGTTTAGTTCTGTTAAAAAAAGGAGTGTCACAGACTCCTTATTAAGTATTATCTTATTCACTAATTATGTCTTATACTTTTTTTGTGTCAGCTATAGCCTTATGCCTAATATCTGACTTTTTATATTGTTATAGTTGTAGTATCATGTTTCCATCAGTTAATATTTTGAGTATATTTCTTATCAACCAGTGTGTTGATTGTTCCATTTAGTGGTATGTGTATGGCAATATGTTGTTTCATTATATCAAAATTACTTCTTGGCTTATAATTTATTTTAATATTTTCCATTGTCATTTCTGTTTAGTTCAATTTAACCAGGATATTTGAACATTAGATAATGTACATGTTTTATTCATTGAGTGAACTAATCAGCGCTCGAGTTGTAAAAAATGAGGTATCGGAACTGTAACCTGAGGTAATGTGATTTTTGCCAAAAATTTTTTCTTTCCGGAAAGAGAGCTACCGGAACTCTGTTTCGCCACGTGCCCCCGCAAATCGAGCACTGGAATTTAGTAATCCTAATAACATCTAAATTATAATAATTTTTTTTGTAATAGAAACTTTGGTCTGCTTTAAAGACAAGTGGCTTAAAGTGACTGAATTACTAAAATCAACCACTTTAAAACTAAACATAGCAATGTTAATAATGTCAAAATGTTTGTAGTGTTAGTCATAAGAAATTCTACTTTAAAAACTATACTGTACATTTTTGTAAACAAACGTTACCAAAATTTCATCCTCTTAAAACATTTTTTACCAATAAAGGTTGTAAAGTTAAAAGTTAATATTCAACTATTGTATTATAGGTAAACTTTATTATCAAAACACTAGTCTTCCTTTTTATGTGTCCCTGCTTTTTTGGCCAAAGTCGTGATTGTTTAAATGTTAATCTTTACAAATATTTTTCAACCTGTATTATTTTGTATGCTATAATGTTAGGGTGTAAAGAATTGGTCCAGTATTTTATTAGTGTAATTAATTTATTTGTTTAGAGTATGTGTGAGGACTAGGGCTTTATGGTAAGCGTGCCCAAGTGATTTTATAGTTTAAAATGACATATGGTAACAGAATGGAATTGTCAAAACTATAACATTTTCATGCTATAGAGCAGTATAAACTTAATAAAAAAGAACCTATAAAAAATATAAAATATTTTTTTTATCTTTTCTGTTCACAAAAAATAATCCCATTTTTATCAACTAAATGGTCCAACCATTTAGCTTGCAGCGGGTTATGCTATTAGTTGTGCATTCCTAAATAAACCAATAAGTGTTGTTAAACCGATTAACTTACATGTTAATTGTGATTGAGTTTTAAAGTTGGCTTAGCATTTTTGTCCAGGTTGTATGTTTTTTTTAATTCATCCAAATTACAACATTCCACTCTCAATTTTGAGAACCTATCTGCATTTAATTTTATTACCTACCACCAACATTGTGTAACAACATGATTAGAAGTAGGAGATCATTATTTATTTAGTTACGACGAATATTTTTATCTTTATTCATGAAATAGAACCAGTATTTTTCTAATGATTTGACTAATAGTGTGATTTCTGATTGTTTGAAGTAACCTTTAGATTTTGTAAATATCATTTTAGTGGTAATGTTTTGTAAAATTTTATTCAACACATTATTTCCCAACTTAACATAAAGGCCATGCCTCACCGACATCCGATGCTACTGCCGTGGGACTACCGCACGTGCACATTTTACCTTAAGAGCCATGCCACACCAAAAGTCCGCGGCGGGAGTTTTGAGGTGATTTCATTAAAATTTGTTTTACATAAGAAAAACATCTAAACTATTTATTTAGTATGCAATGTAAATTTTCTGGTTTTTTAAAGTAGTAAAGTGTTTTTAAGAAGCAATTGAATGTTATTTATTTGTTAGTGTAACTTACATTAAAAAGTGAACTGTAATTATTTTTTTTATTTGAGACCATTTGTTCGAAGTGCAAGCATTTTAAATATGGTTGAGTATAAATTATCCACTTTCTCTTCTGTTTTGAACGTTATTTTTCGCTACACTACAAAGACTTTTTAATAAAAACACACATTGGAATATTTCTTCAATCCAGTTACGAACATTTAAAAACTAATGGAATTTTTTTTGCTAGGCCTTCTATTAAAATTTCAAATTTTCATTGATTGTACAGTTTGGTTGTTGCGAATTGAAGCAGTTGATGAAACAATAACAAATGTTTGTTTACGTCGACATACAAAATTTGATAGGAAACATAAAAATTTGCACCGTTAACACTCTTTTTGCATGTTTAACAATCTAGAATTTTTTCTGGTAATAAATATATAACGAAAACAATCGATTACATAGTAGTGAAGCGAAAATACAAAACAACATAGATCAGCAAGTTCGCTCCCGCTGCAGTAGCAAGCTCAGTGTGGCATGGCCTTTAGTGACATTAGTCTCAAGATAGTTTTTTATATGAATTATAAATGTAAAATACATTCCCTGCCTGATGATGCAAAAAGTGTAGCTTCTTACAGAGTTTGAAAATGATTCTAGTTCTTGCAGCTGAACAACAGACAAAATCTGTAGTTCATCATTGCCAGCAATTTACGTTTTAAAGTGATAAATTTTTTAGTCCTATTTTTCCAGGGCCGAACATTCTCCTTGCTAAAACATATTTTATGATTTAGAGATTCAACACGGTTAAGTATATATGAATATTTGTCAAGACATTATATCTTATAAAATTAATTGTAGACATTTTACTATTTTAACTACATTTTATTCATCAAGAGAAATCCTTATTTTCTTTTGTTTTTATGTAAAGTGAGGTAATATGAAAACATATTTTTACTTACCTAATGGCTGGATATGAGTTAGCAAATTAAATATAGCAAAATTTGCTTATAATTTTTTTCATATAAGTTATCAAAATAAGACTAAACACTTCAAATTCTTCCATTTCCTAATAATAAAATTGATATTTTATTTGATTGTGAATTTTACTTTGGTTGTGAACAGAGGTTCAACAAATTTTTCCTATTTTGTTTAAAAATAGGGACTCGTATGAATTACAAAAGACATTAGGCCACACGGTGTAAGCTTTAATTATAAGTTTACTTCAGTATTTTTTTCATGTTATCGTTGACAGATCAGCACAAATTCAAAATATTACAAGTGCTGTTTGGTGAACACCGTCTGGTGATCATAATCACTTTAAACTAAAATCTGTTATATTTGGGCAAAGTCCTTGTTACTAACCGAGTTTTGTTATCTAGAAGAAAATAGCTGTATACTTTATATGTTGCTTTACTTTACCAGTTTCATAAGTTACAAGACTAGATCTACCACTATAGTTCTAATAATGAATATTATTGATGCCATTTTATAAATAAATACAACACTGCCTCAATAAGCTATTGTAAATTTTTTATGACATTTCAATTGGTTTGTGTTTTCAAGAAACTTCTTACCACAGAGCATAGTTCACAAATGAGAGGGTTTTAAATAAGCAGTGCCTTTTTTAAAACTTCACTTTCTGGACTGCTCTTGTACATTTAATTGGAAGTCAAAACTGATTACAAAGATTTTGCCTTTTCTAAATACCATAGCAATATCATGTAACTCATGAAAGACTGATATTGTAGAAGTTTAGTGGACAAATCAAATTTGTAGCCTCAGCTTGTTGTATATGATTGTACAATACCTCCATCATAGTTATTTTTACAGGCATTCTTGCTCAAAACTAAACTCATCCTTTTCTCATTTTCTGTATAGCCCTAGTAAGGTTACAAAAGAAACAAAAAACAGAAATAAATAAGTATATATTTTTATATATTAGTTGCTTGCAGTAGTATGGTAGGCCTACGCTTAGGCTGTGAATGAGCTTTTCATCAGTTAATAATGTTAGCTATTTATTAGTTACTAAAAAATGTATATTTTAAATCCTCCAGTTATCCTCACAAAACTGACATTATTGTAGATGTTTGCACCCTCTACAGGTTTGCATTCTGTAATTCAAACTTGGAAAGTTATATTGTGGAACAAGAATGGTTTTGTTGTTCAGTCTGAGGTTGCTTATTTTAAATTCTTGTCAATGAAAATCAAATATAAAATCCTTTATAAATTACTACAGAATTGGTACTTAATGTAAAAAAAAAAGATTAGGCGTGCTTCTCAAAAAGAACTACTTTAACTTACTTAGTCCTTACTTCAAGTCAGTTTTAAAGTTTTAAGTTACATATAATGTTTGGAAAAATGGTAAAATCAGAAATATCTTAACTAAGGCACAATAAAATGACACCACAGTTTTTTCTAAACATTTTCCTAAATACTTAGTAAATGTACAAAATGGTTTCCTGGTATGTTTAGGATTTTATATTTTTTAATAGCAGTATTATTTCTAAATGATAAAACCAAGTTGTTCTATTGGTTACAAGTTTAGTAATGGTATTTAAGTAATAAATATACGACTATAAATTTAATGCGAGCAAGAACATTTACTTAATGTATCAACTACCAAGCAGTAGACACCCATCAACATTAAAAGTTTCCTTTGAGTGTGACAATCCATAAAAGAGGCGTTCAATGGAAAGAGCATTGTGATATATGCTTAGTTTCATATTTGTTATTCTTGCATTTGTAAATCAATAACATTATATTTAATTACTGTTTACGAAATTTTAATTTTGGCTGTTATTTTATTAAATAAAGTACAATAACGAGAAAAGTTGCTTTTATTTATTTTTTGTACTAAAATACGTAAACGATTGAATAGTATGCCATTGAGTAAATTTTAATAGAAGACGTAAAAGAAGTGTAAACATTTGTTTTGAGATTTGTTGAAAAAAAAAAAAACATGGTCAATCAGGTGTTAAATGTTTTCTTCTTCAAATGTAGACACATCACTTATATAATTCTGGTATCAAAGTAATTATTTTGGCAGAAACAAACCTGGCTCTTTGCAATTAACAAATACTCCCGATTGTTATCATTGATAGGGTAGCTGCTGACTGATATATAATTTAGGATTCAGAGTTATATTATTAACCTTGCCAACTTATTTGGATGAGTTAGGTCTTCTCTTCACTGTTCGTTTTGTGTTCTGTTTTCTGTTCACTTTAACTTGCATTTCTGTGTTCGTCTGCGATATAGCTATGTACACAAATCAAATAATAATCATTCGCCGGGTTTCGTGATTTCCTATTAATTTAGTTGGCATTTCGTCCTCTTAGTTTTGAATAAGTATTAGGATGTTCGTAACAGCCAAATGTTTTAGAATTGACTTGGTTATCCTCCTTTTAGCGAATTTCCCTATAGGGAAGTAGCTATTACCGTAGGTGGCACGGTAAGACCTAGACCCGGGACCGATTTACTTTTTCATTTTGATGTCCCCAGAGGCCAAAAACACTATTCGTTCAAATTTTTATATATGTATATATATATATAGACTTATATATATTAAAAACTTGCATCTTTATTTATGTAAAAACCGCAATAGATAGAAATATGCAGTTTGCGGGAATCATCTATTGACGTAGGGGGACCAATTGTTTTGAATTCAACGTTACATTCACATTCCCCCCCTTTCCCCCCCTGCCCCCAACTTAATTTTTTTAAATAGCAAGGTACCCCTTGTGACATATCAAATAAAAGATCATGAAAAAAGAAAATGTTTGATGAAAAAAAATTGAAAATCGGTTCATAAATTTGTGAGATATTCCCCCCCTCGACCCCCCGGAACTTAATTTTTTTTAATAGCAAAGTACCCCTTGTGACATATCAAATGAAAGAGCATGAAAAAAGAAAAATTTTGGCGAAATTTATTTTTCATTTGATATGTCACAAGGGCGGGTACCTTGCTATTAAAAAACAAGTTATGGGTAGGGGAAAAGGGGGGTGATTATCTCACAAATTCATGAGCCGATTTTAATTTTTTTTTCACCAAAAATTTTCTTTTTTCATGCTCTTTCATATGATATGTCACAAGGGGTACTTTGCTATTAAAAAAAATTAAGTTCCGGGGGGGTGAGGGGGGGAATATCTCACAAATTTATGAACCGATTTTCAATTTTTTTTCATCAAACATTTTCTTTTTTTATGCTCTTTTATTTGATATGTCACAAGGGGTACCTTGCTATTTAAAAAAATTAAGTTAGGGGCAGGGGGGGAAAGGGGGGGAATGTGAATGTAACGTTGAATTCAAAACAATTGGTCCCCCTACGTCAATAGATGATTCCCGCAAACTGCATATTTCTATCTATTGCGGTTTTTACATAAATAAAGATGCAAGTTTTTAAAAAAACACCCTGTATATACGTCCGTGAACGCGATAACTTGAGTAATTTTTGTCCGATTTTGATGAAATTTGGTTTAAAGGTGTAAAGCGGGATACACTTGAATGAGTTCGCGAACCAGCACGATCGGACCATGGGAACGGGGCTCTACGGGGGGTTTTATGGGGTAAAAATAGGTTTTTCTCACTTTTGACCCTCAAAACACAAAATTTCCCAATTTCTCTTTAGACCTTTTTAAAGAGCTTAAAAAAACAAATAATTTAGTATATAAAAGTATTTTTGTTCGATTATTAGTAACGAAGAAAATTAAAAAAATTGTAAATTTAAAATTCCCATGTTATTCTTATGGAGAATATTGTCAAATGTTGTAGTTTGCTTGTTTATGAATATATTTTGATCAAACTTGGCAAATTTATTTATTTTGTACTAAGCTATCAATATTTTACTCAAAACACACTTTATTAGTTTCCTTGTAGCAGCAAACCTAGGTACTCATTAAACCTAATGTTATTAAAATATATTTAACTGAAAATCAATTCAGACAAATGGAAATTCGCTTAGTCGGCAGGTTTGCTGCGGCGGGGGTATTGTAGTGTTCAACTGAACCTTTGAGGTTAAGTCGTCTGGAGTACAACATTTATTGTTGTGTTAAGTTTTAATCATGTCCATCTTCAACTTGATTTTCAAGTTGCGGTTTTTATATCAATAATATTAGATGAATAAACTTCTCAGGACGATGGAGACCACTCGCTCTATAAACTTGGGTAACAGTTTCATGTCTATAAAGTAAATGTCTAGAAGCAACAACATTGTTTTACTGTCTAAAATGGTACTTGATGCATACTGTTAGATAGATAAGTCCAACCTATTTATTCTCTCTGAAGATTGGAAGTAACAAGTTATTCATGGCACAGCTTTTCATTGGAACATTGCTTAGCCAAGTTACAGTATTACCTGCCTTGTTTGAGATGCATACAAAACTTAACTAATATCATAAAACCAATTCATTATATGCATGTTACTGGGAGCAATCAGAAGGATACTGCTCGAATCCTAGTACACATAGCTGTCTTGAGAAATAGAACTCCTGTAGAACTAGAACCTGACTATACAGGATTGTTTAATAATAACTTAGGTGTCCTTTGGATAGTTTGTCGAAATTTCCTTTTATTTAATTACTTTTGAAGGCAGCAAAAGGCCTAAATACATTTTACATTTCACCTAATACATTTTTACACTTTCACTTTTCTTTACTAATTTTTAAGCTATATAGCTCTGAAATAGAATCTGAAGAATGCTGCACTAACTTGCATATATTTAAATAATATATGGTCAGAGGTACTGCTTAAATTCAATGATGTTCCCTTGATTAGTTATTTAAGAAGTAATTTAAAAACATTCTTTGCAAAAGGTCATTGCAATTAAAATGACATAGTCCATTGGGATCGAATTTCCACAACATTAGGTAATGTTCTGCCCTCAAAGGCTCACGTCCTAACACATATCAGATGTTCATGTCCTAACACAGTGCCCTATATTTTCCCAACGGTTGCTGGGGGCCTGGGCCTGAAAGAGGCATCACTTAATGCAATTGCCGAAAGCGTTGTACAATCGCAGATTGCACAGTTAAAAATTATTATTTTGCACCAATCATGTGGGACAGCGATAATGCCGACCACAGGAGACATTCACGATTCCTCTTCAATCGCAAAGGATGTTCAGAATTTCTTTGCGACCCAAGAGACGAAGATGATATGCCTGCAAAAGTGTAGTAGTTCAAGACTTTTTCATGATCACAGGAGATGTAGAAGATGTCTTTGTCGTGACTGAGGATTTTGTTAATTTTAAATTTTGTTTCGTATTCACGTTTTCACAGCGACTGCAGAAACCGTTTAGGCCGATTTCCAAAAACAATGTTATAGCCGATAATGTGTATGGCCGATTATAATAATTATTGTTTTAAGAAATAAATATAATCTAAAACAATCCGATTTTGACACAACATGGTTTTGGCGCAAGACCCGTTTTCAATGTTGACCTGACCCAAAGAAAAAAGGTCTATTAGTATTATAAGAAAGAATGTTTTATTAACTCGTCTCCTAGCCGCAAGTCTATTCGCCGATCAGATTGTCGAAAACAAAAGGGTCAAGTTTTATTGAGTTGAAGCAATATTGTGTGTTTTCAAATCCTATAAACCCCAGCCAAGAATATGAATAAACAGATAAAGAAAATCTAAGCTCCAATCCTAGTTCTAATCTTGTGCAGTGCCATGGTTTTTGTTATCAAATTTATTTAATTTTTTATTCATTATTAATACTTCATCTGACTTGTAGGACAGCTGCAGAGAATATTTCCTTTTTAATGTTTTTATGTAATTATGTTTTTTTCTTTCAACTTGTTAATATTGTTATAATCGTTATTATTGTTATTGCTATCATCATTATTGTTCAAACTTCGGTCCCTGATGTCCCGGTTTCAAATCCCGCCAAATCACCAATGGATTTTATCCAAGTGATAATGCCGCAACCCCTAGGTCTAGCTTGAAGTAATGTGAAAAACAATCCCGGGCTCGCGCCTAGCGTCTTAGGACAAAAAAAATCATCATTATTTGTTTTCCGGTTGATGTTCTATACAAAAGGACAATGTTTAAAAGTGCTCCTGAATGTGAAAGAACTGGTGTATTAGACTGTTAAACAACTCATTCCCAAACACAGACCATTAGTCTATTTGGCAATTATTTTTCCTGTGTACACACTTTGTATTTATGTAAAAAAATATCATTCCGTAAATCTGTCTTATCATTATTCAATTAAAATTTACAAACAGCTATATGATCCCCTTCCCACTTTAAACCTGCACATTTAATTTTACTGTTTTCCTACTCTTTCGATTTATAAATTCTTACAATCATTTGATTAACATTACGGCATAATTCTATCAATTTTTAATCCATTTCAACATACGTATACCATATGTCACATATGGTATACGTATGTTGTCGTGATAAAGCAAGCATGTTACAGAGTTTTACAAAATGGTTTTACTAGTGAGGGATTTTTACCCTCATGATAAATTTAAATTTCTACTAATTTCCCAGCCATGAGATGGCAACTTACCTCATCGTTACGTAGTCCGATTTACACTTACGGTCAAATACACTTCGTTTTGGCACGGTATAGCACCTCCAAACAGAATAACTTCTCCGCGAAGTATTCCCTCACGTACCTATCTTCAAGGCCGTCTCGTCGAATGTTCTTCCCAAGTTATAAAGCTTGGGTAGAACTAACTATACTAATGCAGGGCTTGCTTAGTGTGCCTAACAACCCCGAGCTTACTTACCGACACTGTCCACCCTGGGCTGGGCCTAAGACCTACTAACTACTACAATCAGCACGACTTATGACGTCACGCTTATGCACGCTTATATGTCTATCCAATCACGACGGCACCGGTCCACCGACATTGCGCCACTAGGGCCAGGTAGAGACCAGAGACCGGCAGCGCCACTGTAAAATCTACCCCCCAAAACTCACCATTGTGCCAAAATGCGTCATTTCTGCAAGCTCAGAAAAAACTTCAAGTTCAACTTGAGTTTCTCCCTTCATTATCGGGATAGGATGTTAGGTAAACCTACATTCCATTTCCACTCGATTGTGGCTACCTGGGGTAGCGTTGGCGCAATCCCGGTGGCTGACCATTTTTAACCCTCACATAACTGGCGCAATCCCGGTCTACCCGACGGTACACACATACACACATTAAGTCTGACTGCGTATTGTAATGTTTCAGTCCAGGGAGCCGAAACACCAGCGGACTGAGGGTGTTACAGGACCAGGTCCTCTTCAGCCGTAAAAAGTTAGTATTTGTTTTTTGGATGTGCCGGGAATTGAACATATCCCCCCACCGAAGTCCGGAAGCACGATTTTTATTTCAGCACCAGTTTTCCTTTACATACGAAATGAAAGCATTCATTCTATTAACTGCCATGGCGTGACGTCATATACAAAGCTAATCAATCTGTCTGCTGCCAAGTCTGAAAGTGCTCCTCACCCAGTTACTTTTATAACTGTTTGGAAACAGGTTGCGATTGAACACAAGGAAAACCTAGTATTAGGAAACTGTTCTAACCTAATCCAACTAACCAAACTTGCTGTATCATTTCAAAATTCTGTTTGATAACTGAATATGCTCGTAGTTTTCTTTATTTGAAATTGATTCTTTTAACGCATCAAAATCACAAAATTTTAAAGGAATCTCCATCTTCGTCTTCACCGAAATCGTGAATAAGTAATTCAAACAATTTGGCTACCAGAAGTAACTGCTCCCATGTAATACCGGAACGGGAACGGGTTGAGGTAAACTTTAACTGACCACAAGAACGTCACTTCATCACAGCCTATAGAATGCTCTCATTTAGTCCGTATCGAAAACCCGGTGCTGAAATAAAAGTTCTGCAGTCCGCAACGCTAACCACTAGGCTAGCAACATATCTAACGTAAAAAGAACCAGATTCACACGCATATATAGGGCTCTCCAGTGGCAGGGGGTGTAGGGGTGATGTAGGAAGGCAGGCTCGGCAGTCCAGTTGCGTTGCTGCACGACCCTTGCCTTAACAGCTGATAAGCTCGGCCGCTACTTCAACTGTTACCTGTATCTATATCTCCAACTCTCTCTCTTATATTAATTTTGTGGAGAATAAAGCGTTTATCTTCCACAAAATTAGCTGTAAAGAAAAATAACCCTTACATACTTAGTTCCTTATTATTGATAATAATCTGTTAGGAAAATAATAAAGAAGTGGGTATATGTTAAATCGGTTAAAGTGGTAACAAAACAACGTTAAATCGTCAAGAATATTAATAAGAAAGGACTTTTTTCATAAAGGACTCTTTTTCACTCATATTAATGTTCTAATCACAAGTTACAACAATAATAATGACACCAAACCTGAGCAACCCTAATAATGAGCACAAACCCATCCTTCAATCCAACATGTTGAAATCTTCATCAGAATCCATAACAAAGGATTGGCTATTTTCATTATTGTTCTTTCCATAACTCACTAAACAACGAAACTAAGTGTAGCCATTTTAGAGGGGGCGGTGCATAAGATGACGGTGTCACCATAGACCAAGGAGAAAAAAATCTCTTTTTATACTCCTTAGTCTATGCAGACACGCTTCGTCCCGACGCCTGTAACTCGTTGTACAACGTGCCCCAGTGTAGCTATGACAGTGAGGGTGGTCCAGGAGTTGGTAGCACCGCTCTATTCACAAGAGATTCGTCATAGTCGTGACGCCTGTAACTCGTTGTACAACGTGCCCCAGTGTAGCTATGACAGTGAGGGTGCTCCAGGAGTTGGTAGCACAGCTCTATTCACAAGAGATTCGTCATAGTCGTGACGCCTGTAACTCGTTGTACAACGTGCCCCAGTGTAGCTATGACAGTGAGGGTGGTCCAGGAGTTGGTAGCACCGCTCTATTCACAAGAGATTCGTCATAGTCGTGACGCCTGTAACTCGTTGTACAACGTGCCCCAGTGTAACTCTGACATGGAGGGTGGTCCAGGAGGTGGTGGCACCGCTCTATACACAAGAGATTCGTTATAGTCGTGACGCCTGTAACTCGTTGTACAACGTGCCCCAGTGTAACTCTGACAAAGAGGGTAGTCCAGGATTTGGTGGCCTAGCTCCATTCTCAAAAGATACGTCATAGTCGTGACGCCTGTAACTCGTTGTACAACGTGCCCCAGTGTAACTCTGACAGAGAGGATGGTCCAGGAGGTGGCGGCGCCGCTCTATTCTCAAGAGATTCGTCATAGTCGTGACGCCTGTAACTCGTTGTACAACGTGCCCCAGTGTAACTCTGACATGGAGGGTGGTCCAGGAGTTGGTGGCACCGCTCTATACACAAGAGATTCGTTATAGTCGTGACGCCTGTAACTCGTTGTACAACGTGCCCCAGTGTAACTCTGACAGAGAGGGTGGTCCAGGAGGTGGCGGCGCCGCTCTACTCTCAAAGACGCGTCGTTGTGACGCCTGTAACTCGTTTTACAACGTGCCCCAGTGTAACTCTGACAGAGAGGGTGGTCCAGGAGTTTGTGGCACCGCTCTATTCACAAGAGATTCGTCATAGTCGTGACGCCTGTAACTCGTTGTACAACGTGCCCCAGTGTAACTCTGACAGATATGGTGGTCCAGGAGTTGGTGGCACCGCTCTATTCACAAGAGATACGTCATAGTCCCGACGCCTGTAACTCGTTGTACAACGTGCCCCAGTGTAACTCTGACAGAGAGGGTGGTCCAGGAGGTGGTGGCGCCGCTCTACTCTCAAAGACGCGTCGTTGTGACGCCAGTTTCTCTGCGTCCTTCATCATAACATGTCATGTAGTGGTCTCCCCGTTATTCTGTCGCGTTGTAAGTGTAATAACTTTTGTTAGAATATAAGTTTGAGGTTGTTTATAATTTTGCCTTTTATATTACCAATAATAAAGTGTCATTTATTACCTTTTTCTTTTTTTATTGTTTATAATATTTGATTTTACATTGTATAGCAAAATCTTAGTTTTTACTTTACTTGTAACGTGGTTAAAACAATTGTATTATTTCAAATATGTTGAATTTTCTTTTACCTTTTGTATTAATTATATTACCATTCATAAATCAATTTCTCTGCAACTTAAAGTAGTTTATTTAAATCTAATACAAGGAGAATATAAATTGGAATATCCGGAAAAAATGAAATAATAGTCGAATTTCAAACAGTTTTATAACTAAATTCGTCCACTGCAATTCATTTTTGCATATGTTACAAAACATTCATTTTGTATCTTTTGATAATATTTCTCCGTTAAATATATTTGACTCTTCATATTATAATGGGAATGAGAATTAAAACGTATATTAACCTTCAAAATTTAAAGTAAGTAAACACCAATAAAATATCGTGTTTTGCACGTTTTGTCTTCTAGGTAATATTTGGCCGGCAGACTGAATGATACTCTTTTTGGTGCTATGGAAGTCCTGAAGGTGGACAAATGTGAGGAAGGATCTTCGACAGTGAAGCTCGAGCGAAACTTTCTTGGTGAGTAATGTAATTTGTTTATTGTAATGTTGATACTCGAACCGTGAGGCAAAAGTAAAACTATGAGACAAAACCATCGAACTTTAGTTTTAGTAGTTTCATTATATTAACCTTGTTCACCTTAACCTTGTTAACCTTGGTTATTAACCTATTCTGGTTTTGATACTTTCATTGTCTTCTACTATCAAATAATTTAACACTTTATTTTTATAATTGTTCTTCTGATGGGTCTCTTATTCCTATCGTTATACTACCACTAATAATATTACTAGACTTGTGTGAAACAATTTTCAACGATGTGTATTAATAATCGTTTTGGAGAAAAGTCTTGTCAACATTTACAACAATTAATTCCTTTTTATTTTTGTCTAGAGCCAGATTGACATTTTCTTTGTTGTATCTTGAAAGATGGTCTACTACCCTCTTTCTTAAACTAAATTTGACGATCTTTCCTGACATATTTAACGCCACACTTCATTGAGTATTATTGGTTTTTGTTGTTAGCTGTACCAAAGTTTTATCTAAAGGTATATTAATTTGATAAAATAGAAACGCTTTTACTTGCGCTTTTATTTTTGTTCCTATGGTTTCACCTGCCTTATATTTTCATCTCCTATTATTCCTGTAGTATCACCTATTTATTTCAAACAAATTACTCTCAATTTTTTTACCTTAAATTAAAATATAAAATAACCATATAGCGTTCAACAAATTAATGAAGAATACTGTAACAGTCGTTCTAGATTAATAGTAACGTAACTAAATCCATTGAATAAGATTCTATCAGTTGTGTTAACATCCATTACTATATTACTTAGTGTACATATGGACAGTTATGAAACTATTCGTAATTAAAATCTATAGGCTTACATAGTTTATAAAAACAGTGTTTACTGATAAATGTTAATATTAATCTTTGACATAACTAAACAATTCGTTTGCATTTTGTGGACCAAAATTATATTGCCTACAAAATCAAACTAGTACTAGAGCATAGCTTGCAGCAAAGTCTATTTCTTGAGGTTTTTTATCTCAAAGAAAATATTAAAAGGTAATAGAATGGTAAATTGTAGAATTTGATGCCTTTTTCGTATCAATTCCAATATTTCATTTTATATTAATAATATCATTGGCCATACAAATTCCTGGCATGTCAAACTCGAGTTTGCTGACATGTTCTTAAAACATGTTACATAAATTAGGCAGAATTGTAAAAGAAAATTTACTCAAACCTTTTTGTATAGGGTGGTTTTTTAATGAAATTTCTGTAATGTATTTCTGTATTACATTCAAAGATTTGACGAAAGTACAATTTTTTGAACAAAGAATCTGTGAACCTTCGCTTCACACCAATCACCTGAATGAATTATTTTCTGCAGGAAAACGTAAAGTCACTCATCAACACCGATAAACCACAAACGTTGGATGATTTGAAAATTTAATGAATTACATTTTCGTTAAAATAATCAAATTTTCAGATTATACGCATTATTTAAGCCGAATTTATTCTTAAACACTTATAATATGATATTGTAATTGCAATAATGCTAATATTATGTTCTTTAAAACCATTTTGTTCTTTAAATAGCAACACTAAAACAACTCCGCCATAGCACAACTCCAGACTAAGCGAGTTACCATTTACCCAGTTGGATTTTAACTTACATTTAAACATCCCTTGATGTTCTTATGGAGAGTGAGTAAATTGTTGCAATTTGCTTGTTTATGGATATATTTTTTATCAAATTCGGCAAATCTATTCATTCTGTCCTATACTAATAAGCATGCTATGAGACCCCCCCATTTTTTCTTCCCTATGTTAGAGCAAACCAACAAACAAGTACTCGTTAAAACCTAATTTTATTTAAATAGGGGATGAATCTGACATGTTTAAGGAAATATTTTAGTAAAATTCCAATCAGATAAATGGAAATTCGCTTAGTCTCAAGTTTGCTGCAGCGGATGTGTTATTGAAATGTTAATAGTTAAATGAGACACACAATTTTACAAATGTTATCTAAATATACCTAAACAAGCAAATTAGGACAGTTTTCTTATTCTCTACTTATGAATAAATAACATAGCCATTTTTAATTTACGGTTTTATGGCATTTTCTTAGCAACCATTAGGCGTACAAAAATGCTTCAGAATACTATTTATTTTTATTTTTAAGCTCCACATAATAATTTTGAAAGGCATTGCAAGCTTTTATGTTTTACGGGTCAGAAATAGGAAAATCGACTTTTACCCCATGGTCCGATTATGCTGGTTCGCGAACTCGTTCGGATAAAGGTAGTTTACACTTTTTAACATTAAATCGAAATCTGAATATTTATTTACTAAAAAGGACATTCTGAAATTTTATTTTCCTTCCGCCACTATAGTACCACTATAGTTTCGATTCGTTACAATAGAAGCAGAAGCTAAAACAAAACCCACAAATATTCAAGTAGCGTCTCTATAATGACCAACGGTGCGTCTGTAAGATTGTTGTACATGGCATACATCATTGTACTGTTCCTTGTGTTACATTCGCTACCTTAGCTTTACCAATTAGAAATATAACAACGTGCCCCTATAAGTTTAACACCCTCCTACCCGCGGAAGAATTGATCTAACATTTATTTATAGTTTACTATTACTTATAGCCTAACAAATATAACAAATATAAGCCTAACAAAGTATATTTCAAATCATAAAATATTTTTTTATTATTCTAGTACCAACAAAGAATTAGCTTGTAAATTTACGGAAAGTTGTATTTAAATCATAAGGTCATCATTACATTTTTATTAATGCTGTCTTTTATACACTTAAAAAAATTGTGGCTGCATATTATTATAGTGTATCAATGATATGAACCTTGAACAAATAAAACAACAAAAACCTCATCTGCATAGCTTATGCACACCTAATAACGTATTATGGTCATGTTTTTTTCAACTTGGCACACACTTTTAATGATTTTACACGATAATTTACAATTTATGCGTCAAATCCTCGGGTTGAGAATGTAATTCTAAATTGAATGTAACTATAGGAAATTTATTTTAAGCAGAATAACCTGAAAACTGCTTAAAATAGTGTTGAAGTAGGGAAAACCAGTGAAGTCAAAAGCCAATTTGTCCTCCAGTATGAACAGTTAATTTAACAATATCTATAAGCTAATAATACTGAGGAAAAGTGGCATAATCATGTATAAAATAATATACATGATGCTATATTCCATGTTTAGTTTTGTACAAACTTTGAGATTATTCTGTAGGAGAATTAGAAAGCTACAGAATTTACTCACCTTACTTAAAAAGAAACACGCTGGTAAAAAAAAAATTATGTTAAAATGGCTTAGTTTAGATTTAATTTCATTTAAAAGCAAGAGTGAAATAAACCTTACATAATCACAGTTTTTAAATTGAATGAAAAAATGTGATTTTTAGTCAATGTTACAATTTTTTCAGTAGGCTGTTGAAGACGGATTCGCCAATTCACGACTTTTCTGTTGTCACAGAAAATTGATAAGCCAACTATCTATAGCAAATGTAATTTATCAACATAGTCTTTTCCAGCCGTAAATCACAATAAGATAACTAACTGTTTAAAAAAAGTAAAACAGATTTAAGGCTAGACATGATTTACTGTGTATCAACAGAGGTGTAATTTTAACAAATTCCCCATGTAGAAAAAAAATACTACCATTACTTTAAATCATAAAGTGAGGACCTGGACCCTGTGCCGATTAACTCGATAACTTGAGTAAAAATCATCCGGTTTCGATAAAATGTTGAACAAAAGTGTAAACATGCGTTTGTTTATTCTAATGAGTTTGCAAAACAGCAAGATTTGACTGTGGGAACGGGGTTTTATGGGTAAAAATCATTTTACCCATTTTCAACGACCAAAACATAAAATTTGGCAATTTCTTTCAAACCATTTTGTAAAGACTAAAAAACTAATAATTTAGTCATCGAAGCCTTGTTGTATGCCTGACGTTTACGGAGACAGTTTAAATAAAACAAACTGTGAATTTGAAATTCCCACGTTATTGTATGGAGAGTAAATAAACTGTTGAATTTTTCTTGTTTATGGATATATTTTTATCTTGAATTGAAATTGTTTTCTCATACCAAACTATTAACATAAAAAAATTAAAGTACTCTTTTGCCTTCCCTTTAGCCGCAAACCTAAGTACTTGTTAAAGTTAATATAATTTAAATAGGGAGTAAATCTGACAGTTAGTTTTTAGGAAATATGTGATTAAAAATCCAACTAGGAAAATGTAAACTCGCTGAGTCTGCAGGTTTGCTGTATATATTCAATGAGGCAATTTTACTAAGCACTCGGTTATAAAATAATAATTTATGTTGCTCGTGAAGGATGGCTATAGATAAAATGATTCTATTAATACACAATTTATATCAACTTTTGCGTTTTTTACACCATTATAATCTGATGTAATATCAGTTCCGCTACTTTGCTAATAATATATTAATTTAGAACCCTAACAACACTCTGACACAAGTAAATTTTAATTGGAAAAGATTCACTTAAATCGTAGGCCTATTCGTTTCTCTGAGCATTATACGATTAAAATTCGTCTAAATATCTTAATACGAACAAAGTATGTCACTGTTGTTAATAGAAATTGACGCAAGGTTTATTTGTCAACACTTACAAATCATTACCGATATCAGGATATAAAGAGGCACCGCTTTCTCTGTAATAACACTATTTTAGCTTGCATTTATCAATTATTCGTAAAACGGTTAAAAACTTAAATTTTATATTTCAATACAATCCAAGAAGTTTTTATTTATTTTAAGATGTAACTACTCCAAAACCGGTCGCTTATGGACTATAATTCTTGTATTTGGTATTAAGCATGTTTCAAAAGTTTTGACAATTTTATTTTGCCACACATTTATCGATTGTAAATTTACCATTCGGGTGTAATATAGATAATCAATTGTTTTAAGCTACTTCACCACTTCGTTCATGATTGTGTTGTCTAATTTAGGCCTACTATAGCTTCTGTTTATATTGTGTGCTTAAAAAGTGTGTTTGAGTTTTAGACCTTTTATAGAAATATAATAGGAAAGAGCTAAATTGTTGATGGTTTTAAATCCTTGATCACTTTGCCGAGTGAAATATTCTGTTAAAAAAGTGTTTCTTCAGACAAATATCCCGAGTGATAAATCACTGTCACTCTCTTTCATAATCTGTTTTCTTTATAAATTACTGTTGTTAATTCTACACCGAACAAGATTTCACTACTTTCTTGTTCTCTTTTAATCACTCATAATATAAATATATGGTAAAGTACCCTGTTTGATATTATAGTTTCAATAAAATGTTATCAGGCTGGCACTAGTTGTGACAAGAGGCAATTAATTGATACATTTGTGTACATTGAGTAAAATAAAATTGTGAATACAGTTAATTGAACCATTAAAATTATCATAGTATTGAGATAATTAGTTATCATCTACAATTTATGATTAACCAACTTATCACAACTTTTTAAGATTACATAAACATTTTAACAAAACAAAACTTCTTCTTAAATAGTTAGCATAGTTTAAACAAATTTAAAATCTTAAAATCAATAATCATAAATATGACTCCTAACTCATCATAACTTAAATTACCTATAAAAACGAATCCTCTTTGTGCATTATTTAGCTTACATCTCTATGCGAATAAAATAAGTTTCAAAAATTAACTCTGTCGAATTTTATTTGTTTTAGCTGTATTTTAACCTATTAGGCTACATTTTGTTTTTGTTCCTTTGAGTATCTGCTTAGTGTACGCGATTCTTTATTTCTGTGTATGCTGTCAAATATGAGTGAGAGTGATGACTTCAAAGACAAGATTGTTTGGAAACCCCTGTTAATGCTTGTTAATCAACTATAAGTTAATAAGTTGCTGTGTATAAACAATTGTATAATAGTGGACATCGCTTCGTAGTTCGTAGTTTGGCATAACAGTATAACCACAATTTTGTCCATTTACGCCGTAATAATAAGTAACACATTCTAACTATTACTGACAAAGTTTTAACATATGTTTATATAAGTTTTACTGGAATAATATGATATTGTAGCCAGATGTTACATTATAACATCAGGGAGCATAGCTGATTTCTCTTAGTATTCAAGTTACTTTGGAAACAATTCAACCTAACTTTTTGCATAAAAAAAATGCTATCGGTTGAAACAGTTGTTTAAAATAATTTCCTGGAGATTTAGAGTCACCAAATTCATTATGCTATATAAGTACTTCTAATTACATTTGAATAACATTTCTTTAGCTATGATAGGTTTATTTTCAATAAATATAAATATTATTCAATAAATATTATACCGATAAGGAAATTCGAGTATGTGATATTTCATGTACAAGCTAGTTTCAATAGTCATTTGTGTAACTAGTGAGCAAACGACATTTGCCCTCGTGTTACACATTATATTTTCCTACAGTCACTATAAAGCATATAAATAATTAGTCGGTAATTATTGCGATGAGGGTGACCAAGAGTACTGTAGTACGTTATATGTCATTAGAAACTAGATTTTTACCTGAAAACAATGGTGCCAAAATTTTTCTGCTGCCATAGAAACTGAATTTGTTACAATTGTTTGAGTTTATTTTAATGTTTTATTAGGAACATTGAATCTGCACTACAATGTTTTTACTGTACAATCGAAGTAAATAGCACAATTCACATTTATTGATTGATTATATTCCATTTTAATGTAAATATTACCCTTACAACCCACACTTAGAAAGATAATTACGTTAATTTAAGTAGGCTATAACTTATGTGTTATTTGATTAAAATTAATTAACATTAATAAACACCTCTAGGTCGGACATATTTAATCTGGATCAGGGATTACATTATGAAAATTGAAGAAGGAATTCATTTAGGTTTTGACCATGTAACCGTTATGTCCCATGAGGATAATAGTGTAGTGGCAGTTTTAATAAAATCAATAAACAACAAATTGACACTATTCTAACCTAACCCAACCAAACTTCTCGGACGGATTAAAATTTGTTTTACAAGCTGAAAAGACATGTGAGGTTGGTAGGTCGGATGTTATGTGGACTCGTGATTGTATTAAGTCCTTTGAAGGTAGGTTAGATTAGGGAGTTAAAGTTTAGGTTACAATAAATCGAGTAGTTGATTTATATTATCTCCAGACTGTTTATGCACTTTGTAAAAATTACTGCAAACACAATAATGTTGCCAACCTATTTCCAAGCGTACACGGATTACGTGCATAATAAAACCACGCTTTTTTGTGTTGTTTGGTTGGAATCCTGATGTGCGCCAAAGTATAAACCGTACGACAAAGTAAGTAAATACAGCAATTAGCAGCTTTCTGTACTATAAACAGCGCAAGGAAGCCGACTTTGTCGGGTGACTGTAGGAAATAGTATATTACGTTACTAGTCCTGAAAATAAGTGTTTGCCGGGCGAGTGTGGTCGTTCCCGTGCGAGACGAAGTCGAGTACGGGATTACCATACGAGTCCGGTAAACACATTTTGGACGAGTGACGTACGATAGTTTACGCCATACTACTAAATCTGTCAAAACAAAATCTTGATATATTACCACTAACTAAAGGATTAAAAATCACTAGTCATAACATCTAATAGAGGTTATGTTTTTGTTTATAACTACTCATTGCCACCCAAATACAGTATAATCAGCTGATTGGTGTCCGGTGAAACTCATTACAGAACAGTAGTACGCAATGAAACAACATTTGATTAAGCTGGTGGCAAACAGCTGTTTTCTGGACTAAATCCTTGCGTGAGAATTTCGTCAAAATAGTGTAGCGTGGCGTAAACATAATTTATGAGTCAAGGTATCCAATTTGAAAGTGTTAAAGATAAATCAAATTTTTTTATTATTCTCTTATTCCACCTAGACCTATTCCTTTTTTAAATTTACCTTCATAAATGTGTTACTATGCAGCTGAGGTTACTTAAACAAGAGTGCTTCATCTATTATCTGCTGCATATAGTTATGTGGCACGTATTTTTCATGAACAAAGATGAGATTACTTACTTTCCTGGGGAAATGTATGGGAATTCTTTATATTGTTACTATTATTCAACATAACCCGGTTTCAAGGGAAAATATAAATTTCTATACTCATGCTAAATGTGTATAGTTACACAATTTGCATGTTCTGTATTTAAAATATATCGACCTTACATTTTAATGTACCGTAATTGTTATTTCATTTAAAGGATACTAATCATAATATTTGAGATAGGCTTAATTTTATGTCATTAGTGTCATATTGAAATTGAAAGGGTCCGTTGTCGATGAGGGTTGTCGTATTAGTCCCCAGTGATCAACAGATTGTGGCCATCCCTCAAACATGTCTATTGCCCACTACACTACCCTGTCACTAGCACACCTGTTCCTCTATTGAACCCTGTGGCCTACTATGCAGGCTTAACCATTACAGTTTAATCCTACATCCATGATTAATCACAGCAAATCTTCTACACGGCACACTGTCAATTTGACTAAGCAACGTTTTGTACCTCAACTACTTAGTTCGAGTGTTTGATTTGGTTGAAAGTGTATGTAATGTTCACTTAAATTTGGACAACCAAAAAATCTTGTACATTTTTAATTCCCAGTTTTTTTGTTTTTCGTTTCTGACTCCATTTTCCACGGTTATCAACATAAATATTCTGATTGCAAACCGTAATCTCTAAAGGGTAACATTTTTGACTATTTAAATTCATATAGTTCATAAAAATACAAAACTTTTACAAAGCTACAATTTTTTTAAATATTTTAAATTTAACCATACAAATTAGTGGATTTCCATTGACAATGAAAATGATGGGCCACAACCCTACCTTTACATTTGAAAAAAAAAACTTTGTATCCAATATGACGGATCCAAGATGGCGGCCAAAAATTTATACCCAGTCAAAATGAAGTACTTACTACTCTACAATGACCTGACGTGGTCCGGAGTTGATATCTTAAGAAGTGTAGAAAAAAGTAGGGGGGAACTCATTTAAAACTCACCCTGTTTATAAGAGAATGTATTTGTGTGCATGATCAACTTTTAATACTTACCGTAGATTCCTTAACATTAAAAGATATGTTATAATATGGCCGACCTTAGAAATTCCGTTGTAGTAGGCCTTTCAAGAAGGTGGGTGTTTGTTTCTGAATTCTTTAGACACGACTTTGTGTATTCATACAACCATATAATTTTGAATCTCACTATATATTTGTTAGCCCCAAGCTGTAGTCTGATCATATTGAGGGGAGACTACTCTTATAGAATGAGTCAATGTAGGCTACTATACTAAATAAAAATGCGTTTTCCATTTTTTAGATAAGTTTACAGATTAGTTCATGCAGCCCAACTAGTTTAACTTTTATATTTTTTCCGGTTATTTGTTTTGGTTAGTATGCGTGAACTGACATAGATATATACAAGCAACTTTTTTCATCTCTGAGGAAGTTGTAAAATAAATAGTAAATAGATTTTGTATTTATTTGTGTTTTTATTGATTTTTTATGAACCATTAAACTCCTGAGGGACATTTGAATATGTCATCTATATGGTGGTTTCGAGTTAGTATGATAAATATTTGCTAATTATAGACTTGTAATACATCACAGAACTATGCAGTCACTTCAATGTAAACTCGTGTGTTTTCAGAGCTCGACCTAGACTATCTGGAGAGACGACAAGTCCCTAACTCACTGTGTTCCCCAGGGAGCCTATCCCAGGTCAGCCCTGACGCTCCTGAACTTGTCAAGCTGGTCCTTCTGGGCGCGCCGGGTGTTGGCAAAAACCTCCATCATACAGGTAATTTGAAATTAATAGGCTTAAATAAACCCGCCACAGCAAACCTGCAGACTAAGTGAATTTTCGTTTTTTTTTTTTTTTTTTTTTTTAAAAGAGGTTGGCGGCCTCTTTTAACCTTGCATTTGCCCGTCCACATAGACTACAGATCTGTGCGTGGAACGTATCCAGCAAAGCAAGGGGTGAGCCGGTACAGTACAAAGGTGAACTGTACTGATAAAAGTTAGTGGCAGTGACCAGGATCCGAACCCACGACATCGCTGCCTTGGGGCCCAAAGTCCGCGACGCTACCGACTGAGCCACCGACTCACCAAATTTATTACGTTTGCCTGATTGGATTTTACACTGAAATGCCTCATTAAATATATCACATTTATTCCCTATTTAAAATATAATTAATTTAACGAGTACTTAGGTTTGCTGCTTATATTTACTGTTATATCAGCTGTTTAAGATATCATAGATCTGCTAACTTACTATATTCAAAAGGTTTGGAAACAAACCATATATTTATACAAAGCGTTTAGTTAATCAAAGAACTCGTATACATATTTTTTCACTGCTCAGTAACGCAATCATATATTTTTATGCTAACTCCAAAGCCTTAGTACGGTTTTAACGTCATAATATTCGTTTATGTTGCTTTTTTTGAATAGTTAAAATAATAACAATTCTTAGTGAGATTTTTTTGTGCTGTGCTGGAATCAGTATCTTTTTTAAAGTGTGACGTAATTGGTTTTCACATTGGCAAGAAAAAATTAAAATATGTATTTTAATGCAACTTATTATACACTTTTAATTTGAAATTCCTCACTAAGTGGCTTTAAACGTCTTGCTTCATTCAAATTGATCTCTAATAATTTCTACTTAATCCTGAAATGATTGCCCTAACTTCTTTTTGTAATGAATAAAGTCTTGCAATACTTTGCTCTGTTACCCTTAAATAGGTTCAAGTTGCTTATAAAGGTACTGAACAATTGTTTGTTATACCCGGACTAGGATAAACAACAACATTAACAAATAGGCCTATTTTATTACTATATACCCCCCGCCGCAGCAAACCTGCCGACTAAGCAAATTTCCATTTGTCTTAATTGATGTTCGATTAAATCCTAGGTTTGCTGTCCCAAGAAATCTAATAAAGTGTCGTTTTTGGTAAAATATTAATAGCTTAGTAAAAAAATAAATAAATTTGCCAAGTTTGATAAAAAATATATTCATAAATAAGCAAACTATAACATTTTACAATATTCTCCATAAGAATAACATGGGAATTTTTTAATTTAAAAATTTTTGAATTTTCCCCGTTATCAGTAACCGTACAAAAACACTTTGATTTACTAAATTGTTTGCTGTTTTAAGCTCTTTAAACAGTTCTAGAAAAAAATTGGAAACTATTTTGTTTTTGAGGTTCAAAAAATTAGAAAACCCAAATTTTACCCCATAAAACTCCGCGTAAAACCCCGTTCCTATGGTCCGATCATGCTCCTTTGGTTATTTATACTCAATACGTGTATAAGTTAAACTGGAAAAATACAGGAAAGTATCGAAGTACTCGAAATAATTTCAACAGCATTCATGAAACATAACACATCTGTGTGAGTCAACCATCCGTGTAAAAAAACACGTCGGATTTATTAGAAAAGAAAACGCGTCATTAATTCGGACACCTGATTAAAGTATTCAGCTGTTTATGGGAAAACGCATTACACATGGGAGACGCATAAAACAAATCCACCATGTCACTTCATTGCATCGTCTCAGTGAACGTACAAATAATGGGTCGCCGGAACGTACAAATAATGGGTCGCCGGTAGACTTTCCCCCCCTGGACAACTAACCCCCCCCCCCCAAACAGGTTCCTACGTCATGTTGACGTCAGAGATCAAGGGGGCGGTTTTCCAGTCACGAACACTCAAGTTTCGTTGTCATACTGTTCTAAACTAACCTAACCAACCAAACTCGTTGTAACATTTCTTTTCTGTTATCAAGCGGAATTACTCGAATTAAAAGTACAAATACATAACATCACATTTTGCTATTGTGGGGGGGGGGGGAATATTCCAGTCCCTAGCTGACTGCTTGACAACATCTGGCTCTACCGTAAAGATATGTACATCCAAGCTCATGTTAAACAAATATAATGCATCGAACTGTAAGAAATAAATAATAATACAATCTCTGTGTGATCCCATTAAATGTAAGACCTAACTACAATTTGTACACTTCGTCGGGCAATCGAGTCCTATTTAACTGACAAAATTACTGTATAATGCTGAAATGTTGGTTTTATTTAGGTATTTGACTAAAGAAACAGGAATATATGGCAGTATAGGTTTGTAAAATAGAGTATAATATGTGGCAATAGTGTGTGTTTTTTAAAGAATATTTTTTTATAGTATGCTAATCAAAAGGTTAGTAAAATAAAACTTTGAAATATTTCTTATTGGAATTTCATGTATCAAACGACGCATGATCTTTCAAATGACTTCCATCATTAAAGAATACTCGGATTTTACGAGGGAAGAGAGTCGATTCACTCGTGCTGTTTTTTATGTCCAAAAGATTTAACTACCGAAAGATTTAGAAAACTTTTCTCCTGCATAAAATATAATTCTGCCCAATTTTAAATCTATTGGATGCAAGAATGCACCCTATTCATTGTAGCGATTCTCAGTTAAGTTATATCGAGAATTTTCATGAGCCACCGTTCCAACTAGATCATTCAGTTCATGATCTTTTGAGTGATCTGAAAATTTTATATAAACATTATAAACCCTACCGCCACAGCAAAACTGCAGTGAATCTCCATTTGCCTGATTGGATTTTTACTCAAACATTTTCTTAAAGCAGTTAGATTTATCCCCTTTTTAAATAGCATTCAGTTTAACGAGTAATTTGGTTTGCTGCTAAAAGGAAGGTAATTGAGTGCGTTTTCAATGTAAAATATTTTAGTATGAAAAAAATACATTTGCCAAATAGTATAAATCTATCTATAAACAAGCAAACTTCAACGTTTTACTTATTTTTCATAAAAATAACATGCCGATTTTAAATTTACAGGTTTTTTTAAACTTTTATCCTTAAACATATAGCGTACGCTTCAAGCATAAATGATTATACATTATATGATTGGTTATGAAATAAGGCGAAAAGCATGAGATAAAAATTCCACGAATGCTATGAACGGAAATAAAACTCAGTTACGACTCACAAACTTAACGAAGATTTCCCAAAGATAGTAACACTGTTTTGAGCTATATATCTGTACAAATATGATTAACCATAGAGTTAAAGTAATATTCAGTCAAATGATAAAAGTTCCGTGGTAGCAAAATACACAAGCAATTACTGTACATTGAAATGCAAGAGGAAAATGTAACCAACATCACGACTCAGACTCACGAGTCCCTTTTAATTGGCACAATTACTGTATAATGTCGCAGTGTTGATTTTATTTAGGTATTTAACTGAGAAAACAAAAATATAGGCCAATACAATTAAGCTACCCAATATTATAACAATATAATACTTATGACTGACATTTATCTCAACCTATTTCAATGTGTTTTACTAAAATGTGTAATGACAATCATTTAAAAAGCACTTTTTTAGTCGCATCATGGAAAATTTAAGTGTTACCAACAGGAGAAACCCCTTTTAAATGCATTATATACGTATATCATACCGTTGAATAATTATTCTACAAAAATAATTAACTATACATAACGCGGTTATTATATTCGCACAATTGTTACTTTGATACTCTGATCGGATATATTTGTTTCAAGTTTCTTTATTGAAGAGGTTCGTAAAAAATAGTTAATGTAAAAATTGATATTGCATAAATACACACAACATTTTAAACTTTCTCATTTTTTTATAGAAAGCCTACTGAACAGTTAAATGTAATATTTATGATTTCATATATCAAAATAAATTGTACCGGGTGTCCACAAAGTCTTGGTCTGATAAGGAAACCGCATAGTATGAAAACGAGTAATAGTAGGATAAAGATTTATTTACGGATATAACAGGTAACTTCTTAAGATTTTATAACTATGTACAAACGTAACACAACTCTACGTGTGCGCCTTCAGTGGCCTGAAGATCTTCTAGACGTATTTTCAGTCTGTCCCAGGTTTTAGTCAACATATCCAAGGTTACAGACGCCACAGAAATTCCTGAATCGCTCCCGCAAGAGTGTGTAAATTATGAACCAGGGAAAAATAGACAATGTCCTGGACAAATACCCACAAAAAGAAACACGTGGGGGTTACATGGTGGGAACGAGGTTGCCATTTGGTCGGGCAATCACGCCCGATCCAGCGACCGGGGAAGTGAAGATTTAAAAAAATCCCTCACGGATTTAGCCCAATGAGGTGGAGCACCTTCTTGCTGGAAAATTATCATAAGTTGCAGTTCTTATAATTGACATACAACTCCAACATAACCAAGTAAACAAACCCATTTACATTTTCTTCGGCAAAGAAAAATTATCCAATGATTCCATCATGCATTACACCGCACCAAAGGTTTAGTTTTTGACTGGCCCTTTCATTTTCAATCATGGTCCTGGGATTTTAACTCCCCCAAATTCTACAATTATTGTGTCTGTTAACCTTTCCACTTAAATGGATAGTCGTTGAACTGCTATAGAGGATTGGGTTTCGTGAAACAACAATAAAAACTGTGAATTCTCTTGTAAACTCACCATTTCTTATTTGTTATTATATTGAATCATGATTGTATTGTTGTAAATCAGCTGTGTCTAGGTATTACTAATTTTATTAAATAAAATTTGATCAAATTCCCTTCAAAACAAGACATACAAGTTAAGTGTGGCTCTAATGGTTTTCGTACAGCAAAGCTATTAAATCAGACCAAGACTTTGTGGACACCCGGTATTATTTTTCTTTTTCTTGAATTTCTTTGTGATTTAATCACTTTTTCATAAAAATATGAGACCTTACACCAATACACTATTTTATAGTTATTTATGA